AAAGGAGACAGGAGAATAGAATCATCAAACAGATGAATAGGATCCATGGTTCTCAGAGTCTCGGTTTGGGTCCAGAGAGCAGAACCTCTGAGTTTTTGTGAGAAACCCAATTTCTCACCTCATAATTGCTGAAGTGGAAAGAATAAGACAAGGTCTAATGACTTGTTTTCTGACAAATACTCTGGGAATACAGGTGCAGGTAACAAACCGAGACCTACTGAACTCAGTTGTGATCTACGGGAACAGAAGTTAGTAGGCACATCAGATTCTGTACTTAGATTCTCTAGACTTAGAACTGACTATAATACTTACGTTATCTCCATTTATAGGTTTTTCAAGTCATTTGTGCTTGTCATACTTTAAGGGGGTTTTGAAGCTAAACAAAGATTTTGAAGAGATTATGGGGTAATGGTTATAAGCATGATTGAAAGTATAGAGTGAATCTCCTTATGCCTTATAGAGATGCTCCACAGAATTGTATTGAAGCTAGGCAAGGCAAACCAGTATGAGGAACTGGTTCCCAAGAGCCTGCCAAAGTGTTAGGGACAGTCCCTGTTTCCATTGTTAGGAGTTCCACAGGCTACACAGCTGTCACATATATGTAGAGGGCCTAGGTCGTTTCCTCAAAGGCTCCTTGATTGTTGGTTCAGAGTTTGTGAGCCCCTATGAGCCAAGTTAGTTCTGTGGATTTTCTTGTGATGTCCTTGACCCCTCAGGTTTCTACAATCCTTCCCCCTCTCTTCAGCAGGATTCCCTGAGCTCAGCCTAATGTTTGGCTCTGGGTCTCTGCATCTGTTACTAGATGAAGGCTCTTTGATGAAAATTGGGATAGTCACCAATCTGGTAACAGGAAATAGATGGCTCAGGCTATGTGTCCACTATTGCTAGGAGTTTCAGCTCATGTCATCCTTGTAGATTTGTAGGAATTTCCTTTGCATTAGCTTTCTATCTGACCTTGAAATGCCTCCCCTTCCAGTCATCTTTTGAAGTACTCTCCCTCTCCACCCTCACAATCTGATCCCTCAAGTCCCCATCCCCACCCATCCCCCAGTCCACACAGGATATCTCTTCTATTTCACCTTTCAAGCTAGGTATCCTTGTTACCTATCTTCTCTGGGCCTGTGGATTGTAGGATGGCTATCCTTTACTTTACAACTAATATCCACTAATGAGTGAGTACATACCATGTTTTTCTACTGGGTCTGAGTTATCTCCCTCAGGATGATTTTTTTTTTCTAGTACCATCCATTTGCCTTTAAATTTCCTAATGCCATTGTTTTTAAAAGTTAGTTGAGTAATACTCCACATTTTTTTCAACTCTGAGATTATATGCTACACCTGTCAGAAAGGCAAAACAAACAAACAAAACCCCACAAATGACAGCTTATGCTGGACAGGATATAGAGCAACGGGAACACCCCTCCATTGATGGTGGGAATGCAAACTTGTACAGCCACTTGTACACATTGGAAATCAATATGGTGGTTTTTCAGAAAATTTCAAATCAATCTACCTCAAGACCACTCCTGGGCATATACCCAAAAGATACTCATCATACCACAAGGACATTTGCTTAACTATGTTGTTTATAGCAGCTTTATTCATAACAGCCAGAACCTGGATACAACCTAGATGCCCCTCCACAAAAGAATGGATAGACACAATCTTTATAAAGTAAATGGGGTCAGAATGGGCCAGTTTGGATAAAACTGCTTGCCCTTGCAATTTGCAAAATGTTGATGACCTTGTTTTTGCCTTCTGTATAGGAAAGAAACATCACTCAGGATAGTTTTGAAGCTTAGAGGGAAGATCCTTACTGAATCCACTGTAGATGTTAATACTAGGACACACCCTGCATGTTGTGTTTGCCAGATAATTGCCCCAGAAAGGGTGGTTTCCGCATCTAAACAGGATTCTCCATATCTTCTGGAATGAAAATCTAGTAAATCCTAAGACTTGAAGAAATAAAACAAACAAAAACCCAAAAGAAAAGACTATAACAAAACCACGTGGTATTATGTTCAGTGCAAGGATCATAATGACAAAAAAGGGACATGGCGCCATCTATTGGCTTTCTTCCTGTGTTTGATGACAATGTTTTCATACCAGAGCCTTGGATATAGAAATAGAAGGAAAAGAAAAAGGAATGTTAATGTGCTTTTAAGTATATTTTTTCAAATTTTACATATTAAAATTTTAAAAAGTATAAAAATGTTAATTTTTTCATATTTAAAAAGATCGTTTTAACATCTATCAGTAGGGTACATTTGTCACAAAGAACCAATCACCATTGATGTCACTATTAACTGAACTCACTTTTTGCTGATTTCACTAGATCATTAGGCATTAGTCAGTGTTCTCCAGAAAAACAGAACCAATTGGAAGTATGCGTGTATACGTGTGTGTGTGTGTGTGTGTGTGTGTGTGTGTGTGAGTATGTTGTGCATATAAATGAGTATTCATTTGTAAATGTGTATTCATGTGTTCATTTGTTCTCTTCTGGGCAGTGGTGGACAGTCTAGAATTTAGACTCTAGAATCACTACATCCACTAAATGTAATAGAAAGGAGTAATGGCAGGAAAAAAAAATTGGAAAGGGATTTTATTCAGTGTGACCATATTGGGAGAAGGAACCAATAAAGGGGTCCAAGGAGCCCACATTCATCTTCTGGATCGCGACACGAGTTTCTTATTTTAAACAGAAGTTGAGCGCGGGCCAAGACTGGAGAATTAAGCAATCTTAGTCTAGATGTAGACTAAATGATCATTGTTTCAGGCCAGAACCTGCTCTTTGGTCTTCCCAGGTAGTTCATAGAAGTCCTTGTTTCTGAAAGGGACAAGATGCTTCAGGGTGCGGCATTGTCCTCATGAATAATTAATTGCCTTTCCCTGAGTGTGGTATCCTCTGCTAAGTCTTCCAGGGATCCAAATTTTGCTTATTTGTGCCTTCAGCTAAAGCAAAGGTGACAGACACAACATGAAAACAGAGATGTCAGTTTTCGTACCGCTTTTAATCATCCCTTGAGCCCAAGTGAGGAGTGGATAACTCTTCAGCAGTTTGTTTGAGCTGTTTTATCCAGACCTTTGGCTGTGAAGGAAATGGCCTGTAAACAGCTGCGTCATTCACATTTAGATGTACTAAGACTTTTCAGACTCTTGAGAGGGCTGGGGGTGTTTAGATTGTGGGAGTGGTAAAATGGCTTGTGACTAGTAGAAGGACTGCTGGGGATCCAAAATGACTGCAGATCCTTAGCTATTCTTCCCAGTGAGAACTGGGGTTTAATGTCTATGCCTTTGACCTCATGACTGCTTTAATTATAGTTTGTAGCAGAAGTGTCACCAAACAATTGCAGGCTAGGCTTTGATGCAGTTCACAGTGTCTACTCTAGTGTTTCGGAGTCCTATGCTAACGTGTTAGAGGGTGGCCATGCTATGGCAGGAATTATTGGAAGAAGTCTTAGGACTTCCACAAAAGGAAGTTCCAACTGCAACCAAGCTGTTAGCCACTCATTAGCCATTTCTTTACCCATTGGATGGACACCTCTATGAAGCCAGCATGGATCCCCCAGACCAGACCTGTCACAGGTGGAAGTGTGAGTGACCCCACATTGAGCAGCAAACAATCTTGACAGCATCTGGACTCTGTGGATTAGGAACATGGGAAAATGGGTTTCTATATTTTTAAAAACATTTTTTAAAATTAAAATACAATTACATTGTTTACCTCCATCCATTTTCTTGTCCAACTCTTCCTTCCATGCACCTCCCCTTCACTTGCTCTCAAGTCTGTGGCTTCTGTTTTTTTAATTGTTGCTACATATACATACATATTCCTAATTATAAATACCCCTAATTATATAAGTAAAACCTGTTCAGTCCATATGATACTTATATTGTATGTGGTTTCAGGGCTCAGCATTTGGTACTGGATAATGAATTTTGTGCTCTTCCCTGGAGAAGGCTACTTCTCCCACTCACTGCATTTTTTAGGTTGCCTGTTTCTTTGCGGATGATGACAATGGATGTACTAACGTGAAAGGGTAGATTCTCATGGGGCCTCAACCTTAGAGTTTTTAGTTTGATTGTTTTGCAGCTGGAGATTACACTCAGGGTCTTATACGTGTCAGATAAAGAGTTTACCACCGAGTTGCACATCTAGAACCATTGTTTCATTCCAGTAAGTTTGTTGTGTATCAATATTCAAAAGTAGATATCTGGGACACACATGCAAACACACACACACACACTCGCACGCGAATACAAGGATAAAACACATATGGATATGGAAGCACAGACATACACATGAATACACATATATAATAAATGAACACGATAGCACACATTTGTGATCTCATTGGTCACTCAGGAGACTGAAGCAACAGGACTGCTACAGTTGGAGGCTAGCTCTGGCGACATAGTGAATTCCTGACCAACTTGAGTGAAATCTTATCTCAAGACATGCAAGAAAACTGTGAGTTAATAAATCAATGAGTCATACAGCAATGATGCTCTCTGGTTTACAGTAATACAACTGGTTTGCATGAGTTTAAGCATCTGTTTGCAGAAGGAGAGACAGCACAGGAAAAGATACTAATCTTGTGTGTGTCATCAGACCCAAAGCTCCAATTAATTCAATAATTGATCTTGCATTTACTAGATCCGAGGCTTGATTATTTTAAACCTCTCTTGCATTCTCGCTTGAAACCTTGCATTTCATTAATGCGGGGGTGGGGGGTGGGGTGTGTGTGCCAAGAAAATTTCTTCCAGTTCCTTGCCTTTCTCTCAGGAATCTATATGCTATTTCGGAGAAGCTAGACTGCAAGCACCAGGGTTTGGGAAATCCAGATTTCAAAGAGGACTATGGGGTTGGCCAGGGGAGGCCACCAAAACTATCGCCCCTGTATAAAGAAATCGGTGATCAGCCAAAGCAGGGACCAGCTTTTCCTGAGGTCCTGGCTGGAGAGGGCGGGAAGGGGCGGGGAGTGCGGGCCAAGATTCTGCCTACTCTGGTCCCGGCCGAGGCCGGAGGCAGGAGAGATCAGAGGGTCGGGAGACCTCCCTGTGGTATCCAGCCTCCACCGGACCTGAGGGTCCGGAGCGGTAAGCCGTGCCCCGAGCCCCGCGAGCCGCTGCGCTCATGGGCCCCGTTGATCGGGCAGAGAGCGCCGCCGGCTGCGACTCTGCGGACTCCTGGGTCCCGGGCGCCCCGTGGTGGCAGGAGCTGCTCTAGCCGGGCTCGGGGCGCAGGGCTGGGCAGACGCGGAGCTGAAGCCCCTGGGACACGGGGACATGTGGCAGCCCTCGCCCCGCGTGGGGCTAGCGCGGGCAGCCACCGCACGGTGGTGCCCAGGCCGCGAGGCTCCGGGCCCGGCCTGTGGGATACCGGCCAGAGTCTGGGGCTGATTGTGATTGGGTAAGTTCACCCCCGGGCCTGGTGCAATGAGTTCTAGATCATGGCTTGTTTGTGTGAGAAGTGCGTGCCCTCCCTCCCCCCAACCCCCAGGCCTGCAAAGGAGAAATCCATCCCGTCTGTGCTGTGTGTCCCTTCCTGTATTCATTCATGAAATCGTGGCGTGCTGACATCAGCAGGCCTTCCCAAATGACGTTACTTTTTTGCTTCTCAAGCAATTATGTTTGCCTCTTGGGCTTTTGAGGACCACTCTTGTGTGTGTTGGTTACTGAATCTAAAATCAGATCCTTGTTGGCTTTAATTCGGAGGTAGAGTGCTTGCTTAGCATGCATGAGATGCATGAGGCCCTGTGCTCAACACGCAGCCTTGCAAAATAAAAACAGAAATAAAACAAAACCCCCAAACTTCAGTATTCTGCATTTTAATCTAGAGATTATACCCAGTGCACCCATTTCAAATACTCCTTTCAAACAGAATCTCCACAGGGCAGTTAGACTCAAGTTTGCAGGTTATCAAAAAAAAAAAAAAAAAAAAAAAAAAGAAGTAAAACTAGAGTAAGTCTAGTGCATCAAGTGTTGTCTGGAAGAACTATTGGGGATCATTACTCAGCCCCAATTTTGATGCCTGCAAATTAGTTCGCTGTGGTTCAGTTTGGTCCACCCCAAGGAAACCACCTCTTGGTTTCAAATGTGCATACAACAAAACTGTTACTATCTACAACATTTAAGCATCAGGGAAGAACTAACAGAAAATTATCAGATGTCTATATAATAGATATCATAACTTTACCAGACATTGCGCTGGGTGTAAATTTTAAAAATGTAACATAGAATATGTCCTGTGAGTTTCTACACTTTATTTTTTAGGCTGAGTAGACTATAGAGGAGTTGATAGTTTAGAGGAGTAAGATGTTCAAAGTTATGCATGGGATGACAGATCAGTGTTTGGCTGGAGAACAGAGAAGCTAAGACATAATAATAACATAAGAAACAAAGACCCTTTAGACTGTGTTTTGAATTCACCATGTTAGTACCTGGTGCTTCCTGGAAAGTGCTCATGTTAGCCATCCTGCAGTGAGGTCACTCCTATTTTCTCCATGGCCTTGGAGCTTCTAGGATACTGGGAGGATGGCTGCTGTGTTGTCAGTTTACAGAAGTGGGTACTGAGCTCAAGTGTCAGTGACAGGTCCACCATGAAGATGGTGTCAGAAAGAATGACTTTAAAGTCATTCATTACACCATACTTTTATAGTTACTAGAGGGCATGTTAGCTCACATCTAAATTACACTCCTTATTGCTAAAAAAAAAAAAAAAAATCTACTTGCTATTATGTTGGTTGCTCTTGGGAAATCTGATTTGTAAGAATTTCTATGATTACCTAAATATTGAATTACAATGCAAGTGATTTTAAAGATGGTTTAGAAACAACTGAACAGAGCTGATAGAAAGTTGCTGATGAACATAAAAGCTGGGCAGAGAGTGTGGCTCAGTGGTGGAACACATGCCTCATACAGAGTCTCTGGGTTCAAGCCCAACAATACCAGAATAAAAAAGAATGTAAAGCCTTGCACTGTCCTTTTCTCTGTCTCCCTTTAACATTTTTTGCCTCGCAATTATATAACTGTACCTATGAGATCCAGGTAGTAGGAATGGAAAATAACACAATTCTGTTCATTGTACAAACAATATCAGTGGAAGGCAGATGTTCTTGGGTAACCGGTGCAGATAGTGTTAACTTTTAAAAAGACCCCCATTGTGATAGAGGACTATAAGTATGTGAGAAAGGCAGGGTATTTTCCATTTATATTAAAAATACAAATGTTAAACATTAGGTACTGCTTTAATTAAAAGCAAAACCAGCCCCTCCCCCTTTTTCTTCCTAAAGCACACTGAGTGGTGTCTGTATCTTAAATACTGAAAGCTGGATACTTTTCCCCAGTCTTAAGTTAATATGTGTTTTATTTGTATGGGAATTTATGGTTGCTACTAACAAACAGAAGTGGTTTACTGCTACACATGCAGAAGGTATTTTGATGAGGGGGAAGTAAATGTTTTAGAAGGTTCATTGAAAAGGCATTTCAATGATTAACATGACCTGTGCCCGCTGGTTTAATAGTTTACTTAGATTTCAGATAGCCTAATTTTCCATCCAATTTTAATGTTGCAGAGCCCTTTAGAAGTCAGAATGCACACCAGACAGTAATAGTGAAATTAGCTGTTTGGATGGCCTCTGGGCAATTCAAAATAGTTGGCTGTATTTCAGAATTGATATGGGATCAATAATCACTGGCTGGCATGCTCACTGGATTTTATAAGTACAAAGGGGCCTGGCTAAGAGACACCATGAACCCAGCTCGAGCTCTACTTGCCAAGTCCCAGGCCTTGGAAAAGAACTATGTCAGAAGTCCTGCTAACTATTCCTAATATTTCACACTTTCTGACTTTGTCACAAATAATTCTTAATTATATTTTCAGGTCACATATATATTCATGTAGGTTATTGGCAACCATGATTGTAAGAGAAATGAAAATAAAGAGTTCCTAGGCCTCGGTGACAAGGGGGGGACCCTGGACCGCGTAGGGGATTCTTAAGTCAGTGAAGGACATGTGTCATCAAGTGTCTGACTTCCTTGGTTTCCTCTTTTCAGAAGGGGGCTTTCAGAAGGACTCGGCAAGCACAGCTCTGCAAGGGGCAAAGATCCTCTACCTACAAATTTTACAAGAAATGTGCAGAAAGCCATTGACAAGTACGACAGGTAAGAAGTAATCGTACTAATGTTGCTGGTGTCCCAAACAAAAAGTGTGTAGTAAACTTGGGGGAGAGGATTGGCTATATTACCAAGTGATTGTTAAACCAGTTTGCCGTGAACTCGGCAAATACTTTTAAGGGAGCAAAGAGGAAGCGAGCCTAGAGATTTCAAACCCATGCAGAATAGAGATTTCAAGCCCATGCAGAATAGAGATTTCAAGCCCACGCAGAATGTCTGCTCTTCATAGCTCTTATGTCTGTCACCTGTGTTACTTCCTACAGTGAGTCCCCTTCATCCTTTTCATCCAGTGGCAGCCGCACGCCCACGGAGGCCCACAATTCATGGCCTGGCTCTTCCACACAGAGTTCTACCACTGGACTGTCTACAGAGAGGAGCTCAATTTCTTCTTGGAGGGATGATGTATGTCCTTTCATAATTTCAGTAACCTGTGGGTTTGGTATATGGGGAATGACCTAGTGTTTTACTTGTTTGTGTATGTGTGGGTGGATTTACACCGAACTGTGGTGCCCACTCAGAGATCAGAGGTCAGTTTTGTATATCTTCCTCTATTAATCTATAGCTTTTTGTTTTGGATAAAGTCCCTCGCTGAACCTGGAATTAGTTCAGGTATCACCCTGGACTACAGGTGTATGTTCCCACATCCAGCTTTCACTTGGTGCTAAGGATCCATACCAGGCTCTCACTTTACATAATGAGCTGTCTCCCCAGACCTATGAATTCCTCTCTTATGTTCAGAAAGAGTCTGTTTACATTTATGTAAGGATTATTAAGTATACCACAATATGTGTCTGTGCATTTATACTGTTACATGTGAAAGTATCAAAATGTCAAAATATAGGAAGAAAATAAATTTTATGATTAACTCTTAGCCCAGAGTCATAGCTGTTATTTTGTTTTTCACACCCCACAACCCTGCCTGCTATTGCACTTTACTTTAAATAGTATTCTGTGGTTAGAAACTTGAGATAAAACCTTAATGGTTAATGAAAGTAAGAGGAAGTTTTGGTAAAGCAAAAACTATAAAGCATCTCCATGATTAGAGGTCACTGGCACCCCACACATACCCTCCATCAAGCCAAATCTTTCACTTTTGCTTTCTAACCTGAGACAAACGATCAACTTTAATTCTGCTAGGATATTTTGTGACTGTGGGATTCTCAGATATTATTCAGCTACAGTTCTGGTTTTGCAAAGATGATGGCTATGTACAGATGCACATCTGTATCTATGAGGAATCTTAAAGGAGTCTCATAACTGATGCTGTAAACCTTATCTTTATTTAACAGTTAATGAATGGGAGATGTAATATAGGATGCCATTGATCAGAAAAGTAAACATTGGTACATTAGTCTCTCTGTGGCTACAGAGCCCACAATTTTACCTTGTTTCACTCCTTCTTATTTAGTGGTCTCCACCTTATAAATATTGATTGTGAAGCCCATGTACCATAACTGGTAGTGTGGTATCTATGTGATGAGATCAGGTGTTTCAGGGTAATATGGCCATAAACTAGTGGGGTGTTTGAATATGTGCTTCCGTTTCAGGAATTTGACAAAGTCAATGCTCAGAAGGTCCAGCAGCTGTTCTGGGAGGTTGAGGAAATGCTATTTGAAGGCAAAGTGAGTCCCCAAACCCAGAATCTCCTGGCCGAATGCAGTGAGTGGGCAAGAAGATCCCTCCATCTCAGGTACAGAAATGGCCGGCCATAAACATTTCCTGCATGGGGTTTTGATCTGCGCACAATTGATTTCTGTTTATCCAGCCATTGTGACTGAGAGTGTTTACTGCTCACAGTCTTATCCAGAACTCAGTCCTTTCTTGACAGTCCCACCCTTTATAATAGGTCCCAAGGAAACCTTGACACATAGCAGTGGCGTATGCCTTTAACTTGTCATTAACAAATCCAGGTCATTCTCAGAAAGATTTCATATCCACAGCAGATGCAAGAATCTGAGGAGTGACCCTGTATTTGCAAGTTCACTCTGTGTGAGTGGCAAGCATCTGTCATCTCTGAGAGCTTGACTGCAGGGGAGACTAAGTGATCATTTGCTGAAAAACTAGCTAGACAACCCAATTCTATCTCTATCTTTCTTCACATCATTTGGTGAAAGGAAATGTTGCTTTCTTCACCCAGGCTTGCTACTGAGGGAGAAATCTGTTTTAGTGTTCTTCAGTTCTGAGTTGAGAAGAATGAATTGAAACACTGACATAAATATGCATGACTGATCTGATTAGCTTGTCAAGGGAACTTTAAAAAAAAAAAAAAGTCTTAGCTCTAAGTGTGGTGATGCATGCCTGTAATTCTGGTATTTAGGAGGCTGATGGGCGTTGTGAATTGAAAGCCAGCCTGGGACACATAGTGAGGTCATGTTTTTAAGAAAAAAATAGCAACAACAGCAACAAAAACAACAACCAAGAAGTCTTGCCTAAGCAGTTTTAAGCAATTCTTCATAAGCCCCCCTGTCTTAAGAATATGCTATGTGCAGGGGGTAAGTGACTGCAGGTGTGCACTTTCCCGGGCATGGTGCACTTCCCAAAATATCATGTGCCCAGGCTTCTTTCTCTCACTATCATCTTACATTTGACTATGAAAACTGAGAAGGGAGGATAGAAAAAGAAAAGGAGCATAAGCCATGTGTGTATATTTATGTACTTTTATTCTCTGGGCCTATGCCCACGTGTGGCAAGTTTCTCTGTGCCTTTCTTTGCCCAAGACACTCAGGTCAGACACACATTCTCTCTAAACCACTCATCACTCCTGCAAGGTTAACCATGACTCTGACGTGCTCCTGACCAACCAATAAATAGAATAAGTGTGCTCCTGACCAACCAATAAATAGAATAAGTGGCAAAGAAGCTGGATCACCTCTGCTCACACTCTCTGCCCAGACTCTGCCCTCTCCAAGCCTGAGCTTTTCCTCCGTCACCATGGTGACTCTCTTGACCCAGTGCATGCTACAGCACATCCCATATGTTCTTCAGAATCAGCGTTGCATGCAGTTTAAAATCATGAAATGTTTTCCCTCTGTCTGGTCAAAGAAAATTCTCAGCTTCTTATCTTTTCTTCCCTTGCAGGCTGTTAGGAAGACAGCTCATCCCGCCAAGTGATGAAGGTTTCCAACACTTCCAGGGGAGCCTGCCTACTTCTGCTACCTACAGACCCTTACCTCCTGTTCCTGGCCACATAAGCAGCATCAGAGAGTAAGTTTATATATGTAGGTTGCACAAATATACATACACACACACACACACACACACACACACACACACAAATATATGTATGTACCACACATACACATATACATATACATATACAGTATCCATCATGGTAGTACACACATGTATTTTGAGCACTTAAGAGATATAAGCAGAAGGATGGGAGAATTTTCAGCTACTTTGCAAATTTGAGGGAAACCTGGACTATATGAGACTCTGTCTCAAAAAACTTAACCGAAAAATACTTGTTAACTTTATTGTAGCTCTCCTTCCATGTTTAACTCTTCTGTGAGCTGAGCCTTGGCTTCAACTAATTTGCATGCAGAGTCAGAATAGTGGGGGACAATGTTTTTCACGAGATGCTTCTGGTTGATGCTTTGCCTTTAGACGTGTTTGTGTGTACATACATGCAAAACACATGGAACAAACACACATAAGCACAGGAGAGTTGTCAGTGTATGTTTCAAAGATGCTGAAAAGTAACCTTGTGCAGAATCAAACACCTTGTTGTGATGGGTTCTAGGCTTGAAGGCACAAGCGGAAGAAATAAAATCCCATCCTGTCACTAATATATTCTGATGAATCCTTTTGATGCCCTTTACGTGTATGGGAGGTTGTTCTATTACATCCCTTTATAACTGCAAAGACGATGTGGTTACTATATATACTGGCTTATGATTTTAAGAAGCCTTTACATTTTTTATGATTTCTGGGGTTAAATGTTTTAGAAAAAAGTGGGGTGTGGCAGCAGGTACCTGTAATTCCAGTGCTGAGGAAGTGGAGGCAGGCAAATTCCTGGTGCTCACTGGCCAGGGGACCTATTCTCCTAGGCAAGCTCCAGGCTAATGAGAAAACCCATCTCAAAAAACAGGGATCCAAGGTTGTCCTCTGGCTTTCACATTCAAACACATGCTCAAGCAAGAGCACGTGTGCGTGCACGTGTGCGTGCGTACACACACACACACACACACCTATTTGCATAGACATGGAAACATAGATGCACACACACGTTCAGAGAATGGGAATTTTATCTAAGTAGTATTTGGTGATGTTACAGAGATTGTGTACCTTGTAGATAACTTCCAAGCCTATCACTGTCATGTAAGCACTGTATTCTTTTGTTCTACAAACTCCCATGTAGAATGCTTTTGCTTCTAGGTTGTGTGTCTCTGGCTCTCAGATAGTTCCAGAAGCACCCTCAGCCTCTACCCTGACAGACCCTGATGGAACAGAGTTGACTGGCCCCACATCATCCTCATCCTTGGAAGAAGAGGTGTACCACATGGATGGAAACATTGAAGAATATTTTGCTTTTGACAGAAAACAGGAGTAAATTAGTTTTATTTGGAATACTTCATAGTATAATCAATTTACCAAATGCTTTTAATATTTTTGTGTTTATGCTTATGAAAGATTCACTTTTTTTGAGAGAAATATACCCCAAATGTTTTAGATCTTGGCAGGGAGTGTAAATGCCACTGTGGTGGATGGAAAGCAAGAATTTTTCTAGCATAATAATGACAGTAGACAAGAACATTGGTATCTTATGTCTTGGGGCTTCAGGTTCCTTACACTTACCTTCCTGGAGGATAGAGAGGAAGTTCCAATACTGGTGCTAAATGCCTATTTTTCTTTTAAACAACTATGACATATCATAAAAATTTGCCTCATGGTTGAAATCCATACATTAAAAAGGAACTGGCTACTGAAGCAAGTCCTAGCAAATATAAGAAGCACATTGAGCATCCTCTCTGACCACCATGGTTTTAAAATAGGAACCTATAGGAAAGCCAGAAAATTCATCAAGAGAGAAATTAGATAGATACTTCCGAATTGTCAGTCTATCTCAAGACAAATGGAGACGGGAACACAGCACAGCAAAGTTGATGGCCCCCAGTAACAGCAGCTGGAAAAGGGGATTGTGACACTAAATGCCATGTTTAGAAATAAAGGCCTCATTGGGTAAGATTTTTGTCCTGCAAGTCTAATGAACTGAGTTTGATTCTCTAGTGGGAGGACAGAGCCCCCTCCCAATCAGATGTCTTCTGATTTTTGCTTACATGCTGTGGCATACACGCCCATGCAATACACATCATATAGACAGGAGGTAAGAAGGCATAGCAAAGCTAATTTTACACATGAAAAATAGAAGAAACTAAACCCCAGATTTAATAATAACAAAGATGAGAGTAGAAATAAGAGATTCCAAAAAAAGTAGTTAAGCAGACTGATGAAGTTGTCATTTTTCTTTCTGTGTTTTATTTTTTACCAGTTCTGTTGACATATATTTGACTAATTAAAATTGTATACTTTAAAAATAACAATGGAGTCTTTACAAGGACTATGTCACATATAAAGATAGATAGTAATAGACAGACACACATATAGCTAGCTAGATAGATTAAAAAAAAAAAAAACACATAGGCGACTATTTCAACCTTAATCTTGGCTATTCTGGTAATTCGAGTGGGTTTCATCCTTAGAGGAGATGAGCATCTGGAACTAAACCCAGCACTCCGGGGCAGGAAGTGGCATCGACATGGGCTTCCTCCCATCTCCCCTCATGACTGTATCAGAGATGCTGTGGCAGCAGAAGTGTTTGATCATGTTTGGACCAATGTGGTAGAAATACTGGAAGATCTCATAAGAAAGACCTGGGAATCTGCACTCACAGGTACTTATTTACAGAGTTTGGCTTCCTGGAAAGAGTAGAAAAGACCACACCACCACAGCTCTCAATCCACACCTCATGTGTGGGCTGGACCCAAAGCATGACTTAAAAATGAAGTAACCATTTGGGGGCTGGAGAGATGGCTTAGAGGTTAAGAGCACTGGTTGCTCTTCCAGAGGACCTAGGTCCAACTCTCAGCAACCACGTGGCAGCTCACAAAGGTCTGTAACTCCAGTTCCAGGAGATCTGACACCTTCATACCAATGCACATAAAATAAAGTTAAATTAAAAAAAAAAGTAACCATTCTGCCTTCTACACAGGCAATCATTAATCTCACAAGAGGGACATCATTGTTCTGAAGGCTCTTCCCTATTCCACTGTATAATCTGTTCTCCTACCACTGAGAAGATCACCACAGTAGCCAGTTGTCCACTGGAGTCTCTGCCCTCTGCTGTAAGGTTGTTTAGTCAATGTCTATGGTGTAAACTCATGGTAACTCGGAACATACATTTCTTGTTGATTTTTCTGTTGACAGATGAAAAAGTACATAAAGAGAAATTGAAAGTAGCTGAAAGTAGACCTCCACACTTGCTCGTGTCTCGTCTCAGCACCGATGGTCCCACTGTCCCTCCATCCCGAAGCTCTGAGACTCTCCATACATCCTTGGCTTCCCACTTTAATCCTCCCCAGGTACATGCATAGACACCCGGTCTCCCTGTCCCTTTATTTTTACGCCTTCTGCATCTGTTGTGAAGAAGAGTATCATTTTGTTCTTCCTACTGAACCTCACACCCTCCTGTGCTGGAGGACAGTGGATAGCTTGTAGTACAGGGCTTGAGGATGTCTGTCACTTAAGACAGCAAAGGTTGACCCCAATGGGTAGCACAAATAACTTTAAAAAAAAAGTTCTTGGGTATTTGTCAAAATGTAATATGGTTAATATGGTTTTTTCATGGTGTCTAAGAGAATGACAACATTCTTTAGTGAACTTGGCATTGCTTTGAGCTATATAACCATCTTCTACATTTTAGGAGAGGAAAAAAAAAGAGCCGAACCATTTTTCCTAAATATTTAGCCATCATAAATGATCCCCACCCCTTACACTAAAGTGACAAACATATTAATGAGTATTCAAAGAGTTCATGGAACACTCATTGTTGATATCACAGGTACCCTACTATTTAGTTTATATTATTTATATTACATGTACCCTATTAGATGTTTTGAGGAAGATACATGGTTGGATGAAACTGTCACTAACATAGTGAGACAAAACTATAACACAGGGTCATATACCACCCATTCTGTGAGGGGTGGGAAAGGAAAGAAGAAATTGAAGGAGGGAGGGAAATTGAAGAATTGAGGAGAGAATTGTGTGTCTTGATTAGAGATGGAGGGTTGAGGTTTTAGAGGTGATATCTGAGCAGGAATGTGAAGAAATGAATAGCAGGGGTGAGGTTTGGGGTTAGGCCTTTTCAGACCTAGTTTAGTTGTGTGTCAGTGAAAATAGAAATATCTGAGACGAGCATTTGGACTGAGAGCTTAAACGACAGAACCAGAAACCAGAGGACACTGAAGCAAACTCAGGAAGGTGGGGGTTGGAGTTCAGAGACATGTGTGAGGTATCGTTTCAATGTTTTCGCTCCTTATACCTTAGTCTTGGTATGTTTTGAGGTCTAAGAATTGTTCTCAGTCTCATGTTCTAGAAATATGAGAGCCTCACAGCACACAATCTATATAAGCCCTTAGTTCAGTCTTCCATAATTTATCTTTATTTAAAGATGGAGTGGTAGGTGAGACTAGAGAAGACTAGCTTGCTCATGGGATATTTTCCAGGTATCAGGGAGTCTGAACATGATGCTTATCTCAGCCTATTTGTGTTTAGAAACAGAGGAAATGGGTCATTTGCAAGTTTTGTTCTAGAGCTACAGTCCCTTACTGTACTCCCCCCCCCCCCCCCCCGCCCACACAAACAAGAAACAGCAGCACAGTTGCTAGCAGAGTGACTAAGGGTTTGTTCTTTATATCTAGGGTGCAAGTCTGGAGTCTGACATAATGTGAGTCCTTTTCCGGCAAAACCTCATTGTCATTCTCTGTCCCGTTTGTGCAGCTGGAAGTTCTTAATGTATTTAAGCCATTTACTAGAGTATCAAGTAGACACTTGGTATTAACTTCTGTTATAATCACATGCTATTCAAATATTCCCCTTAATTAATTGCTTTAGATCATAAGTTTTGTGGGGTTCAGAGAAAAAAATCCATATCTTTTACAAAGCTGTGTAAGCCTAAACAATGAGTTAAGATTTGTTAAACTGAGAGAGAATGAAAGAAAGAAAGGAAGGAAGGAAGAAAGAAAGGAACCAAAACAACAAAAATATCAATCAAGAGGCAAAATCATGAATCTAGCTTGGTATACTTGAACACAAAACCTTTGTAAGACTGAACTAGGCACAGATGGGTTTTGTAGTTGGGGGTAAAGCTTGTCTGCCAGTCTGGCTTTGCTGTCTGGCATAAGGCCTTATGGATAACCCTTCTTTGCTTTTGCAGTTTGGAAGTAACTTTTGAAGTTGCTACTTTCTTGCTATTGCTTTTGGTCTTTGATACATTCAATATGATATCCCTTGCTTTGTTTCATATGAATATGAATTCTATAAAGATGACACCTATAGTTTTATTTATTTATAAAATGTTCCCTCTGGTACATTATTCCTCTTATTAGCTAATTGGTGCTATTGGCTGCCTGCTGCTACCAAGCAGGCATCCATCGACTAAATAGCCTGGCTATTGATTAATGTTACTATTCTGTTTTTAGTTTAATCAGCTCCACCGCTTTTCCAGCAACTTCTATAGTGACTTGAGTGGAGTAATGACGATTCAAGCCAAACCCCTTCAGCAGAGACCCACCTACTTTGCAGATAAAACACAGTGAGTATTAAGAAATAATTACCTAGCATGCAAGGACAGAAACAGATTCTTCTAGTATCAGCCACTAGGTTAGAAGAGATGAGGAAAAGGGAGCATAGCTGAGAACTCTTCACCTCTCCAGCTTCACTATTGGGTTAACAACATTTCTTCTCCTGTTCTTCATTCATGTACCAATAGAAATGTCCATTCCTTCAACATATTTTCCAGAGAGTGTGTTCTGTTCCTTTGTGTCTCCTGTCCTTAGGAAACTAGGTATGAATACTTAACAAGATTTCCATTCCCCAGGAATGAACAAGATGACAAACTGTCTGGGGGAGGGATCAGTGCATCCTCACGTCACCGACTTGGCCGGATCCCAGACCCTCGGGGTCCACCGACTTCTTCCAAGAAAACACCAGTGCACAGGAGACTGCCTTCGATTGCTTCAGACGCACAGAGGCTGAAAACTCCCACAATCTATAGTGATGAAATTCTGAGGGGAACCAGACTGTGAGTCTTGTTTCTTTCATGGTAGACTGAAGACTTCAAGGGCCAGGGGACCTTGTCACTTAGCATTGATGAACTAGTGGGTGTGATGATAGGGTCCTCCACGAGATTTTACATTAGATTTTTCTAAATGAGTTCATCTGTCTGATTTTGTTCCAACAGCACAGGTAGCTGTCTACTAGAATAAAAGCCCATGCAAATGCCTAAAGGTCAGGCCACTACTGATGGTGGCTGAGCTTGGATTAATTTAGTGGCCCCATTTGTAGAATTGATAATTAATGCTTCTAAATTACAAAGCATATTTTATGGAAAGGTTTAAGTAAAATAATGCATGGTAATGCTTTAGATACTAATGTTCCAGCCAATTACAGACCAAGTATATGGCGGTGGTCACTTAAGATTGCATTGGTTCTGGCATCACAGCTGTTTGTGTAGACCCACTGTATGACACTTACACAATAACAGACTAACCTGAGAATGCATTGCTCCAAGTATTCCCAGCATTAAGCTATACCTGGGTTATATAAAATGCTTCAAAATAAATAAGTAAAGGGCCAGGGTCTGGAGAAATGTCCCAGTGGTTCAGAGCACTGGTTGTTCTTCCAGAGGACACAGGTTCAATTCCTAGCACCTACTTATTTATGAGGTCACACTCTACGGCTCCAGTTCCACATGGTTTTAATGGCCACAAACGAATCATATAGTTATATCCTATTCAGTAAGTATTTGCTGTTAGTGAAATTTCCCATTTGTTGTTGTTTATATTACCACTGTGAGGTATAGTGAACATCATTTTGTAGCACTCTTTGTAAGAACATCCTTAAGTTGTTTCTTGCTGGAACTGTCTAGAAACAAAACTGTCAGGTCAAAGGTTATGAATATTTTTAATATTCAGATTTTGCCAGGATGGTTTTCAGAATGACTGTGCCTGTTTACAGCTCCACTGGCAAGATAGGTATCACTTTCTCTGTAACCTCTGCTGGTAAAAACTTTACTATATTGCCAGGGTCATAATTTCATTACTAGTGAATAAATTAATTCAAGTTGTTTCTAAAATATCTATTTTTTATACAGAAAATAATGGCAGGATTTTTAATACTAATGTCTGATAGGAATACTCTTCTGTCTTTACTATATTTTAATTTGGATTTTCTCTCTAAATGACAAAAATGAGCTTTGGAGTCAGTGTGTGAAATTCAGAACAAAAGCATCACATTGACATCACAGTATCGAATCTATGAAACAGGTAGAAAACTGGTCTTGGTTACTCCTGGTGGCTTTTGTTCTCCCGACGAGCAACCTTTTCTCACTAACTCTACTTTGCTGTTTAGCATTTTAAATAAAGCTTTGCAGTTGTCCTCATTTAAGCTCTGTGTTTTTATAATTAATTACATTCTTCATTGATTGTTACACTCTGCAAACCTCTATCATTACTATTCAGGATTAATATTAATTAATAGATTAATATTCAGAACCGATACCACCGCACCTTATTATATGCTGGGTCATACTGTAGGGTTGAACAGGCTTTCACGTGTGTTGTTATTAACTCATCAGATGCTCCAGGGAGGATCTGTCCTGAACACTATGATTCTGTACACTTCCTAGCATGGCTGCACACTCAATAGATGCAGGATGATATTCATTGCTAAACATGGCTAATGTGAGCAGTGCTGCTTGACCTGGCTTCATATTTATCTTCCTGAAATGCAGCTTCTGCCATGAGTGCTGTTTCTAGAAGCAGTTGCAATAAATAGTTCAGATGATCTCCTTCTCTTCTGTATACCCCAGTGTTTAGTTGTATGTTGTGTTTACAGGCAAACTGGCATTGACTACCTGCCTTACTCAGCAATTCCAACCTCGAGGAGCCGGTTACCCCCAATAGGCTCTGAGGCTGCGGAGCCAAATACAGCTTCTGGATCCCGCCCTGTTTCTGTAAGATGAATTCCACTATAATTGCAACCATTTAGATAGTCTGTGGGGAAACAATCAGAAAAGTCAGTTGCACCAAACAGCTATCTAGTTAGCTGTGCTCGACATGTCTTCATCATCTGCTTCTAGAAATTGAATGGCTTGTGTGAGTCTAGAGAAAGAGTGAGAAGATTTACTCACTATTCTAACATAAACCTCAGCTTGAACTAAATTAGAAAGTCCAGGCATCAAGGAAAGACCTTGAAACTCTGGCTGGTGTAGTGAAGATAAGAGCATAAGGGGCAAGAGGCAGACAGCTCTGTCCTTCACTGTGGCCACATGAATCCTGTGATCTGACACAAGTTGCTTTGATGGCTCTCAGTTCTCACATCTTTAGTTAGCAATGGCCATTCCTGCATCAAGGAGTCCTTGCAAGCATTAGATGAATTCATAAACTTTAAATGCCTTGCACTAAGTAAGAGCTCAGAAAATTATAACCAATGCCCTTTTTATCTGCTCCCCTTTTTTATAGCTAACATTTTCCATATTTGACAGAGGTCAGTAGCCCAAGCCCTGCTCTGCCATGTAATTTTGGGGCTGGGGAAGGAATGCTCCATGCAGTGTGTATAACCAGTCCTCTCCCAGGCTAACAGTGACCCCCCCCCACACACTTTATTCTGTTATGAGCAATTGTATTTGCAGGACACAGAGGTCCCAGTTGTAGGAACATAAAGCAAAGAGGAAGAAAACAAAAGCTAAGTCGACTCACATTCACCTTAAGCAGCAGTAGGACCCATTCCCAGAAAGCAAGAGCTATGGGGTTAGACTGTTTAATACTGGGATGAAGTAATCAGTGAAGGCAGATGTCACATAAACAAGTCAATGTTTCAAGAACAAGTCTGTTAAGCCAAGTGATGATGACTCACACCTTTAATACCAGCACTCAGGAGGCAGGAAAAAAGCTGTGAGTTCCAGGACAGCCAGGGCTTGTTACAGCCCAGAGAAACCCTGTCTGGAATCACTCCCCTACCCCCCAAAAAAGCTATGTTTCAAAATGCACTACTACATATTTAGTATAATTTAATGTGTATAATTTTTTGTGGTTACAGTCTCTGGACCTGCTCTACATCATATTATACTACAGCTTTATTGAATTTAGTTATGTGAACACATACTCCACACACAGACTCAAGTCTAGATGTTTCCATGTCAAATCTTACACTTAGCAATGTGTAAATCAAAATGTTAGAATAAGCGGGTGATTGAATACACTAGTGAATAATATAAACGTTTGTAGGTTTTTCCTGTTGGTATAAAGATTGTATTCATTCTTTAAGAGAACATATTATCTCCCATTTAGTACAGGGGAAGGCATCCACAAAACCGTGTGTTCAGTGCAATCCCTGACAGCATCGAACGGTCACCCCTTCGAGAAAGAACCATTGTCCTGGAACAGCTTTCAAGGCCCAGCACAACACATACATTCCAGGTAGGTTCAGGGTTGTCTCTAGTTTCAGTTTTAAATAAAAATGGAAAATACAGCTCACTCATATTTTTCTTTTTCTCCTACCAGTCAGATACACCAAGAAAAGGTTCCCTGACACCCATGGAATTTGTTGCTCACACATGGACAGGTCAAAGTATTTTGACAGGTTAGCATCTTCCTCGTGTAAAGACAATGGGATCTGTGGGGGTGGCAACATATTTCTGTCATCAAAGAGTTCAAGTGGCTGAGGCAGGAGGTTGGAAAGATGGAGGCCATTCTGGGCTACACAGTGAGGGTGTTAAAGGAAAAGAGGGAGGGAGTAGGAAAGAGAAAGAGGGAGGAGGGGAGGAGTAGGAGGACACACACACACAGAGAGAGAGAGAGAGAGAGAGAGAGAGAGAGAGAGGACAACGATGCTATTTGTGAGATGGAAACTTTTCAGAAAATAAAAATGAAGATTACCTATCTCAATGCCCCTGCGTTGACCTTGTAGGAAGGAAGAGTAGGTGTATATGGTTCATGGTTGGCCTGACCTCAGACACCATGACAGACCATTATGTGCCAGCTTTTGAGTGGCAAGTGGCAATGGGAAACATGGTCTTAATTAACTGGGACCTCAGTCTTCTAGTCTTCTAAAACAAAGGAAAGGCTGCCCTTGGAGAGGCTGCTGTCTCTTTCTCTCATTGTGTTTTCATTTCTTCTAAATGAACCCTTATTCTGGATTGTCCATGAAAATCTCATGTGACAGTGCTTGAGAAAACTAATAGAGACTTGTTAAGAGTTTGGCAGAGTAGGGTTTTACGTAAAAGAACTTATTCTGGGCCTAATGTGCTAGTAGCTGAAGAAAGTTCTAGTAGGGAGAGGGACCATCAATGTTTTGATTTTTGAAGTGTCACCATATTTCTGCCCATGGAGGAATCATTTCATGTAAGCTTGGGCATGTCACAACCTCTCAGGACAAGGTCTTCTGTTTTATATCAAGCCACATGGCTAAAATAATCACTGAAAATTCCATAAAAAGGGAATAATAGCTATTTGCTAGACATGTACCATTTGCTCAGAATTATAAGTTGTTTGTGTTAGCGACAGCTGAAATGTTAAGGAAATGTATTGTTTGAAGAAAAAAGATCTTTTAATATGTTATAATTCTAAAACTGAATTAAGTTAGCATTGTATAACACATTTTTTTAACCAGCCTTTTTTCAGAGCAATTCATGCTATATAATGCAGGCTAGCCTTGAACTTATAATAACCTCCTGTCTCATTCTTCCTGCTGCTAAGAACACAGGTATGCTGTGCTCATGGAGGCTTTAGGCACTTAAAGCTTTTTGTTGTCCTGTTGTTTAATAGCTTTTGGATTTTTATCCTCCCTGGCAGTATTAATTTACCTGCTAGTGATAGTAGTACGTTCTCTAAAGGCAGACATGTTTCATAGTGTGTATGTGGTGTGTGTGTGTGTGTGTGTGTGTGTGTGTGTGTGTGTGTGTGTGGTGTGGTACATGTGCATGCCGTCAGTTATTCTCCTTAATAACTCCTCCCTCCTTCTTTAAGCCTAGGCTGGCCTCACTATATAGACCAGGCTGGTCTGAGGCTTGCAGATGTCCATCTACCTCTGCCTCTGGGATTAAAGGCATCACACCCAGTTCCATCTTGCTAAACTTGGAGCTCACCAATTGGCAAGACTGGATGGCCAGCAAGCCCCAAAGTGTTCACCTTTCTCGGCTTTCCCAGATCTGGGATTACAGACATGTTACCATGCCTGAATTTTTCTGTATGTGCTTGGGATCAGAACTCAGATCCCAGTGCTAGCATGATGAGCCCTTGACTGACTGAACCATCTCTCCAGTCCCATGGTTACTGCTTTGAACATAATTAGATGATGAAAGTAGGTCTCCACGTTTGTTTATGATTAAATAATGATGTTCCAAGGAAGTATTTATTCTTTGACAATAATGAAAGCGGGATGCAGCATAGAGCACAGGTCTGGGGATATGGCTCAATGACAGAGTGCTTGCCTGGCTTGCGGTATACCCTTGGTTCCAACACTAGCACTGAACAACAACAACAACATCAAGGTAGACAAGACAAGTGGGTAAAAGTGCTTCTTGCTAGGCAAGCCAGATGACTTGAGTATAATTCCAGGAAATGCATGGTAGAAGGGGAAAAGCAATTCCCAAGTTAACTCCTGACCTCTTGAAGTGCACTGTGGTACATGCAAGCATGCACACACACACACACACACACACACACACACACACACACACACACTTATTAAAATAATTCCTTTTTTGAAACATGGTCTCATTATCTAGTCCTGGCTGGACTGGAACTCACAGAGATCCACATCTCTCTGATCCCCAAGTGCTAGAATAAACAACATTTAACAAATAATAATAATAATAATAATAATAATAATGATGATGATGATGATGGAGCCATGCTTTACAAAGCATTTAGTCTAATGGGAAAGATGGAAAAGGCCATGAGAGAGATGAGCAGGACCACCTTCTCATCATCCTGGGCCCTAGACAGATCTCTGCAGGAAAAGTTCATGTAAACCCCTCAGCTGTGGGAGAAGGCAACCCAACAGGGTTGGGTGGGGCATTCTTTCTCCTTACTCAGGATTCTACATGACAGTGTTTGCATATGACTACTTTGTAGTTTATGAAAACATAAATTAAATAAAATATTTTTAGTGTTCAAAATATGGTCTGCATGCAATAGATGGAGCAATCTTTGGAGGTCCAATTTTAATATTTTACAGCAAATGCAGTGTCTTTTGTATTTCAGGTTCTCAGTATCTACCTAAATCTTATCAAAGGGCAACTTTGACTGCAAGAAAGAGGTTCCAAGTGGCATCTTGATATCACTGATATGTAATTATGGACTTGCTGGAACTTGTGAAGCCTTGGCCATACCATTTGTCACTTTTCAAGTGTAGGAACAAGTATTACCTGGTGTATATATACTCACCTCTCTGTCTGACAGCAGAAGATGGCAGGATACTCGAGAAACAAGCAAATAAGTAACTTACTTTTGAACACTTGGTTTTATAAGGAGAATAAAAATTGACCTCACTGATCCCTATGGGAAGCATGTCTGAAGCTTCTTGGGCTCTAATTCTTTGCCCAAAGACCCTAGTATGTCCTTAAATTCCCTCTTTTCATCATATATACTTACAACTAGTGTTCACATGCTGAAAACATGGGTGTATTCCATAATAACACACAATTTTGTAACTCTAGACCATCACATATATTTTGGTCTCATTCTCTAAATGATGCTATCCAAATTAAATAGCAGTAACATTTGAGACAATTTGTCCATTTGAAAAAGATTCTGTTTCTTCTGTTCATTGTACTGACTTTAAAATAATTACTGCATATGCAATGTATAAAGTGATGGGTTTCATGATGACAAGATTTCTCATCCCCTTATTACTGTGTGATTAGTCATGAATATCCGAGAAATGTCTTGCAAGCCAATTGTGCTTAAAAAAAAAAGGAAAAGAAAACCATGGTAAACTAGTTTTCATTGTCAAATTTAAACAGTTCATCTAAAAGTATCCCACATTTAAAGCTGAATATAAGCACAATTAAAATCATTTGCATATTAACGTTTCAGTTGGCATGTTTGACAACTGGTCTCAGAGTTGTAGCACCAGCATCCTTATATCATTCCAACCCATTCTTTGCTCTGATGTCAACGGGAGTCTCCTGAGCCCTTGCTGAAAGTAGCAGTCCCCCTTTCCCTTTGCCCTTTTCCTACTCTGTATTCTTCAGATCATGTGTCCCACCTGACTATTACAGTCAGGGGAGTGGAGGACAGGGAAGAAACGCCTGTCAAAGGCAAGGCCCATCCCTAATGCTTAATCCTGGTTCGTTTCATATACATACATCTCAAATCAGCATAATTACTCTCTTTATGAATACATACTTATACTACATCAACATAAAGCCCTTTAAGGTAAACTTTACATACATACACATGTATGCATATACCATTTAAACATGCGAGAAATTGTTTTTAGCACATTTCTTGCTGTAAGGAGTGGGTATCATTGGCTGTCTACTTAGAGATGTGTGGAGAATATAATTGGATCTGCTGTTTACATAGAACTACAGAACGATCAACCAGAAGTGACTTTGGAGCTTTGTTCTACCTTCACTCTCTCCACTTATTTATTGCAACCCCAGGACAGGATAGAGAACAGACACTACTTAAATTGCTATATTGACCCTTCCTTTCAGACAGCCACTCTGAATGTCACTTTCTCTACCTAGGTGTATGTCAAGCGCTCAGTTTCTCCCTGAGAATTATCTGAACCATTTCTCATCATAAGCTCTGGAAGTTCTTTGGAGAAAATATCAGTCTTAAAGCAATTGCTCTCCACATAGAGGGGTTTCTGGATTAGTGAGTGGCTAGAGTCCTGCCCACCAGGTGCCTGGCTGGCTGCTTTGAGGTCCAATATTACTGCTAAGAGAGTCATTCACTCTGTTCTCTCATAGCCATTCATCCCAATTCATATTACTTCCTAGGTGTCGTCCAACTGTTTTTCCCTCAACCCGAGATTTGAAAAGGGAGGCAGCTAATAGGGCATCCAATAAGATGGTGACTCCAAGATAAGTTATTATCTTGGAGCCATGGAAATGATTTAATAGTGACCTCCCCATGTTTGCCTTCAGAGGTTTGGTGTTGGATATGTATTATTTATATCAGCAAAATAATGCAGTTAAAATAGAATCTGGCACAGTTTTTATCTTCCAGCCACTTTGAATGGAAAGCAAAATACTGTTAGAGGGTAGCTAGACTCAGAGGTCTTACCAATTCTGAAGCGACCTCCTCCTGGAACTTATTTTCTTGCCTGTGTTAAAGATATTTTATTTATAGGTGGAATAAGATTTGTAAGTTAGAAAATGATGCTTATGTGAGGATGATGCTGTTCAGACTGTAAAGAGAAAAATCAGGGGAATGCTTTTTACAATATTTGACTTTCATAAGTGAGCCTGAACTTAGGCTCTCTCTGGTAAAGATTGAAAACTGGAAGTCATTTCAGAGAAAACATTTCAATTGCTGGTTAGTGACTCCATAAATTAAAGTATCTTTAATTCATCCCAAACCAAAGAAAGAGTGAAGGAATTTTAAAATAATTCAAGAAAGTATGATATTTGGTGAAAATGGCTAGATTTCTAAAGAATATAAAAAGGAAGCACAAATCTTTATGTTTGTGTTACTCTGACTAGGATGGAGTTTCTTTACTAATTAAGAGCTTTGCTTTGAAGGCCATAAATCATTTCAATATATTTTTATTATCATTGTTTTCTTATGATGATGATTGTTCAGTAATTTTAATCATTTAATTTTTAATAAAACACAAGATGTTCAAAGAGTTCTCAGAATTTCATTGGCTTCATAAAAATATCCTTACATTCCCAGTTTTTATGAATTCTGTAACTATCACTTTGCAGTTTCTAACATACAGACATTTGTTCCTCTCTCTCTCTCTCTCCTCCTCTCTCTCTCTCTTTGATGAGTTAGGGTCTTTTGTAATCCCAGGCTGGCTTCAAATTTCCTGTGTAGATGACCATGGCTCTGAACCCCCGATCCACATATCTCCATGGCTCAAGTGCTGGAATTATGGGGGTATGTCACTACACCCAGACTGTTCAATTATTTCTAAGTAGACAGTCAACTTTCCCCAGAAATTTCAAAACAGACAGATAGGTAGATAGTGAGAGATCAAGCAAGAGCAGGAGCCTGGGCATGGGAGAGAATGTGAAAGCAAGAGCTTGATTGGTGGAAGTTTCTTTAATTTGTAAGTACTCCAAAGAAAACTTTGTTTTAGAAGGCAACACTTCTACGTTGTGCTCATCAGAAATATGTCTTATAAATATAAGCATTTTGTGTTAAATGTTTCTTTTAAAAAAAATGGATGGAATAAGACAAAGGTTTTGCTCTCAGAGAGTGTAGATTCTAGGGGAAATGATAAACAGTAGACAAATTAAAAATGTAGAAAAGTAGGCCCAGCCAGAGATTAGCCGTAGAAAGAAACTGACAAGAGGAAGTGACGGAGCACACAACTTCATGGGGAACAATCGACCAAGGCTGTATTTCTGAGCCCATACAACCGAGGGCACAAAGATGAGAAAAATCAGCCATGGAAATATGTAGAAGTCCAGAGTGAGAATTGACAGGAACAACACCGACAGCAGAGAAGGGAGGAGTAAATGCAGGGGTAATGGTAGAGGATGGCTCACAAGATGATACCAGGGGGGTAGCAGGGTCTGAGTAAGATGAGTGATCGTCATAAATGTGAAATTACTTTGGTAATTTTGGCAAGAAATCCTCCTGTTTCAGGTTACTTGGCAGTAGCCGGGCAGATGAGAATTCGCAGGCTTTTAGGTCTATTCTGAAACTGAGCTGACACTATTTGAAGTGTGATTGCAAAAAGGGCCAAGAGTGACTCTAGAGATTTTGCCTCATCTCTTGGAAATACAGTGAAACTGGAAAGAGAGACAGAAAGTAAGTATTGGAGCATGTGACAACACTGTGCTTCTGATGCTCATTAGAAGGCTGAGTAGAAAGTATTTGGGTATCCGGAGAAGCAGAAACAAGAGTAATAAATTGAGTACTGTTCCAATGTACTCCTGTTCCTAGATCCCATTGTGAACTGAAAGTCTCATAAAAAAATCATGAATTAATGTCTACCATAATTGTTAGTTAGCTTACCCCAAACTTCCTTAGGACACTGACATTTAGCCTATTGTTGGACAAAAGTCATCTAGCGCAAAGTCTTATTCAGGATGTCCTACCAAGTACTGAATACCTGTGATAAAAATGTGCTGGCAATCCAGAGCTCTACAAAGATGGTGTTGCTGTGTAAATGGGTGGGATTACTTGGGAACTGTCTTTAATATTCAATGCACTGAGTTAAGTGGTAGAGCATATAATGTACCACTGAAGGGTCTTTCAAGTGGGCAAAGCCCCCTTTCACATCAGTGCTCTTCAGGAAGGGAAGTGACAACACACCTCCCTGTTTGGTTAGATTAGCTTTGTGAGGCTGAGAAACTGGCAATAGTGGTCACACACGTCACAGATTCACTACCTTAGCATTGGCAATGCAACCATGTGCCCCAAAGAACACTACTACACTTCCTGGTGGGTATCCTAAAGGGCAATAATATTGTATGCTTTGTTGTCCTTGGAAGGGTATTGCTGCACATTTCTTACACTCCCAGCCATCTGACTTAGTCTTCAACGTCAGTATTACAAGGCATTGTGAGAAGAATTGTTACTTCAGATGAAGAAGAAGAAAAAAACCAAAACAAACAAAAAACCAGAGAACTGATGAAGGAAACAAAGCTTTTATTATATTATCAACCCCCCATCTTTAATATCTCTCATGCTCATCTATCTACAAATTGGCTCACCCTCCCCACCCTCAGGCCAAATTTTCAATACCCACTCTCCTCATTAATGAAACACTGACAAAGCTCCTAAGTCTGCTGTCCCAGCTTTGTCTGTTGCACCCTGACTATGCACATTAACATGAACTACCTCCCTGAAAACAGCTAGGGCTCTAAGGAGTAACCCTGAAGGTCTACTAGCACCCATGCTTTCCTTGTTTGGGAACTTTCCTTCTCCCATATCCTCATTTGTCCATTACCGAGGCACACCCCCACTGATTTTTTTGAGGAGACCGGTTTATGTTACAATTCTTGTTTGTCCACAGAGATTAGCAGCAAGTCACATAGAGGTGTATCTTCCACTCTTATAGCTGTAATTGACCTCACAACTCAGCCTCAGTCGTTAAAGGGAAGAAACTAAAACCTATGAGGCATACTTAACAAGACTAAGTAAACATATTATTTCTTACGGAAGTCTGGAAGTGATTCAATAATGCAGAAATAAAAAAAAAAAGGAGAAGTCTTCTAAGTTCCTCTCCTCCATACCACTCTCTTTCCATTGTAGTTGCAAAGAAGTTTTCTCCCATTATCTTTATATATTAATGATATATTGATGTATGTGCATTACATACCATAGGATGCCATAATTCTTGAAAAAGGCCATTAATTATATATATATATATGTATATACATATATGTGTGTGTGTTAATTATATATATATATGTGTATATATATATATATGTATGTATGTATGTATCATCTAGCACTTCTAGTCCTAAATTGAGTTAAAAGATAAGAGAAGGAACATTCATGATTATTTACAGCATAGGAAACTTTCAAACAACAGAAACACCCATACTTATATTACTATGTTTTATGAAATTATAAATGTTCTGCTTTAATATATGAATACATATACTAATATATGATTTTAAATAATAACATAATGATAATGTAAACTTTGTCATTTCTTTGTTTTTCTTTATTTCTTCCTTTTTTTTTTTTTTTTTTTTACTCTTTCACTACTAGCTTATGAACTTCTCATGTCAGTGCATACTGATGGCTCTCTAACAACCTAACTGGAGGGGAGGACAAGATGGCTCAGCTGGGCAAAGAGCTTGCCACCAAGCTTGACCCCCTGAGTTTGATCCTCCAAACCCACATAGTGGAAAGAGAGACTGTTGTCCTTTGACCTCCACGCTCTCATACATTTATAAAATATAATAAAAATAAATTTTAATTGAACTGAGGAATGCCCTGCGTGTGTTTTCACCACATTCCACTGGCCACCCAGGCGTCTGTGGGCAATCCATGAAATCTCTGTAAGAAAATAACTGAGAAAAAATGGCAATCCAAGACATATCTTTGCATTTCAACCTTTCTGGTCACTCTACCTAGTTAGTGTGGAAGGAGGTACCGTCTACTAGGAAAGGGCACTACTACTCCTGCCCTTTGGTGAGGAGAATCTGATGTAGAGGGAGGAGTGGTGTTAGGCCTGGGCACCTCCACGGGTAGTCAAAACACAGTCCATGAAGAGGGTGGGGACTCTAGCTGGGCTTTTCCTTCTGCAGGCTCGGTGATTTTAGCTGCGTTTTGCCTGTGCACCATAGCTATTGTTTCCTTCCAAACCCTCTGCATCCCTTGACACCCTACCTTTATTCCCCACTTTATTCCCCACTTCCTGGTCTCTCAAGGTCTGGCTTTTTTTCATTAGAGGGTTTTGGGAGGAAGTGCCTAGATTGCAGTCTCCTTTAGGTCCAGTGTCTCAATCAGTCAGCTGACACTCACTGAACATGTGACTCCCCGAAAGGTCTAGGTCACAGCAAAGTGGTTGTGGTGCCTGACCCTGAGCAGAAGCCATCTCTCTGGGCAGCCAGCCCTGCCCTAGGACAGCAACTGATGCAGGTTGCACAAGGACCAGCTAATTCAGAATTCCAAAGACTGCGTTTCAACACCCGCGACTCTTCATTTGATTCTTTTAAAACAGACTGCTCATGAGATCCGTAAACTCCACACTTAGGGGGTGTTGCAAAATCCTAAACAGCAAACCTTAGCCGGACTCAGGGCGTCCAGAGATGATGGTGTGAATTTCTAATTTCTTCTCCATCCAGAAACTGCCCTAAATTCGACCTCTCCGTCTTCTTTCCGCACCAGAGTCTTCAAGTGCATTCTGAACCTCAGAGCTCAGAAGCTGTTCCGGGTCTTTCACTTTCGTCTAGCACCCCAGAGACTAGCTGAATTACGTAGGCTCCAGCGGCCGCATCATTAACAAGCCAGGGACGCTTTCTCTCAGCCTCAGAAACGTTGTCCCCAAGGTCAGGTGGCGGTGGTGGCAGTGGCTACAGAACTCCCCGACTCCAGAGCAGGAAGACCCCGAGCATACCGGACGTGTCCTGGGAACCAGCTCCTGCATTCCAGAGTCTCGGAACTGGTCCAGTCCCTGTTGCTTTGAACTTGGAACAAAATTTCCCTCACTTTGCTGAGCCCCACAGCGGCTGATCACCACCCGCCCCTTGCCAGCAAGGAAAGAGGAGCATCGGAGAGATGATGTGGCTGTGGTTAGGGCTCATCGGGCAGAAGCTGTTGCTCTGGGGAGCAGCGAGTGCAGTCTCAGTGGCCGGTGCTACTGTCTTGCTCAACATCCTGCAGATGTTGGCCAGCTACGCTCGCAAATGGCAGCAGATGCGGCCTATCCCATCCGTGGGACCACCGGCCTATCCCTTGGTGGGACATGCGTTGTTGATGAAACCCAACAGCACAGGTAAGAGTTTGTACAAGGAGTCTGTATTCTGACCAGAAGACTGGGAAGCCTATTCAAAGGACTCCTTCCCAAACTTGGGGTCCTCACATCGCTCAGACCCACTTTCTCATTAGCTGCTAGAAGAAAACAATCATTCACCCCTAAAGAATAGATTCCCAGCTCTCCCGATTCCAGTTTCCCCTCTGGTGCCTGCCAAAGTGTCTCTTCCATCCTATAAAGAGCTTAGTAAACAAACGTAAGTATATGTAACAGATTGCAATACTTCCAAGCACCTGTGGTTCCTTAGACCTTTCTCTGTTGCAGAAGTTCTTTTTCCTTGTCTTGGTTAGCAAAGAGTTAAGGAGGAAACCGCCCTTGGAAAGCTGCAAATATCCTCAAACTGCAGGCCAGTCCTCTTTGTCTCTTAGTTAAGAAAACAGGAGAGCAGAGGTTGGTTTGTGGCTTGTTGCCTCCTGTCTCAGACATCCTATTGCTTGATCAAGGGCAGTTAAAATCCTCTTGGCCTTTGTATTTCCTGTTGGAGAAGTTTCTCAGCTACCCCTACTGCCTGGGTAATGAGGTAAATTATATATATAGCCAGTTCTAAAAATCTTATTTATTAAGGAGTGCTTTTTAAAAAAAATTGAAATAATCTTTTTAAAATGTCTTATGCATTTTTCTGCTTGTTTTATTGATGTAAAAAAATACCTTAAATCAGAAAGTCCTTAAAGGCAATGGTATTTGTGGTTCCGGGTTGGAATGTTGCATTTGATCTTAACACTTAATTTCTATGACTGTGTAAGTTGGGATGGCCAGAACTACAGATACAACCAGCATGGCACATTTGAAAAGAACCTGCATCAGGAACTATGCTTTCTTCAGATTAATTATTAATAGTTGCTTTCCAGGCTGACCATCAACTTTTAATCTTTTAAAGATACTTTATTATCATTTCTGTGACTCCAGACAAAAACTGCATGCTCACTACAATTTGACATGAATAAACTGGAAAATCATAGGAAAGTATGCATCAAAATATTTCCTAGCAGAAATCCCAGTAAATTTGTCACCTAACAATCAATATGACTTATGTTAGAAGCTACACACCAGTATAATCACAGTGATTACACTCAGGCTGTCTAGTTGCCTCTACTCAAAAGAAAGTTAACCTCCCCTTCCACTCCAAGACTTGAAAGTATATGCTGATAATTCCACTGTAAAAACTATGGCAGACAAGATCCAAAACCCTAAATGCCCATTGGAGAATAAAGATTTCTTAGTATAGAAAGCCAGGTTCTCAGGAAACCGTTCAGTGTTTCTGGCTATATACTGAGGAGTCCCACTGTGTTTAGTAAAATGAAAATTGGCAAAGCATTATTTTGAGCGTCTTTGTAGGGAGTTTTCACAGGAGATCAGTGGGTAGAACTGAGTGGCCCAGCTAAGAAAAACTCATCTTTAACATGGGCAGAATCCCAGCACCCAACTCACCCTGAGTACAGAGAAACAATACAGGAAGCAAATCAGTATCTCCCTGAGTTTTTCTCCAGTTGCCTTGGTCATCAGAAAGCCAGGCTTGCCAGTCTCCAGATTGTGCTACTTAGGCGAGCCTCTGGCTTCCCCCATGCCTCTTTCTGTTTTCTATTCCTGCATTTCATGTGCATCTCTCACGGCTGCTACTTCTGAAGGTACAAACTGCTCACACTCAGAGTCCTAATTCATCGTAGGCATAGTTTTTGCATGTCTGTCTCAACACAAGTGCGTTATCACCAGGTTGACTTTCGAGGAAGTACTGGGTGTGTATGTAAGAACATGGGGGACCCTCAAGAAATGAAGATATTGGCATCCATGAAAGAAAAATCTTGGGGCCTCAGCTCTTTCGATCTGCATTTCCCCATTGTGGGCTTTCATCCATGTCATTGTCACACTTGTATTGCCTATCATCACATTTCAAATGCCAGCAACTATGCACTGAGGTGCAAGCAATTACAATGATGGTGGTACATGTTTATATATTTTAATTTTTGACCCATTTCTTTATTAACACAGTTAATCTGCTTATGATTGTTATTAACATGTCTGCGTGTTTTGATTGTAAAAACATATGCAAGTACTTATTTGATTACATAAAGTGTTCTCCGAGGCATCTCAGTGTTATTGTATTGTATTCTCTGAAATTTTAAGGAAATATCTCTTATATAACTTTTTTAAAAAATATTTTTCTGTAATTTTATTTTGAGGATGTTAGTCCTTTAGGGTTTTAGATTTTAGACATTTTGGTCTTTTCTGTATTTCCTCATTTAAAATTATAAATGTTTGGGATTAAAATCCTCCTTGAAGGGGATATAGTCATAGAAGCCTTGGTTCTACTTTACCCTTGGTAAGTCTTATATTTTGGGGAAATGCACTAAAATCTTCAGTGACTAAGACCAGATGAGAAATAACTTTGAGCTGGTGGGAGTCCTTAAATTCATTCTCATTGGAGTGACTCCGAGAGAGGAGTGTGGCCGCTTAGAAAGGACGGCTTACTCAGGCAATAAGGACTACACTTGGGGATGACAAAATCATTGCTCAACTTTCTGTTATGAAACTGACTTAATAAGGAAGTTGTTGAGAACTCTCTGAGTTAAGAGTTTTTCTGCTGTTCTTAACTTATTTCATTTATGGCAGTCACTTTTGTAGTTATCTTAGGATTAAAATGCAATTTGAGTCAAATTTCTAGGTCACTATCTAAGCTGCACTTGTCTGCAGTAAGTCCTTTAAGTGCCAATCAAGCATTTATGGAGACCCTTTGTACTCAGCATCAAGCTCAGCAAAAGTGGGCCTGTCAAAACACCCTAAGATGGGATCTCTGCTCTGAGCCACACTGTCCATTATATAAGAGGCTGTGCCTTTTATTTTATGGTTAAGTGTGGTGATGTATTACTTTTTATTTAATAAACCTTGCCTGAGGGTTCAAAATGCAAAGCTGGCCACAAGCAATAGAACCAGGCAGTGATGATATATGCTTTTAATTCTAGCAGGCATACTAGTTAGCCATAGAAGCCAGGTGATGGTGACACACCTTTAATCCCAGGACTCAAGACTCAGAGGTAGATGGATCCCTATTAGTTCAAGGCCACACTGAGCTACACAAAATTGATTCAGTCTAAGAGATAAACATCTCACACAAAGGTAATCTCAGCACTTGGGATCATGTGCCTTTAATACTAGCTCTTGAGGTATATAAGACAGGAGCAGATATTCAGTCTGGGGCATTTTTTGGTCTCCAGCCACGTTGAGGACAGGATTTCTTCAGCCTGGGTAGAGGTGACAGCTTGGGTAGAGATAAGACTTCGCTGCATTGCTTCTGTGATCTTCAGCTTGAAGCTTGAACCTCAATATCAGTCTGTTTTTTTATTATTCATGTTATGGCTAAGGTTCAGATTCAGGCCTTGGTGACCTTACTGTGTGTATTGCATGCAGATTCCAGTTGGCATCTATAGTCTCAAGTTTACCAGTGTTTCCTGTTAAATAACCAAAGGGCCCAAACTTTGGATCTGACTCCCTCCAACCACAGATTCAAATGCCCTCATCTTCCCACCACACCAGAGCAAGGTGGTCAGAAGGCCAATGTGGAACAGAATGCTCTGAAACCAATGAGATGATACAGCCCACAATTTTAAAAATATTTCAATACATACATACATACACACACACACGTGTGTGTCTGTGTACATATGTGTGTGTGTGTCTGTGTGAATGTATGACACATATATGTGGGTGCCTGTGGAGGCCAGGAAAGGATGTTAGAACCCCTGATGTTGAATTTAAGATGATCTGCTATGAGTGGTGGGAATTGAACTTAGGTCCTCAGGAAGAGCAGTCAGTGCCTTTACCCACTGAGCTATCTCTCTAGTTCTAGTCTTTAAAATTTTAAAACAATTTCTTAATTAACATTCATTTATTTATTTAGAGGTGTGTGTGTGTGTGTGTGTGTGTGTGTGTGAGAGAGAGAGAGAGAGAGAGAGTGTGTGTGTGTCAGTGCATGTGTGGAGTCAAAGGACATCTACCTAGATTCAGCTCTTTCCTTCCACCATGTGGACCCCAGGATCAACTCAAGTTGGCAGTTGATAACTTTCCTGACTGGACCATCTTTCCTGCTCATTCCCTGCCATTTCAACAATACTGACAGTATTTGTATTTTTGTTTCATTTTTTTGTTTTTGAGACAGTGTTTCTCTGTATTGCTTTGGAGCCTGTCCTGGAACTCACTCTGTAGGCCAGGCTGGCCTCGAACTCACAGAGATCTGCCTGCCTCTGACTTCTGAGTGCTGGGATTAAAGGCATGAGCCACCACCACCCGGCTCAGTAATTTTTTTTTTTATCTAAGATATTCTTGGAGTTTCTTTTCCAAGTGTGGTACAATGGTTTAGATGGCAGGTTCTGGGGTCTTGGGTCAAAGCCAGGTTCTACCATTTTCCAGTTCCCTGGCATCAAGCATTGATTTATTAGGAATGTACATCTTGTCACATCAAATCCTAATAGTTATCTTATGATAACTTACATCATTGTTATGATGGGAGATGTCATTCTGTAAATATGTTTCTCATACTGGTTAATGAATAAAGCACTGTTGGCCAATAGGAAAGCAAGATAGATGGGACTAGGAGACAAGGAGGATTTGAGGAAGTAGTAGGGAGGAATCAAGATGGAGAGACTGGAGAGAGCAGACGCCAGCCCCACTCTCCGGTAAGATGAGACCACGTGGAAATACTTAGATTAATAGAAATGGGTTAATACTTAAGACAGAGCTAGCCGATAAGAAACAAATAACTGGCCAACAGCGTTATATCAAATACAGAGTCTCTGTGTGTTAATTGGGGCCGGCACCGCGGTGGGTCCAGGCCAGCAGGAAAAACCTTACTCCTAACATTGTTAGCTCTTATTTGAAGGACAGATAATACTTTTAAAAATAACCTTGCAGCTACAGAAATGTTGCGAAACTCATGGGACCTCCCATCCACTCCCCAGCTCCTATAATGATGATATGTCACATACCTTGCGTATTTGTTGAAAGGAGATAATGGACATTTGTACACTCAACAAATTCTTGTGTCCATGGAATTTAGGACAAAATTTTTTTCTTCCAGACTTTTTTCAACAGTTAATTCAGTACACAGAAGAATTCCGACACCTGCCACTCATAAAACTTTGGATCGGACCAGTGCCCCTGGTGGCCCTTTACAAAGCAGAGAATGTGGAGGTGGGTACTTGCTATTATAGTGGACAGTGCGCTATATAGGCTATGATGTAAGTGCATCAGGACACAAGGAACAAATACAGCTTCAAGTTTCATTACACTCCATCCAAGATTACTTCCCTGTGCAGGCTATTCAGAGATTTCTTGCAATTACAATCCTGGAAGGCTAACTCCCCACAGCTGTACATATTTCTCATTAGGTCTCAAGACACCGGTTCTCCTTTTGAAAGAGGTCTTCCATGGGAGATTTCTGTTGTTGTCATTGTTGTTTTGGGAATTTAGTGTTCTGTTTTGTATTGGAGACTAAATCTAAGGCCACTCCATGTCATTCAAATGCTCTCCCATTAACATCAATGCCTTTTTCTTTTTCTAATTTTGAGGCACTTAGTTGCCCAGGGTGGCTATGAACTCATCCTGTATTTCCAGGCTACTCTTGAACTTATCTGTAATTCTCCTGCCTCAGCCTCCTGAACAGCTAGTGTAGTGGCTCTGCACCAAACCTGGTGTACCAGACAATTTTAAGAATTCAGAATTCATGACTAATAAAACAGGAGAGTTTTCATCATGGGTTTTAGAGTCTCTTCTCATATCAGTGATAAATTTGTTACCATACTGAGGATGTGGAGCATAAGGAAAAGAAACTAAGCCTTCGAGTTGTTTGCCCAACAGCAAGCCCGGAATGTTCTGAAGTGTTCTGACCTGATGTCTGGAACAGGGGTTGTCTTAGTTATTTAGTTCTACTGCTTATAATGAAACACCATAACCAAGTTTAATTTGGGACTTACGGTTCCAGAGGGTTAGAGTCTATGACTATCATGTCAGGGAAGCAGCAGGTAGGCATGGTGTGAAGGGCAGTAGCTGAGAGCTCATGTCTCACTTCGCAAAAATTAGGCAGAGAACTAATCAGAAATGGTATGGACTTTTGAAACCTCAAAGCTGAACTTCAGTGACACATCTCATTCAACAAGGACACACCTTCTAATCCTTATCAAACAGTTCCACCAACAGGGATCACTATTTAAACATCATGAGTGCAAGTGCGCGCATGCGCGCGCACACACACACACACACACACACACACACACACACACACAGACACACACACACCTATATCTATGGGTCATTCTTATTAAACCACCATAGAGACTATTCTCTCCATTTATTAAACAGTAAAGTGAATATGGTATTGAGAAGGAATGAGGAACTTTTGTTTTAATCATGTTTTATAGGATTGTCATAAAGTAAAAAATTGTCTAACCTTTTGACTCAGAATAGCACATAAAGCCACAACCAGCTAGTATCCACGTATGCCCACATGCCTCTTTCAACTTTGTGTATATATAAAGGCGTGTGTAAGGGTTTGTGTTGTATTTGTATGTGTGAGGGTTGTGTGTGTGTGTGTGTGTGTGTGAGGGGTGTGTGTGTGTGTGTGTATGGGGTATCTGTGTGTTATGTGCTGCTTTCAATGTATTGTTGCTTTCAGGGAATGGTAAAACCATTCTAGTTTCTATATCTTAGGCACACATAAATTGTTCTGAGTCAGAGGCATGAGTGGGCTACAGAAACAAACCAAAACATAAAACAGGGAATGTGGTACATTCAAGTAATGCATTCAGTGAGCTTATAGGTGTTAATTACATTGGGGATCCAAAGTAGAATAAGATTGATTCTATTGTGTTTTCTTTCTTAAAGGCATAGTCATTCTAATCAGGCTGAATATATAGCATATAAGCAGAATGAAAACATAGTCCTAAATGATCTCAAGTCACATTATTAACTTGTTGCAGACGGCGTGAAAGTTTGCTTTGTAATGGTAAGCTACAGGAAGCATTCTCAGAAAAATTATTCCCACAATCCCACTCCCTTTGTTGTAGTAATTAGGGTTCACATCAGTCAAAGCTGCCATTGATGTAGTGGTTGGTAAGAGTAGAGTTTGTTGGAGGAGTAGCATGAATTAGCATTACTGTAGTCTTAGTTATTATTGGAAACTCAGAAGAGGGACCCTCTTCAGCAGTTAGGTTGTCTTCTGGTGCCAGTCTACGATATGTCCCTGCCACTCTGAGGACCGAGACAGTCTATTAGGAAAGAACAAAGACATAGAGCCAAAGCTTCAATTAATGGGTGGAACAGGATGTAACTATGTGATGAGCTCCTAAGGGAGTTTATATAAAACCATGTGGCTTTTGTTGCTGTTTTTCCTTCTTTTCTTTTGTTTTTTTGTCTGAGACAGGTTTCCCTGTGTAATAATCTTGGCTGTCCTGGAAGTAGACAAGGCAGTCCCGAACTCACAAAGAATCCTCCTGCCTCTGCCTTCAAAGTTCCGGGATTAAAGGCATGTGCTACCTCTGCCTGACTTGTTTTGTTTTTTAAATAAAACTTCTTGCTTCTTAGTGATATTGTCCCACAGGTGTTAGGAAGAGTAACTGAGAAATAAAGAAATTATTTAGTTCCCTGATTTTTTTTGTACTTGACTTTTGAATACTAAATAGGATCCTTTAATTATGGCTTGTCCTTGGCAATTACATGAAATGCCATGACAGACATAAATTCCAAAGTTGGCAAAATAAGAGACAAGTTTTAGGACCACCAGTAGGGTGTTAACCGTTTTAATTTGTTTAGACACCCATTACAGAGAAAGCAGGTAGTAAGTATCTAGAAATAGTTCTAACAGACTCGTTGATTTGTGGACTAGTAAAGATAAATCCTGAAGAAGTATCAATGCAAACATGAACAAATTTAAAAGAACCAAAGAAATATATGTGAGTTATATTTATGTGCCAACGATCATTAGGATGAAAACCATGAGAGTTAACCCCTTTGGGGCTATGGTGCCCAATAATAGTTGACACAGGATGATTTGCTGAAACTGTGTCTGTGATAACTGAAGTTATTTTTTGTAAAGCTTTAGCTTCTAAGTAAACGAAGGAATGGAAAGAGGGAGCCTGTTGAAGAAAAGGCACAAATAGGTGTCAGAAAGATGCTTTCCTTCTGTGCAGGGTGGGTTACTCCTGCATGGATGGAATAAGAACATGTTGAGTTTTTCAAGAAAGGGGCTTCAGATAGTGATGACAAGGAGTCTGAGGTATGAGCCAAGGTGGCTTAAAATAAGAGTGGAATGGCTTGAGCTGCACAGTGAGAATCTGTTAGTAGATTGACAGGTTAATCAAGGAGTTGACAGGAGGCAGAAAGGGCAGCCCATAGATTTCCCTGTTGGGTGGTTCCTAAAGGGTTTACAAGAGAATGCCATATTCCAGCACCATAATGTTAGGCAATGGCCTCTTTTGCCTGATTTGTTGGCTCCATCTGATAAAATGGTCAGTTCAAAAGAAATAGAATGAGTATTTTTGGGAGAAAAGGCCTGTATCGGAAGGGATTCAATTGTTCCTGTAATCTTTTTTAGGAAGTAGGTGAATAAAAATTTGTCCCTCGAACCCTGTAAATGTTATTTTTCATTCTACTGAGGTCTACGGAAAAAAGTGAAAGTTGCCTTGAGATATAAAAGGATGGATGGTTTTGGTTCGGCTCTGTTGAGTAAAAGTTATTCTTTGTTTGCTTCTTTCTTTCTTTCTTTCTTTCTTTCTTTCTTTCTTTCTTTCTTTTGTTTTTTGCTTTTTTGTTTGTTTTTAGGTGTAATGGGAAGATATAACGATTCTAAAATGATTGCAGTGGGGCTTAACTGTCCAATGGCTGCTGTGAGGGGAAGAGGAGTGTCAGTGATAAATAAACAGACGGGGTAGATCTAATCATTGACAAGAAAGTGGACTATTGTTCCAAGGCTTGGGCTAATAACTGTTGTCATCCAAGGTGATGTTGTCATCCAAGGTTAATTTAAGTCAGTGTCCTCTTTAAAAGACATAAAAGGGTATGGCAGAGCTGCTTTGAGAGCTTCCAAGGGGGGTTGGAGACTACTGACATTGCCTAAGAGTTATTAAAGAGAATTTAACATTATCTTTTGGTGTGGGGGACCAGATGCTTTTAATTGATGAGGTATAATGAAAGAATTAGTGGCAATGTATCCAAGATAACTGTATGGAACAGTTAGCTGAATTTTGTTTGGGGCAAGCAGTAAATGAAAATTCTATCATGACACTTATAAATCCCTTAAAAGAACTAGATTTGTGTTTTTTAGTAGAAGAATCTAATAAGATGTCCTCCATATAATTAAATATGAATAGGTCTTAGGATATTCACATCAAATAGGGTTTACTGCCTTATTTTCCCACCATTGGCAGAGGGAGGGGTACTGAGTTATTGAAGGAGAACTTTCCAGTGAAGCTGAAACATTGATTTGAAAAGGCATTTTTTTTTCTATATCACCAATGTGTAAAACAAACAAACAAACCTGTAAATAACATAACATGGTTGTTCTGAAAGATCATAGCAGGAGGTGGAGTTTGGGGGAGCAGGCAACCACAAGGCTAATACCAGAATTTGATTAATATTGGGGACATTATTTTATTTTAAGCCCTTGTGCAGTTTGGCTGGTTTATTTATTAATTAGGGGGCTGGCAAATTGTTGAGCTCAGTTTCCAAGTTTCTTCTTTAACAGTTACCTTTTTTTTTTCAAGAAGACCATTAAACAGACTTTAAAAAGCTTTTAAATTTACAACCACAGAGAAACATCATGTGCCCACCCTTCACATTCAAGGTGGTGGCAAAGCCACTGTTTTCAGGTGAAGACAAGTCTTTAACTCTGGATGAAGCAGCAGGGCAAGGCAGAGTCTAGGATGGAGGACTGGGCCAGGAAGTGTGTGTGGTTCAGAGCGGGTGGGGTTTTGTTGTGTTTTGTAAGTTCTCCCCTTTTCTCTAGATAAGGTCCTGTACCTAGTTTAACTTGGTTCCAAAAAGTGAAATGTTTTCCCCCCAAGTTTCCCCCCAAGTGACCAATAGTCAGGGTACCAGGGACAGTATTTCTGACTAATGTTTAAAAGCCTTAATGTCTTAGCTCCAGTTTCTTTAAATAAAGTGATTAAGTGCTGTGCCTAAGTTTAAATTCGGGAGACGAAGAACTCACAATAGAGAAAAACAAAAGCCAAAGGCCATGAAGGGATTCACCCACTCATTTTCCCCAGCTCCATTTAGTCTCCAAGCTTGGATGACAATTTGTTTGTATATTTGAAACTCTGAGCAGATTTCTTTTAGGCATGAGAATTAAATGAGTCACAGAGAATAGTAAATATTGATAAAATGTTGATCTGAAGAACATACCTAGTCCAAAGTTCTTATAGTGGTCATGTCTAAATCCCTCAATTATTTAATCTCTTCTTAAGGTAATTTTGACCAGTTCGAAGCAAATTGATAAATCACTGTTGTACAAGTTCCTACAGCCATGGTTGGGACTAGGACTTCTCACAAGGTAAGGCACTGATATTTTTTTCATAGACTATAGTTCAGATGATGTCCAGTATCCTCCAGTTATAGTAATAGGGAGTTCCTAGCCAGACATGCCTATAGCCAGGAGTTATGAGCTATAAGAATTAGGAGGTCTGCAGCAGAGTGAAAATGGGTGGTGGTGGGAAGTCTTGAAAAGTCAATGAGACAGCCAGGCAGGTACAGATAAGCACATAAATCAGCCTTGGTCTGGCACCTGAAATAAGTCTCTTCCCCAAGAGAGAGCTCACCAGGAACACACATTTTGTAAACTGTTTTTCAAGATCCAAACAGTAGACATTAAGGTTGAGTCTCAGAGCATATGGGTATCTGAAGACTTTGAGGCTTAGGGGACAGACTGACTTAAGAAGTTCTTCTTAGAAATGGACAAAATATTCTCAATATTTCCTACCCTTTGAAAGTAATTTTAACTATTAATATCATAGAGCAAGGTCCAGATATCAACACTGTGGGGATAAGTGATACTATCATACATATGTGGCTACCTTTCTTGTTGGAATGAGATCATTGCAATGCTGTGGATGAGACTGTTTTAGAATCATGTTGACGGGGCTGGGCTCATGGCTGCTGCATGGTGGCTTCCTCCTCTTCAGTTTATTATGATGTGTTGTATTTGCAGTACTGGGAACAAGTGGCGCTCCAGGAGGAAATTGTTAACACCCACATTCCATTTTACAATTCTGGAGGATTTCTTAGATGTCATGAATGAGCAGGCAAATATATTGGTCGATAAGCTTGAACACCATGTCAATCAAGGAGCATTTAACTGCTTTGTTCACATCACTCTTTGTGCTTTGGATATAATCTGTGGTAAGTCTGATGGGTTTATGCTGCAAGAATGAAATGGCCTGAGTAGAAAATAAGATTCTGTGGGGAGGACAAATGAGGGGATTGGTTGGAACGGACCCAGGATCCTTCAGGGTAACATTATTGGAAGACTCTCCCCAAGAAGCTGCAGCCATTCCTGAGGCAGGAGTGACCAAAGCAGACACTGTGTCACCTTGCCTGGAAGGTCAAAGGAAAGGGGTGACAGGAGGGATAGATGGGAAAAGAAGAAGACATAGAAGAGAACATAATAGGACCCATCTGTCTCCTGGTGTCCCCTGCCACATGGCGAACACAGCTGGCCATGTAGTAAACCATTGCTTGTACCTGTATGTTGCAGAAACAGCTATGGGGAAGAACATTGGAGCTCAAAGTAATGATGATTCTGAGTATGTCCGTACAGTGTATCGGTAAGTGTGTGTGTGTGTGTGTGTGTGTGTGTGTGTGTGTGTGTGTGATGGGTCTTTTATTTTGCCTTAAAATTGCTATTGATTTTGGGTTTTAAAACCATTGCTAATCACTAATCTCACCTATTTGTGTGGTGATTTGATTGTGTTTGAAGTGAGATTTGCTTTATAATATAGGCATCAACTTTAGCAACAGGGGATTGTTATAAATTTAAATTATGGTATATCTGAGTGCTTCAGAAATTTAAAATCTCTAATTGCACCCTGCTACCAGTTGACAAAAGAGAGTTATAAGCAATCCGAATAGCATGTCAACTATTAGTGTATATCAGATATTCATAAAAACACTCTATAGCAGTTCTCAACCTGTGGGTTGTGATCTCTTTGGGGGTCAAATGACCCTTTCACAAGAGTCACATATCAGATAGCTTGTGTGCCAGCAATTTACATTATGATTCATATCAGTAGCAAAGTTACAGTTATGAACTAGCAATGAAAATAATTTATGGTTTGGGGGTCACCACAGCATGAAGAACTGTATTAATTGGTCGCAGGGTTAGGAAGGTTAAGAACTACTGCTCTAGCTCTATACCACAGTGGTTACCTATGTTCTGTGTATGCTTTTTTTATATTAGGAAAATTTAAATGCCATTTGTTTTCTTCCATGTCTTCTGCATTGAGTGGGTGCTGATTATGCAATTGAGGCAATCTTTTTTAACTTTAAAAGTACTTGGAGTTATTCACCTATTAAGAGATGGGGCTAGGATTTGACTTTTACTATCTTAGTTTATTGCTCAGTTAATCTCATCCTAACAAATATTTACTGAACATCTATGATCAGTCAGATATCATAGTTACTAGCTGGCTTTAAATTGACACAGACAACAGAATAGTATGGGAGATGGCTGTTGAAACAGGAAATATAAATTTAGGAATTTTAACAGTCGTTGACAAAGAAAAGATCAAATTGTTATCAGTTTGCAAAACTTGGATATGTCCTAGAATAGTGTCCTGTAAAGGCCCCTTCAAAGAGCTGTCACTTAGACTATCCTAAAGGAGACTGCCTGCACTGTCACTTGCAATGAGAATCAGGTGCTAGAAACAGCTCTGTGACAGATTGCTACTTAATGTGCAATTTCCTGTAAAGATTGCTTATTTTTCTAAATCATATTTATTGTGTGTATGTAGACACACACCCCGGAGCACATGTGGAAGTTAAAAACAATTTGTAGAAGCTGGTTCTTCCCTTCTGCCATGTGTGTCCAGAGGTTAGAACTCAGGTGCCCAGGCCTGGTAGCAGGTTCATTTACTTGCTGAGCCATCTCACTGGCCTCAGAGATTTTAATATCCTTAAAAGAGTGACCAAGTAAGTGCTGCATAGAGCTTAGAATCAAATTTTATCGAAACCTTTGCTACAAGTGCTCTGACATTTCCTGGGAAGTTGTGAGCTTGCACTGTGGAAATAGAAGCACTGGCCAGAGGCCATCTGCAGGTTTCATACTGGATTTTTCATTTCTCTAGTTTAAACAATATTTGCCTAAGACCCATGATATGTGTAGTAATCTATTATTTTCCCATTCAGCATTAAACATGGTTCTCTATTACCCTTGAATGCTAATCACTATCATTTCACTTATTACTGTTATCAAGACCAGGTTCCAAAGGTCAGGAGATAACATTTCTGACACAAGGTACTGTTATCTTGTTTATAGGATGAGCGATATGATACATCGTAGAATGAAGATGCCCTGGTTTTGGTTTGACCTTTGGTACCTTATGTTTAAAGAAGGACGAGAACACAGAAAAGGACTCAAGAGGCTACATACTTTCACCAACAATGTAAGTTGTGTGAGTGCATTTGCATGTGTGTCACTATGTACATGTGTTAAAATATACAAAGCATAGAATCAAGTGGAACTAAATGACTTCACAATGTTTTAGTTATTACAAAATACTAGAATATTCTTAAGTCTAGGATTTTTATGTTTTTTTTTTTCATTATACCAAAATTAGGGCCATGGAGAAGAATATTTGTTCCATAAAAGTTAAATAGAATAGAAATGCCAAAAAATAGTGATTACATTTAAATTACATATTCAGCTGGCATTAATGAAATGTTTGCTGAGTGTCATGCACTTTGCACAGTGTTGGAAATAGAGAAATTAACTAGGCATGCATGTTCCCTACCATATTGGAGAGTAGTCCAGGAGAAAAGGTTACCCATAGTCAAAATTACAGAATTTTCTATGGATTCAGAACACTTACTATTCTAGGTGGAGGAGGAAAGGGACAGAGATCTGCACATACATCTCTTGGGAAATGTTTTGGGGAAGTCAGTAGTTCTCATAAATATAGCATAATTCAGTAAAAACTAATTTGATAGTGCTATTTTCTTACAAAAATGAAAAATAAGCAGGTGGAGGGGTTTGTTTCAAACATGGGATATTTATCTTTCAGTTGAATACATATTTATCAAAAAGCAAGGTTTGATTGAAAATACAGAACACATTGCAATGTGGTGAAAATTTCCCATTGAAATATATCTTTTCTTTGCTGTAATTTTTGTTTAAAATACATTGGGCCTGCATCTTTGTGATAAGGACAAGCCATCAAGGAGTCACGTGATTAAGTCAGTGGATGTTACATGAACGAAATGCTGCCTTGAATTGACCCCAGTATAATCACCAGGTAGCAGGAGGAGGAGGAGAAGCAGTCACATCTTGTAATTACATTTTCCATCTAAATGTAACAATATCAACATAAGTATAAATAAGCAATGAATTCCAGACTGCATAGACAATGCGGTTTATTTTGCAAACATTGAAAACTATATATTGACAATAAAAGAAAACATAGTATTTTGCTCCCACATTTCTGAGAATACTCATTTAAGCCTCTTCATAGGAGAGTCACCCAATTACACAACAGGAAAAGAAAATATTCATGAACACAGCAGGTGTATGGACTGCTTTTGTTGCTATCATTCACAACAGTGTTCTTAATCTGGGTGGGGCAATCATTACACAAAGGCAGACTCCCCTAAGTGGATGGTGGTACTTGAAATTGTGGGAGAGCATACTAAAATGCAAATACAAAGCATGTCAGGTGGTAAGTGAAGTGGGGGCAAATGTAGGAAGGTCAGACACAGAGAGAGTTAGGGGTCATTTGCAGGGAAGATGTCTTGTGTGGCTATTGCCTGAGACCTGAAAGTGGCACAGGATCCAGTCACATGAGCACTCATGGGCAGAGCATTCTGCATTCATTGACGAGCATGCAGGGTGAACTGGCTCATCAGCTATTGGCTCATTAACTTGCTATTTCCTTTCTCCATAACTAGATGCAATCATCAAGAGAGATCTAGAATTAGTGTATTTTGTAATTGTGTCCTCTCTACTAGTTACACTTGCCCTCATGAGTTCCCTTACATCTCTAGGGGACTGCTTAGTAGACAGCAACTCTATTCCCATGTTAGAAAGACTGCAAAAATAGTACTTGCAAATTACAGGTTTGTCCTAACATTAAATTCATATTTAATAACACATGACATAGTGTTAACCAGAGGCTTTATTGCTTTTTTCTCGAGAGCCTAAGTTTGCACTGAAATAGAATAAAACAGGAAAAGTTTCATAGAAAAATGTACCAGTAAGCTTTACCAAAAGTGCAAATTTTGTGTTTGACATTATTTAAATCCTACAGGTCATCATTGAACGGGTCAATGACATGAAGGCAGAGGAAGATGGTACCAATGCTGGTAGGGGTTGTGAACCCTCCAAAAGTAAGCGTAAGGCCTTTCTTGACTTGCTTTTGAGTGTGACTGATGAGGACGGAAACAGGTTAAGCCATGAAGACATCCGAGAGGAAGTTGACACCTTCATGTTTGAGGTAATTTTTGTTGCCAGGGAATTTTCATTGTTGAAGCATTTCACATCTCAGGTTTTACTGTTGTGGAGACACACACTTAACACATTCAAGAACTAGCTTCCATCCCTGGCACCACAGCAACAAACAAACAAACAAACAAAATGGCGGAGTTGGGGCAGACTAGAGAGATGGCTTAGTAGTTAAGAGCACTGGCTGCTCTTCCAGAGGACCTGGGTTCAAGTCCCAGCACTCATATGAAAGCTCACCACTGTCTATAACTCCAGTTTCAGAGGATATGGTACCCTTACACAGACATACATGCAGGCAAAACACCAATGCACATAACAATAAACATTTTAAAGCAAAACCAAAAACAGAACAACAACACCAAAACAGCAACTCCACAGAAATGGGACCATTGAGATGACTCAGCTAGTGAAAGTGTTTGCTATGGAGTTTGACCACCTGCAACCAACATTGCAGGAGAAGAGCTCTAACTCCTACAGTTATTCTTTGATCTCCACATGTGCCCTGCCATAAACCACACATACACACACTAATTAATAAATGTAATTTAAAATACCCCCAGTTTCAACAGGTGCTAGAATCACAAACACAGATTTTAAAAATAAAATACTAAAGCAACTTAGTGTAACAGGAAAAATTTAATATCATCTTCTGAAATTATAAAATTTAAGAACAGGGTGATGATAGAAACATTATTTTTTTTACTAAGAAAATTAAGGTTCCCCCAGACTTTTCCCAAGAGCCTCCACAATGTTCTCAGTTCCCTATGTTGCTTCACGCTTCTCTTAACCTCCCCAAACAGGTCCATTTCCCTCCTCTTAAAGTCCGGCACTTAGCTACTGCTGTGGGTTGCTTTAAACAAAGAGAATCTAACCAGTTTGTGATTCTAATGGGATTTCTGGCATTTTAGTATTTCTTAAAAGGCACTTCTTAAAAAATATACTTTGAATAATCACATTACAAAGAGTGGAGCTTTCTACAGGTGTGTTGCAAAAATGAAGGTTTCAGAAAGTCCTAGCTACAGCCTCGGCGTGAAGGGAAGGGAACCATACATGGGCTTCCAGAGGGCACTCAGTGCTGAGCATGGAACTGCGTTGGCTGCTCTGCCTCCAGTCCTCTGGATGTACTGCCCCTACTACTGATTTTGCTTAAGTGTTTATTTCATTTTTAACTGGTAAATAGCCATTGTTTATGGTTCTGGAGTCCAATGTGATACTTTGATACAGGTGTGCACTAGGGAATGTGCACACCATGTTAATTAATGAAGCCATCACCTTCACATATTTACCTGATTCTGGAGTGAGAACATTCAAAATTCACTCTTTATTCACTCTTTAGGGCTACATGATAAATACATCATGACTAATTATAGCCCACCAAGATGTTCCATAGATGATCATGACAACTCATTGCTTACACCCGAGATCCTGTGCCTTTTGAGGATCTCTCCTCCCTTCCTCCCCAGCCACCAGACAAAACCTCTGGTAACTGTCATTCCACTCTGAATGCCTTTGAGTCAAACTATTCTTAGTTCCTACATGTTGGTGTTATTTTTCTTTCTGTCCTGGAGTATTTTACTTCCCACAATGCCCTTAGATTCGCCCATGCTATCACAGTAACAGGATTTCCTAATGTTTAAAAAGAGAATGCATACTATTATTTTATGCATGTCCTACAGTTTTGAAATCCAATCACCTGCTCATGAGCATCTCTGATATGCAATCTTTCTATTAAGTGCAGTTTTTATCGAGATTCCAAAGACATTTCTCAGAGAAAAGGCAAACCAATCTAAAATTCATATGAAGCCACAGAAGATACCGAAAAGCCAAAACAATCTCCAGCAAAAGGGAATAAAAGAGTCATATTGATTACTTTTAAAATACTGTACAAAGCTATAGTAATCAAAACAGCATGGTTATGGCATAAAAAAATACATATAGACCAGTGGGGTGGATGAGTCAAGAAATAATTATGCATTTATAATCATCTGGTATTTGACAGGGGATGAGAATACACAGTGGGAAGGATCTACATGGGATGGAGTCTGGAAAACTAAATAGCCACATGCAAGAGGATAAAAACTGATCCTTATCCCACCCTTTAAACAAGAATTAACTCAAAATGAATTGAAGAGGTACTGTGAGACATGAAACTGTAAAACTAGTAAGAAAAATATGGGGGAGCTCCCTAAAGCCTAGTCTAGGAACCTATTCCTTTAAGATGACTTCCAGAAACCATAAACAACAAAAGAGAAACTATGCAGATGGGATTTTGTCATCCATTCATCTCTAGCTGTACTAAGGGTCTGAAGACCTGGGCTCTTATTTTGTGCCAGTGAACTAAATAAAATGGTTCCAGTCCATCCAGCTCTAACTGTTTTGCCTGTGTTGTAAATAGAGACCTAGACTCAATCAGTGGTTTTAAATCTGTCCCCTCCCTTTTTTGGGGAGGGTCAAAGACAAGGAAGGTCAGTGGTCGATTACTTGCCTAGTATACGTGAGGCTATGCTTCAATGCCCAATAAAACAGCTGTCTTAACTACCTTGCCATAGTTTGTTGCTGTGATAAAATACCATGATCAAGAGCAATGTGTGAAGGTTGGTGTGCGTGCGTGTGTGTGTGTGTGTGTGTGCGTATGTTATGATTCCAGAGGGTTAGAGTCCATTATGGTGAGGAAGGCTTGGGCAGCCTGGTCTAAAGAGTGAGTTTCAGGACAGCCAAGTCTTCACAAAGAAACACTGTCTCAAAAAACAAACAAACAAAAACAAAAAAAGAAAAAAGAAAAGAAAAGGGAAATACCCCACCAAAAGTACATTGGAAATCATAGAAGCCATATATGAGCAATGCAGCAAATATAGGTTATCAACATTTCACATTGAGCATTGAGATCTTACATTTCTATTTTTCCCACATTCTTACACAGCAACCCATATGCACAATACATATGTATATGAGTATATGTGAACCCTACACATCTAATTCCCACCAATAACCATAGCCAGGGTAATTTCATTCCTGTAGCTCAAACATGTTCTGAAGCCTTGATGTTCTTTGTTGCACTGAGTAGGAAGCCTACCCTGTTACGATACTGAGGCTTCCTTTATGCACGCGATGTAGGCTGTTTTCTTGAGGCTTTCATGCCCCAGGTTTCAGTCATTAACCTATTGAGATTGTGAACTCTTCTTCTTCTTCACACATACACCAACAGAACTGTACCTTTAAGTATCCCCCTTGTATTTACAGGGTCATGATACAACTGCAGCTGCAATAAACTGGTCTTTATACCTGTTGGGTTCTTATCCAGAAGTCCAGAAAAAAGTGGACAAGGAACTGGATGACATATTTGGTACGTTGGGACCCTTTGTTAGCTCTGTTGGGGGGCCCCAAGTCCACAGAAACAGTGGTCATTCTTGACCCATAAAGATGCCACAGTCATCAACAGAAGACCATGGTGTAGGACCCCTGCCTGCAGCTGTCTCCTTGACAAGGTCCAGTGAGTTTCCTGGCAGGCATGTAACAAGTGTAGAAGCTAAGGATGCACAGATCAATAACACTGTTCACAATAGTCCTACTGCTTCATAGGCAACAAAACACATGTGCCTACAGCTTAAAGTCATGGGCTGTGCCCTTGAGCAACACCAAGATGATGCTGTATGGGCTCACAGGACATAGGTGAAAATAGTTATTAGATTAAAGAGAGAGTCCTTTCATGGACTGCATCTAACATTGTGAGAGCAGTGATTCAGGATGCAGCTAGAGGATTTGTTTCTACTATACAGCAAGCCCTGTCATCTCTACAATAATTTCAGCACCCTACAGGAAACCTGTACTGCTGAACAGTCACTCATCTTTCTTCTTCTAGCCCCACCACCAGAAGTCACTATTTTACTTCCCATTTCTAGAAATGGAATCATACATTGTCTTTGTAATGTTACTATATTGAAATATCAAAATGGGAGTTGGTCTTATCTGGTTTCTGTTACTTAGCCCAATGCTTCATTTTATTTTATTCCTCATGGCATTAGAAATTCTGCTTTGTTTGTGGACATTTGACTTTCTGTGTGTGGCTCTGTATTGCTGTTTGATGTCTCACCTCCTTAAGCCTATGTCCCCAAAGCCTAGGCTTTGTTTTCATTTTGTACATTTATTTTAACCAGGACAGTCCCTTCGCCCTGTCACCTTGGAAGACCTGAAGAAGCTTAAATATCTGGATTGTGTCATTAAGGAGACTCTAAGAATTTTCCCCTCTGTCCCTTTATTTGCCCGGAGTCTTAGTGAAGACTGTGAAGTCGGTGGGTATTACAGCATGAGGGAGCAGGGTTATATCCTTCCTGTCTATCTGATAGAGTGTCCTGATACATCACTCTCTCTTTTGACAGCTGGTTACAAAGTCTCAAAAGGCACAGAAGCAGTCCTCATTCCGTATGCATTACACCGAGACCCCAGATACTTCCCAGATCCTGAGGAATTTCAGCCAGAGCGGTTCTTTCCTGAGAACTCCCAAGGACGACATCCCTATGCCTATGTGCCCTTTTCTGCTGGACCTCGAAACTGTATTGGTTTGTATCCATGACCTTTCAGGCCCGTGTGATAGATTCATACAGGAACTCTGAAGCACAATGGGACATTACTCGTAGTCAGTAGACTAAGAGAGGTTCTGATTTCCTCCACTTTACACTATAGTTTTAAAATGCCATTGTTAGGGTTTGGGAAAGCATCTCAGTTGGTACTGTGCAAGCATGAGAACCCAAGTGTGTCTCTAAATGCAAGTCAAGTTGGGTGTGGTATGCACATGTGATCCCAGTGGTGGGAATGCAGAAAGGGTGGCACTCTGAGACAGAATACAGCATAGATTGTTTGAAATAATGAAAACTAAACCTTTCACCATTCATCAGGGTAGGTGTCAGTGGGTCTTCCAAACTTTCTCTCTTTTTGTTTATATGTGCCAGCCCTCTCTTTGTGTGTCTTCGGTTGATGTTTTGTTTGTTTGTTTTTTGTTTTGTTTGTTTGTTTGTTTGTTTTTCCTCTGTGTGTTTGTATGTTAAATACAAGCCTCAGCTTGTATGAGACCCACCTTAATGATCTCATTTAGTTCATTTAAAGACCCACACTAAGGACATTCATAGTATAAAATATTGGGAGTTGCCTGGTGTGATGACATAGAATCAGGAGGCAGTGGCAGGTGAGAATCTCCGTGAGTTCAAGGCCAGCCAGGGCTACATAGTGACACCCTTTCTCAAATAAACAAATGAGAGAGGGAGGAAAGGAAAGGGTGAGAGAGAAAAGGAGGGAGGGAGAGGAGAGAGGGAGAGAAGATTCCCACTTATAATTTTGGATTTAAACATAATTCTGCCTATAACATAAAGTATAATCAATGTCATGGTAAATATTTAATTGTTTAGGGTGTGTGGTGTATGAGGGTGTGCCACTGCATGAGTGTGGATGTCAGAGGATGACTTTAGAAGTTGGTTTTCATCTTCCACTTTGTGGGGCTCAGGGACCAAACTCAGGTGACTGGGTTTGCCAGCAAGCACCTTTACCTTACCCAATGAGCTGTCTTGATACCTCTAGAGTTCTAAAATACTGGAGCTTTAGCTTTGTTATTGTGGTAGAAAAAAATGTTTGTGATAAGACTTATTTTGTTTGAAAGAATCGCAGACCCACACAAAAGGCATTGCCTGACTGCCTTGCAAATGCACATCACATGCCTTATAAATAATTTGGCTTTAGCATTTGTAGCTCTTTATGACATATATGAATGCAAACATTCGTGAAATGAGGCTAGATATAAAGATTTGGGTCTGAACCATATCTGATTACTATAGAGTGGATACATGAAGGAGACAACAAAAAACAGTCTGGGAGGGCTGGCAGCCATTAGGAGCCCGTATTGCTTATAATGGGGATTTGAGTTCAGTTGCCAGCACCACCTACCCACCCACATTGGGTGACTAACAGACTCTAGTAATTCCAGATCCAGGGGACCAGGATCTTGTATTTACATGCACACCACTATTTCCCATCACACATATACATCATACAGACTTTAAATTGCTCTTTAAAAAAATCCAATCTAGAAATTCCCAATTTAAATGAGCCTGGATTCATCTAGCTGCCAGTCATCACTAGGTATCCTTTGGCACCCATTCTAATTCTAGAGTTGGTCTAGGACTGCTCAGAGATACCCAATTGCTGATGTGCAATTCTGTTTATAAACTGGCATGGATTTGCATTTGAATGCATATTTATATCCTCCAGTACTTAAATCACCTCCAGATTCCTGTAATACTAGTAACAATACATATGCTATGAAAAACAATTGTTCTTATTGCTTAGAGGGTGAATGATGAGGCAACAATCTATACATGTTCAGTAAAGATGAAATTTAAAGAAATACTTTAACCCATGGTCAGTTGAATCCATAGATATAGAATCTACAGATTGGAGAGTCCATGGTACAGCTAAAGTAGAGATTGCCTGGCTGCCACAGCTAAATGTGGGAGCAAAAAGGATAGTCAAAGTTTTTCAGTTTTCCAATCATCTCGGGGGCTTTGTTCTCTGGCCAAATGAATGTGAAGTGTCTTCTTGTGTCTCACATTTGAGCTGTGTGCACAATCCAAGTGATGATACTCATTTACTTAAAGGTCAAAAGTTTGCTGTGATGGAGGAGAAGACAATTCTTGCCTGTATCCTGAGGCGGTTTTGGGTAGAATCCAACCAGAAGAGAGAAGAACTTGGCCTGTCTGGAGATCTGATTCTTAGGCCAAATAATGGCATCTGGATCAAGCTGAAGAGGAGACATGAGGAACCCTAACTTTGTCCTTGAGACCTTATCATGAAGAAGATTGTTCCATACGAAACATGGTATTTGCAATTTTTAGATTGTGAGCTGAAAACTCCAAATCCTTGGACATAATGTTTTCTCTTGTTCCCACTGATCTTGATTCCTAGTCCATCACAGAGAGTTTTTGTATGTGTATTACCAACATAGATGCCATATCACACCCATTCTTGGTCTCTTGGTATGGTTAGCTGAATCACACCAATAAAAATTATAACAGGAGGGACCATCAACCTATTCAATTTTATTTGTTATATTCAAAAGATGTCATTTAAATGAAATTTCAGAATCAAGAAAATGTTATTGTTGACTCTGAAATTCATATGATAGCATCTGAAAACGGTGGGTAATTAAGCTCTTCAGTATAACGGCCTTAGGTTTTCTCTCATTAGTTATAAGTAGTTGTCACATCTCTTTCACCTTGTTGACTGTGAGCAAGGATCTTCTGTTTTTGGTGGAGTTCCAATCACTTTTCACATCATATTATTGGAAAAGATTCCTTTCCACAACTCCCAATCTGTCACAGAATCTCCATTAGTGGCCTTTGAAGTTTAAGTAGCCACAGAAACTCTCTGCTTATGCACCAATCAATCAAGAGTAAGGGCAGCCAGGCATAGGTGGCCCACACCTTTAATCCCAGCACTTGAGAGGCAGAGGGAGGCAGATCTCTATGAGTTCAAGGCCACTCTGGTCTACAGAGCAAGATTAGGGGGATGGAGTAAAGGGGACAGTAAATTTCTGTCCAAGATCTGCTACTAGTTGTGCTATGGCTAGCCATGAATACAATGTCTACACTGGAGCTCTCCATTCCCTGATAACACTTTCTCCTACAACATACTTTGACTTTATGGAACTCAGGACTGTAATTGGATGGATTAGAACTCAGGATGCTGGCCCTCAGGGTGTGCATGTCTTTTTTGTAATTCCTCTACTTTTAGAGGAAGACTCTGTCCTTTCATATTTAGTTACACTGTAATAACACTTGGTTCAGGACTATACACCTAATTAACTCAGCCTGGTGGAACATCCCTGCCAAGCTGATAACTGAATTTCATTCCTTCGATGTTAATTTGGTATATAATACTACTACTTCTCATGCAATGACTTTTAAGAATTTCTTTATAATAAATAATTGTTTTACAGAAACAGTTGTGTGCCTTGCTTTGTTTTCAGTTTTCCATGGTCTCACAAATAGAAGCAAGAAACAGAAGGGATAGAATATGTACCCATGAATCAGAATCAAAGGGGAATGGTGTAACAATCAGAGTTTGGCAAGTGCCACAACAAGATTCACTTGGGGAAATATTACCAAATAGATCTGTTAGACTCTCCAGAGAGCCCCAGTGCACAGGACTCAAGCTGCAAGCTTATGAGAGGGGAAAACAAACAAAACAAAACAACACCAGAACAAGGAGGGAGATCTACACTTGTAGTAAAATGTAATGTCTTTATGTCTGGCTTTAAGTGAAATGCCTTGGTATCTGACTTTGAAAGAAATGTTTGAGCAAAGCTGTATTCGGAGAGATTGTTGAGAGACTGTTTAAGCCTTGAAAAAAAAATGTTTCTCTGGAGAGACTGTATTTGGTGCTATGTGAGAGCTTGCAGCTACACAGACCTTGATCTGAAGAAATCCTGAGAGACCTGGAGTTCTTTTGATTATGGCAGCAGTAATCAAAAGGGACCTGGATTTGTCTGGGTTGCCTGCTCCTGTGAGCAGCAAGAGCAAGATGACTTTGGTAGTTGGAACCTTTCCCAGCCCCAATTAACCTTGTAACTGGAGTGAGCCAGCCAGGTGTCAGTCTTTTCCAAGAAGGCTGCCCCTCTCTCCTCCTTTGGAAAATGAAGGCTGAGCATCTTGGTGAGCTTCCCTCTACTGAGGCACTTATGACCCAACATCAAACAATATACACTGGAAAAGAGTCCCTGAAATGACTAACCTCACTATCTAGAAATTGGGACTAAGTAGAACGTCTCATCCCAAGTTATTTGGGGTGGTTTAATTGGCTTCACTTGTATAGATGGGCTTTCTCTCAATTTATACCATGTATTTAACCCTTGCCTTACAAGTTTTAACATTTTAAACAATTTATTTGTTCTTTTACTACGTGTGTGTTTGTGTGTGTGTGTGTGTGTGTGTGTGTGTGTATGTGTGTGTGTTTGCGTGAGCACGGGTGCACACACACACACATGTAGATATGTATATGTGCAGGCACACATATGTCACAGCATGACCTCCTCTCTCTGTTTAAACTTATTGACTCATGTAGTATCAAGCCAGAGTTCTTCCCTGGATTTATTCAGCTGGAGTTGAAGGAAAGAGAGAGAGCTAATCTTCAGAAGAATCTCCTAGTCACTGATTGACCCTCTAGAGCATCTTCTAGGGTACAGAATGAAAGGGATGAGTGGAGAAGAAACAGGGAGGAGAAATGATGAATACTGAATGATGCTGGGTTCCTGCCACTCATTTCAACTATACTTTGGAAACCAAGGGCAGTGTACCTCAAGCTTGCTTCAGTAGATTTTTTTTTTTCATCACTCAAAGCAATTTCAAATTTGTCAACTCAGCATCAGGGTGAATAATCAAGTCTGATTCTTGAGACATCATCTTGGTTTTTATATCATTTTCTTTCTGATGAAAATCATAATTCTTATGTATCATTTATACAGATATAGGCTAGCTGTTTCCATGTTATAACATTTGATGACATGTACAGTTTCTTGTTTAAAATTCTACCATTTTTTAAGATCTGTTTTAGAGTACAGCTAACTTGGCCAAATAGAACAATCTGGTTATGATCTCCAGACTACCCAATCATCTCTCCCATTTTCTAGCAAAGGTGGGCTCACTCTGGCATTCCTTATGGGTAGCTGTATTACAAATTTCTGAATCAATCCTGTCTCTTGTAATTATTAACAATGGACTAGTTGCACTACCTTCCCCAGTCACTTGCCCGGGAACTTTAGACTTTAGAGCCAAATTCCATCTCTAATACTCCATGGGTCCACCTCTAGCCACGCCCACATTTCAAGTCAGATTGTACGTCTGAAGCTTTATCAGGCAACACCCAAGCTCCAGGCTGATCCCTGCATCTCTGGGATCTAATAAACCTACAGTCCAGGCCTGCCTGCCATGCTTGGAAATAGGCCAGTTCCTCATGGCAGTCCCAGAGGGCCAAAGTCCCAGAATGGCAGCCAAAGGATCAGAAGCCACATCTGTTTCCATGGAGTCAGTGGATGGCCATTTCAAAGCTCCACTGTACCATGCAACAAGGGTCCATGACTCTAAAAGATCAAATGAATGAAATGGATAGATGCTGGTCAAAAGGTACAAGACCTCAGGCAAGACCAATGTTTTGGGGCCTATCATACTTACAGTATTATCAACAATGTATTACCTACACCCTTGAAAACTGATAAGAGTTGATTACATGCTCTTACCACAAAAGTGATTGTGAGCGCACCTGTAGTTTTTAAAAGGGCAGCAGGAGCCCTTTTTTAAAGGGTTCTGGTGATGAGATCTGGCCCACTCAGATGGTCCCTACCTTGTGAGCTTAGTGTTAGCTGAATGATCATCTTTATAACATCTGTAAAATTGCATTTCTCATCAACCACAGTCACTGAAACCTGGTCACTGCAGAGGTACTGGCTCACAATGTCTCCACACTCCCCAGGATCAGACAGGAAAATTTAGGAGGCAACACTTAGCTGGCTCTCTTGGATGTAGTTGATTTTGTTCTACCAAATCCATAAGAAATTTTAGCTTTTATTCTATTATGGGAATAGAACTTCTGTTTCATTGTCAGAAAATTTCAGACTAAGCACAGAAGGAGATTTATAATAGTGTAAGTCTGGAATATGACCTTGTAGGCAAGCAACCTCTGATCATGTCTGTTGTGCACTGACACTGACAACTTTTTTATTTTTTTCACCACTGTTGAGCTTGGTGGCAGATGAGATCATGAGTTCCACTTTTTTTACATTGATGACTGACATAGCAGTTAATATCCTGTCTCTAGAAAGCAGTACAGCATACTGTTTAAATATGCTGCTGGATGGAGGTCCAAAAACATTTATTGGCAGCGAGATCCATTGTTTCTAATAAAGACAGCTCTGCATCCAGCAACACATACGAAGTATTTACAAGTCTACTCTTTCCAAATCTAGTTTACTGGTTAAAATGACATATTATAATCTTGCAGAATAGTAGACAGAGGGGATTTAGTGTTGAGTGATTATGGCCTTTAATGATTTTGTAAAAAAGCAGAGATAGGGAATAAAATATTTGTTAGCACATCCAGGGCTAAAAGCTAGAAGTTTCAGGGAAGTGTGTTTACTGTATTATATCTGGAATCACTTTTCTAAAAACTAAAGTTTCCCCGAGTGGGACTAGGCGGCCTGTAAATCAGTGAGTGCTTCTCTAATATAGGAATAGTGACAGGAAAATCTAAACTCCTCTACAGAAATGCTATGCAGCAGGTTTCAGTAACCTTCCCTATGTGGGACCAGATATTAAAATCTTTGCTTATTTGATTTTTGGTTTGGTTGTTATTGGAGAGCATTCTGCCATTGTAGGATGGAAGTGGGCCTAGACTGTGCATCAGTGAATGGACATGGCAGTGTTCCATTAAAACTTTATTTATAACAGCAAACACTGGACTAGATTTGTCCTGGAAACTTTGGCTTATCAATTTGGAAATGCATGGATCTGAACATAAATTTTCAGTGTTATAAAAAGATAGAAAGATGGTGGTGGCACATGCCTTTACCCAGCACTCAGGAAGCAGAGGCAAGCAGATATCTGTGAGTTCGAGGCCAGCCTGGTCTACAAAGCTACACAGAGAGGAACCCTGTCTGGAGGGGGAAAAAAAAAAAAAAAAAAAAAAAAAGGTAGAAAGGTAATAACAGCATTTGCTTCAATTCACCTCTAGGGGGTGCTGTCCACCCCATCCCCCACATTCAGGTGTGCCTCCAGGCAATTTGAATGGGAAACACACACACACACATACACACACTCCTACAAATACAAATAGGTATGACTCATGCTGCATATCCCCAAATAAAGGGATGATATGATTATTTTCAAAACTTATACCTGAACTGTGTGTCCCTGACAAAAATCACATTTTTCTCTTCAGGATAAGCATTTAAATGCATTCCCCCCCCCCACACACACACATAATAAAGGTTCTAATATGTTTGTAATATTGTAACATCTTGGTGTGTATGTACACTGTGAAATTATTACCACCATGAAATTACTGAACACAGCCACCAATCCAGATGGCTATGAAGTATGTTAAGAATGCACGAGTGCCAGGGTACCGTTGTGTTCACCTATAATAATCCAGCACTCTGAATATGTGCTCAAAGAGGACCCAATTCAGTTCCCAGCAACCACATCAGGTGGCTCACAAGAGCCTGTAGTCTCAGCTCCAGGAGATCTGCGCCCTCTGCTGGTCTATAGGCGCACTTGCATGCATTTTCACAGACAAGATACAAAATTTGAAATGCAATGAATCTCTAAAATTCATTCTCTCATAAATGAGCATATATTTAACCACAGTTGCAATTTCTGGACATGAGGTCTTGCAGTCTATTAGTCCCCCAAACTGAAACTTTGTATCTTTTGACAAACATCATTCATTCCATCAATTTTCAGACCCTGCCTTTTTTTTTTAAACTACCAGGCATAAGTGAAGCTCTGCAGGTGGTCATATGTTTTTGTGTTACTGTAATAAAATACCCAATGTTGGGTAATGCATACAAAATAGAGGTTTCTCTGATTCACAAGTCTGATGACTGGAGAAGAGTCAAGAAAGCATGGTGACAGTCTCCTGCCTGGGACTTCTGGATGCATCACATAACAAAATACAAAAGAACCTGGGTAAAACTAATGTTAATCCTTCTTTAACTATATGGTAGAATTCATCAATAAAGACATTATGTTCTGAGCTTTTCTTTGGGGGAAGTATTATTCATATTCTTTGTTTGTTTGTTTTTGTTTTTGTTTTTCAAGACAGGTTCTATCTTAGAACTCACTCTGTAGACCAGGCTGGCCTTGAACTCACAGAGATCTGCCTGCCTCTGCCTTCCAAGTGCTGGGATTAAAGGCATGTGCCACCACTGCTGGGCTCACATCCTTATTATTATTTAGTCAATCATCTTATAAATTATTGACCTCCAGGTTTTCATAATTTTTGCCTTGTAAGTTATAGATTCCAAGAAATTTGTTAACTTATTAAGTTGAGATAATTTTTCACAGTAGTCTCATGATATTTTGTATTTGTTTTGTATCAATTGTAGTGTCTCCTCTTTCATTTATGTTTTTCTTTACTTGACTCTTGTTTCAGAGTTCACCAAGCCAACAGTTTCTCAATTTTATCTTTTCAAAAAACAGTTCAGTATATTGGTTTTTCTTATTGCTTTTCTGATATCTGTTCCACTTGCTTCTTTTCTATTGATCCTGGGCTTAGTTTATTTTTTCTCCATGTTCCTTTAAATATAGAGGTAAATTAATTTAATTCTTTGTTTCCTTAATGAAAATGTCTTTGCTTCAAATACCTTCTTTATTAGATCTATTTTTGCTACATTACATACATTTTGGGCATGCTATGATTCCACTTTTATTTGTCTCAAAATATTGTTTTGTTCATTCTCATTTTTTTCCATTGGCTCCCTGGTTTTTTACAGAATCTGCTAATTTTCATACATCTGTGACTTATTTACATTTCCTTCTGTAACTGCTTTCCTATTGCTGTGTTAAGAGAGATGCTTGATATGGTTTCAGCCTTCCTGCATTTACTGAGACTTGACTTTGGTTTGATATGTGATCTGTCCTGGTGGACATCCCATGTTTGCGGCAACAGATATTTTCTGTTGCTGTAACGGGTACAGTGAGCATGCGTGTGTACTAGAGGGCAGTGCTGGCAAATTCTTTGTTTATTTATGCTGTGTCTGGATGACCTGTCCATGTTGATCATTTACTGATATCTATTTCTCTCTTCAGTTATGCTAATATTTTCTTCATGTATTTAGATGTTCTTATGTTGACTGCATCCATATTTACAGCTGATGAATCCTTTTGATGAACTGCCTGTTTTGTTATTATGTACAAGAGTCCCCTTTTCACCAAGGTTACTTCCCAGCCATGACCACTGCTTTGGCAACTGAGAAAGCCACTGACTGAATGTGAGTGATGTGTACAGCAAGGATACTCTGTTCAGAAGGCTGACAGATGTAGTGAAGAAAAGTTGGTACAGGATTTCATCCAGCCAGCCATTCTATGGCTTTTGATTGGAAATTTATTTATCTATTTACATTTTATAATAACCAAGGCTCTAGGATTTTACTGTATTTGTTGTTTTCTGGATGGTTTTTTTCTTCATATTTTATGTGCATTTTGGTTTTTTATGGCTATCATAAGGCATATAATTTTTTTGTAGCATACATCTTTAATCTCAGCATTTAGAAAGTTCCTGCACAGTCACATGCACATATACATACATCACAAACAGGGAAAGGTGAGAAGGTACAGACAACATCATTCAAATCATGTTCAGTACCTAAAACATGCAAACAATAAGTAAAATAAAAGATGTGGGCACTTAGGAAGCTAGTGATAATTTCCACTTGATTGGCCTCTCTGTCCCAAGCACTTGACACATGTTACCTCATTTAATACTAGGAATAACTCTTGAGGCTGGCAAGGAAGTTTTGAGAAGGGATCCAAACCTAAGGCTTTTCTGGCTTCTGAACTTACTTCCCTCTCCCTCCCATATAATTGATGGTATCTACCAAAGGAGTCATGCCCTAGGCCCTTCAAGACCTGATTTTGTTTCATAGATAAAAGCATACAATCTTTAAAAGGTCTGACCTGTTATAACTTAGAAACCATCCATATTTTCAATCTGTGTACGGTTTTGGAGAGCCATCCAGGTTTTCACTAAGAGCTCCACTAATTGTCCTATGAACTTCCTTTGGGTGTAAAAAAAGCTGCACTTCTCTTGCTGTTTCTGATACTGTCTCTTCATTGTTGACTCAAGAGACTGAATATAATGTGCACTGATGAGACATTCGTTATACTTATCTGTATATCTGGATAAATTTTTGTCATATTTGAGGAATTTTTTTTTTTTGTTAGTGTTTCTTCAAAGACTCCTGGGTTTCTAAGAATGGAAAATTTCATGATGATGTTGTGTATGCATTTTAGGTTTCTCTTCAGTTTCTAAAGTTCTTTTTCCATTGTATGCTTGTGTGAATAATATCAACAGCCTGTCTCTGCACCTGTAGTCCCTGGCCTGTGGCAGTGCCCATTTCATTTGTGTGTCTAGTCATTGACTGTATTCACTTCTAGTTCCCTGGACCTCTTTGAGATGGTTGTTTTGAATTCTTTTTGAAAGGTTTTAGTTTTAGTCATTTGTATATGTGATTATTTGTGTAGGTGTACATGTCCATGAGTGTAGGTGTGCCCCCCCCACAAGGCTAGAAGCATCAGATCTGCTTCAGCTGGATTGTTAGCTACATGATGAGTGTGCTAGCAACTGAACTTGAGTTCAGTGTGTTCTCCAACATCAAACTATGTCTCCAGCCCGTGTCAAATTTGTCACCAGGCAATCAGCTGGCTCTCATTTATTTAGGGTCATAGATGGGTTTTTTACTTTCTCCTTTTGGTGATGTTTTTATTTTTCTATTTGTAATCTTCTGGCTGTGTGCTGGTGTCTGCACCTTTAAACGAGAAGCCATTTTAAATACAATTTTTAAATTTATTTATTCAACTATTGAGTGAATATGTGTGTGCAGACGTGTCTGGGTGTGGAGGTTAAAGGACACTTTTGGGAAGTGGGCTCTCTCCCTCCTCTGTGTAGGTTCTGAGAATTGAATTCAGGTTTTCGGGCTTAATGGCAAATACCTTTTCCCACTGAGATACCTTGCAAGACCCATAATTATTTTAGGCTTTTTAAGCTTGTTTCACCAGGCAAACCTATTAGTTAGCTAGCTATGTTGATATATTGTTTATGATTTAATAAAGCTTGCCTGGGGATCAAAATGCAAAGTCAGTCACACTATTGAGCCATAGAAGTTAGACAGTAGTGGGTGGCACACACCATTAATCCCAAGACTCAAGAGATAGAGGCAAATGTATCTCTGTGAGTTCTATACCACATGATACTCAATCAGTCTGAAAGAGAAACAGATCTCACTCCTTTAATCCCAGCACTAGAGAGCTATGAGAGGAAGAAGCAAAGGGACTCATGTGAGATTTAGTTTCTAGTCACAGGGAAGACAGGATCTCCATTTGAACCTTGGTTGAGGTAAGAGCTACTGGCTGGCTGCTTTGCTTCTCTGATACTTAGCTTGAACCCTAATATCCATCTCTGAGTTTTTATTATTTGTGCTGTAGTTACCTAATCAATAGATTCTGGGTTAGCCAACTTTGGAGTTAGAGTTGATTGTGTTAGGTAAAGTTTGAATCTTGGGTCCACAGAAAATAGCCTGGCATCAGGATCCATTGGGATTACATTGATGATTGAGTCCATGGGGTTCATGCCTGGATCCTTGGTTCAGTGGAGCCAGAATTCTTATGTTTGAGGACTGCCTTAAAGTGCTGACATTGAAAAGAGCCTGGAAAAAGCCTTCAGTACCCATATCCATATACTCAATCCAATTGCATGGATTTGTTCCTGAATCTTCAATAGCTGTCCTAGAAAAGGGACCACTGGCTGGGCCTACACTTCCTGGAGCCAGGGTCTGCAGGGGCTGACCTGATACTGGAGTTTCCTGGGATGGTCTTGGTGCTAAGACCTGTGAAAAGTGATGTTTCTGTCACTGTCCTTTATCCATGCAGAACACATCTCCATGCTGTGCTGCCCAGGCTTGGAGGCAAGGTTTCATGGTCTACGTGAATCTTCTAACATTCTTCAATGAATCCTTGCTTATGTCTACATTCTCACCAGATACTGCAACCCATCACTTGGATTCCTTAGTACTTGGGAAAGAATTTTGGTTCATCGAGAATTGTTCACACGTAATCTTCTGCAAAGGGAAGCACGTTCAAAACCCCAACTCTATCATCGTGTTTATACAGCTTCCTGGAATCGCTAACATATTAAGTTCTGGACCTGGACTGAGATGGTCATGGACCGTATTGACAGGTTAAACAGTTGCAAATGATGCCAGAAGCCTAGTGTCAACACTGGGGCCAAGCAAAGACCGCTTGCCGTGCCATACTCGGAGAGCTTGGAAACTTCGTTTTTCAAGAGGAGACTCCCTTTCTAGAACCACAGAAACGACTGCCCTTCCAGGTAGCCACTTTCTATTATTCCAATCGTCTCCTGTGTCATGGTTCTTAGAATAGCTATTCTGTGTGGAAAATATCTATTGGAATAATGCACTAATTTCCTGAGAGTTTGGAAAATCTAGAATGAATTGTTTTTCTTCATACAAATATTATTGTATAATATTTTAAAATCAAGAATGAGTTTTTGATTGGTTTGAAAGTTTTAAGTTGTCTTGAATATTTTCAAACATTTCCTTTATGTAGAGATTGCGGGTGATATTATTGTCCTTGTTTATAATAATTGGCATAACTTAAAAAATTAATAACTTAAAATTTACAAAATTAATAAAAACAAACTTTTAAAATTAACAATAAATATACTAATATATACTAATAGCAGTTCTGAGGTCTCAATGTGTATCTGGGGAAGCATGATAAATATTTTAATTTTATTTTTTTAATGTATAAATGCTCCATTTATATGTATGACTGCACACCAGAAGAGAACATCAGATCTCATTATAGATGGTTGAGAGCCATCATGTGGTTGCTGGGAATTGAACTCAGGACTTCTGGAAGAGCAGCCAGTGCTCTTAACCACTGAGTCATCTCTCCAGCCCTTAATTTTCTACATACAAAATGTTCCCCTCAAATCCTTATTCTCCTGATGATCGTGTGCTTTGCTTTTCAATTTAGACATTTACCAAAAGGGAAAGTCTATATTAAATTAAATTGCCTGTTAAATACATGGTAAATATAATCTAAACCTATCAGTTACATATTCTTTTTTCTTTCAAAGGATGATTTTATTCAACCACATGGGTTATTTCATTTCCTTGTTTGCTACAGTTTCCTGTGGTAAGTAGTAGCTATAGCAGTTAAAATAGTGTGTGAGAGAGGAAAAGTTATGCAAAATATGCCACTCCTGGAGAAAGCCTTTAACCACATAGTTTTGGAGGAGGAGGCAGCTCCTGATGCTTCAAGGCAAGAACTTCTGAGTTACTTTGCCTCAAACACACATGGACTGGGGCGGAGGTGGCTCAGAGACAACGGGCTTGTGGTGCTTTTGTTAGCAGACATTTCTGTTTAGAGATTATTTATTGGTAGAATCCCTCTGACCCTGGAGAGTTCCTTGTTTTTATTATCAACCTTCAAAAAATAAACTCTACCTGAAAGATAGAAAGAATATTAGACACTGTACAGTGATTGAATACAATAAAAGTATCTGACTAGTGCATGATATTTTTAATATAAGGCATAGGCAGCTGTTTCTGACTGAGGGTACCAGCTTCAGATTTAACTAGTGTGTTATCCCCTTGGTAGTCTGTATGGAGAGCTTTCAGCCCTAGGTGTTATTGTTCTTTCTTTCTTGTGTGTTCCAGTAGAATCTAGAGAGTAAGAATGGTCCTGAACATCCCCTCTCAATAGTCATTATAGAATGAGGTTTCCCCTGCATACAATGAGGAGTAAATTCTGAGTCCAGAATGACTTATGATATGGCCATACCACAAGGATTGTTTACTTGACTCTCATGTATTTGGCAAAGATAAACAGCTTTGAAGAAGGCTTATCCTTGGAAATAGAAGTCATTTCTTTAAGAAAAATATCCCAATCTGTTAATTGCACCTCCCTCCATCTGTCCCGTCAACCCTACCTGCTCATCTATGTCACAATTATTGCCATGTCCGAAATAACATGGAGGAGTGATAGCCAAAGATGCTATGGACCATGGCTAAGAGAAAGTAACTTAAAATTTATGATCATGATAGGAAAATTAAAGATGCAAATACATATAATACTTAAAACTGAGTATTTTATGTAGTCCCAAAGTGTGAAATAATTATTGCTAAATATCTATCTATCTATCTATCCATCTATCTGTTTTTAAGCTGTAATTAATGACTTAAGAATAACTTTAACTTACCTTTGCTATTTATATCTAGTATTAATCCAAACAAACATTTTTGTTACCTATTTCTCTTTACGGTATTGTGTGTTCATTCTATGCACATATCCAGTCATCTTATAAATTAAATTTTGGGAAATAAAAAAAGTTGATACGAAAGTATAAATACTTTTGGAGGATTTATGACACACATTATGGGATTATCTTCCCAAAAGGCATTCCCTGTTCAGTTCCCCCCAAAAGCCTATGAAAGTACTCCACTGTCACAATAGGATGGTGCTAATAGGCACATGTTGTTTTGTAGTCTGGGATAGAGTCAGCTTCTTGCAAACTGTCTCCTGATTTCTTCCTGAGAAACCATCTCTACATGTTGGTCCTGGAGATGCTTTTTCTGCTGTTGATGCTCAGGCTGCAGCTTGTGTAAGACCAGAGCCAGGAGCTGCAGACAGTGCTGGCCTAATGACCTAACCAGAGATAGTCTTGTAATAGGCTTCTTCCTAGACTTCTAGGAAAAGACCCAGGTTTATTTGCATTTCCAACTTGACTTGAGCTTCTGGGCCTTGATGCCATCAAGCATCTTTTTTTTTTTTTTACATTTTTATATAATTTTTTAATTAAATTTTTAAAAATTTTAAATTTATTTTATATAACAAAATCCATTTAAATGAAAACAAACATTTATAGACAATATTTGGGAATTTGGGCTTTGTTCTTTCCAAACTACTTCCTGCTGGTAAGGGGCACTGTCATGGGGGAGCCATCAAGCATCTTGAGACCAGCACACTTCCTCCATGTTCCTCTCACTCTTAAGCTGATTGCCTCTTCTTTCTTTTATTATTCATGCTACATATATAATTATATAAGTACACAAAAGTATATAAGTACAACTTGCTGGGTTCATTTTGTTTGTGTGTATATGGTTTGTGTGTATATGTATACGTTGGACAACCAATAAGTGGGCTCATCTCTGGGAGAGGCTAATTCTCCTACTCCCAGAAGTCATTAGTTGCCTGTAGTTTTTGTTTTAGAGTGGGACCCCATGAAATTTCCCCTCTTCTACATTACTATGTCCTTTGATATTACCATTGTTTTTGTCTTGCTTTATGCACTCATTTCTTGTTTCACTGCAGATTTTCTGATATCTTAGCTATCATAATCTTCCCATGCCCTCTTCCATGATATCTGCCTTCTCTCCTCCCTAGTCATAGAGACAGGATATGTGATATAAATGTATGCATTGGGCTTGGTTCCCCACAATATGTTGTGGTTTTCTGTGGTGGTCTCCATTTGCTGTGAAGACAGGCTTCTGTGATGAGGATGGTAGCAAGCTACCCTTATCCAGGAAAGGTGGCTCCTGCACTATTAGCAGTTTTCATATGCTTATAGTCACTTTTATTCCTTTGGGAAATTATCTTTTTATATCTGACATGTAATTATTAAAATGTTTTAACATTCATTTATCTCATATCTATATTTTTACTTTTCCTTCTCCTAGAGTATACTTGATATTTACTGTTTTTGTATATAGTTTTGTATCAAGCCTAAATCGTTCCTTTAGACTAAAGTAGTGCCATATCCACCCCACCTGAACCTTTGTGCTGACCACACCCACTGGGGCACAGGTGTGGACATGACCAGTGGAGAGGCTAGGTTTGGGGTCTCAGACCCCAGCTCGCTCTCTTGCTTCCTGATTGGGTGGTGGAGAGCATCCTGGTGGTGTCCTTGGTACAGGAACCCACAGTAGTCATCTGTTTCAGGTATAAGTGATTTATCCCTGAATAAACATCATTTCAACCTATACTGTGTCTCAGTGAATACTATTTCTCATGCGATAGGGTTCTGTGGGGATCAGACTCAGGTTATTAGGACTGAGTGCAAGCATTAACTCCTAAGTTTTCTCTCTGTTGCTCACCCAGAATTTTTAAAGGTAAGATGCTTTTCTTTCCTAATTGATGGTATTATTTCTCCTCTCTCTCTCTCTTTTTGATTGTGTAAATTTTTAATATGACTAAATTACATGCCCAACATCCATGAACATGGAGTCAACCTGAAAACTGAAAGTCATGATCATTATAGATCACTTAAATTAGGTAGACTCTGAACAAATAACACTGTCATTATCATCATCATCATTATCATTGTTCCATTACCAACTGAGGAAGATAAACAATTCTACCACTAGAGCATTTCTAGCCACTCTCTGTCATTGGCTGAGTAATATGTCACTTTACCAAGACTCAACTGCAAGATAGGAACTTTCAGGCTATCACTGCTCACAGATTGTGTTTTTGTATGTGTCTGTGCAATGGGGTGACAGGGGAGTGTTTATTCTATAATCATGGAATGCTAGCCACATTAAAAAAAAAAAACAAGTCTCTTTATAGCTATCATTACCAGTGAGCCTACTATTCAGTGTTGTGCAAATGAGACACTTCCAGATGCCCACTGGGAACACATATTCCCAAGAGCATCTACCCAGGAAAATATTCTCTTTCCAAATATAAACCTGACCCAAGAGGTAGGCATGGCAACACCTTTCTGATAAGAAGAAAAACATTATCACTAGTTTGACTCATCCAAATGGGACATAGCAGCAGGATCCCCAAACAGGTAGAACATTGAAAATCTTAAATCTTCAGTGCTTAATGAAACACATGTTGTCTAGATAACCATTCTTTGAAAAGCAATGGCAACATAGATACTCAAAGAGAGATGGACAAGTTGCCACTAGAGTACTGCATAACTAATGAAAACCTGACTGATTAAAATGGACAGGCTACCTAGGGTGGAAAACTCAGTAAAAGATTTAAGTTGAATCTTCTCAGGTAACTAAAAATTCATACATTAAATCAATTAGAGACAATTCTCTAATGGTATGTGGGGTGCAGAATATTGCCCACAACAGTTGTGAGTCACCACTAACAAACAGCATATGCTTCAGCATATTTTCAAATTCTCTTACAAGTGCCCTGTATTTTTTTATTTGAATACTATTTATTTAGACTTTTCTTCCCTTTTAATGGAAATAGGTTTTCTCATATAATATATACTGGTTATAGTTTCCCTTCTTTCTACTCCTCCTATGTTCTCCAGATCCACTCTGTTTCTGCCTCTCATTAAAAAAGGCTTCTTAGAGATAACAACCAAGGATATGCAAAATAAACTAGAAGATAAAATAAAAACCATCACATTCAAGTTGGATAAGGCAAACCAACAGAAGGAAAAGAGCCCCAGGAGAAAGCATAAGAATTAGATACCCACTTGTTTACACACTCAAGAGTCCCATAAAAATACTAAACTAAAAGCTATAATACATATGTAGGGGACCTGGTGCAGACCCTTATAGGCACTCTGCATACTGCCTCAGTCTCTGTGAATTCATTAAAGTCTTGCTCAATTGACTCAAAGGGCCTATTCTGGTGTTCACTGTCCCCTCTGACTCTTAACTGTTTCTGCTTCCTCTTCTGTGGGGTTCTCTGAGCCCTGAAGGGGGGATTTAATGGAGACATCCCATTCAGAGCTCTGTGTTCCTAGGACTGTGTGTGTGTGTGTGTGTGTGTGTGTGTGTGTGTGTGTGTGAATAATGTCTTGGTGTGGGTCTCTGCAAATGCATTTTCATTGTCCAAGAAAAGAACTGGTAAAAAACCAGTACTCAATAATTAATTTGCTTGAATAAGGCCGAGGAAGACAGCAATGCATAACCTTGCATATTCAAAAAGGAAAAGAGAGACAGCCAGGATTGAGAGTCAGAATGAGTTTATGTCCCAGGATGTTTATTCACTGTGTGATATTAACCATATCTGAACTCAGACACAGTTATTGACTTCTTTCATGAAAAAAAATGCAGATAATGGTCCTAACCTCAATCTCCCTTAAAGTCTTGAGGAATCCAGGGAGATATTTGTCCTGAAAGGGTTTTGAAAAAATGCTGTATGTCAGTTTTTAAGGTGAGATGTTTTCACACCATGCTAGACATCAGGCAGAAAAAAATTCATGCTTTATTTTAACAGGGATCATTTATGTACAAATTATTCTATAGGCAATGAAAAAGAATCAATTTATATGTGTGTCTACAAGATGACTTTAAATAATATGCTGTATCATTTAAATCATTGTCATAATGTTTCATTCTACCATTGTAGTTGTAAAGATATTTGTGTAGTCACTGGGGTGAATAAAAAAAAAATAACAAAACAGATGCCATTTCTATTAGAACTATTATACTTTTCCCCAAATCTACTTTTAATGGTTATATCACAGGATGTCTGAATCAACTGTATAAAAATAGCTTCTTCAGAGGTGGGGACATAGCTGCCATATACACCCCAGATGTCAACTACTGTCAGAAGATGTGCACATTTCACCCCAGGTGCTTGCTCTTCAGCTTTCTCTCAGTAAGTCAGACCAAGGAGCCAGATAGAAGGTAAGAGGTGATATTTTATCGTATCTGGTTAGACATTTCTCAATGCAAAAATGGTGTCTTTTTCATCAAAAACTCCTAGATTTTTTTCTTTCCAAAGCAGATTGCTGGACTACTGAACACAGAGACAGACATGCTAAACAACCCCAGCACTTGTTCATAGCAGTGGGAAGTAGTGATGTTCTAGCCAAGGCCTGAAGACAGAGCATGTTACAAGAAAGGGTCTGTCCTCATACTGTAATATTAGCATTTCAAAATGTCATATTGTCCCCACATGTACATTTGTTTATAGATATAAATATGCTATTGGCTAGGTTCTGTATATGAGGGAAAACATGAGGGTTTTGTTTCTTTCTGAGATTATATGATCCAAATAATATTAGAAATTCTAAGCCTACCCATTTTCTCATTTTTTCTTCACCATTAAGTGGTATTCCATTATATATTTTTCTGTCTTATTCATTATTTACCATGAGTTAATTGAATTTTATTGTAAATGTCACAAACAAAACAAGCACTCATCCAGATTAACCCAACCCAGGGACTATACAAGTCAGTGAAACTGTACCCAGTTACAGTAGTCACTTTAAACGGGAGTTATAGAATTTCATAGTGGACTTTATTATTTCACTACCGAATATGTATTTTATTCACTTACATATTACTTGTCTGGTAAAAGGTGAAAATTTTACTTGTGTAAAGAAATATATGTTTGATGTGCTACTCTATTTATGAGTAAGCAAAACTCAGAATATTAAAAGCAGGAATTTTGTAGATAATAGACTTAAGAACCAGTAGACACATCTCCATGGTACCTGTAAGGAGACAGTTTGCACATTTAGACATTTAGAATGTACAGTGTATATATGTGTGTGTGTGTGTATGTGTGTGTGTGTGTATTATTAACTTGTAATTTTGACAACTACAAGTATTAGAAATATAGTTGGAAATTTCACCTTGACTTTCTTTCATTTGATCAATAGCCAGAATGTAAATTTTTGCTTATTTCCATATGCATAACTTTCATTTTCACTCTATCCAAATTTAAGAATTAGGAATTTGACACTCATTCTCTAACCCAAACATGCTAAGCCAAACACAGACTGTATGTAAGATTCACTGTATTAAAAATTAAACTAGGTTCTAGTTCATAGTAAAGTTAACATAAAGTTTATATGGAAGATAGAAAAATACTTCCATTATAGAGGAATTGTCAGGAATCAATAAACAGGATGAATATCACATAGGTGATAAAACTTTCTAAAGACATTTAAAAATACTTATTAAAATAATCATCACTTTAGAAAATGTAGAAGATTCAGACAGTAGGGTAATAAGTTTAAGGTCAGCTTGCTTACTTTAACATGGTCTTGCCTCAAAATAAACTAAATAAAAGCTGGGGAGGAGTAGAATGGGAGGAAAGAAACTGTCAAGATAGAATACTTGATTAGCATGCTGGAAGCCCAGGGTTTCTTCCATGGTACCACAAAAAACAAAAACAATTTTCTTTTGGAAAGAGGATCTATGGAAACTCAAAATGCAGGCATGATCATCAACCCTTGAATATGGCATGCTCTCTGCACTAAAATCACGAGCATGAAGAAAAAACAGTGCTGTAGGGAGAGTGGAATTATCTTAAGAATGTTTTTCATCAAGTATCAAGGAAATGCTATCTGTTTCCTGACCCCAGGCTTTATTTATCAACACACAGAAAATGCCTGGTGACATCTTAATGTGTGTTTATCATTACAGTCCACCCCCCCTTTTTTTAATGAATCTTTTTTTTTTTTTTTTAAGTAACAGGTTTGGTTGCTTCTTGAAAGACAGTATTACAGGAACCTTGCCAAGATTGCATCGGATGGGTGCCATTTCTGGTCATTCTTTAAAGCAGTGTGGCCACCAAATAAGTGGTAAGGTGTGAATTTTTCCAACAAAATTTGAGTTAGTAACATTCTAACTCAGAGTAGCTTTTGCTCAAAGTCTGTACTATCATGGATGTTTAGAAGAGAACACAGGCTGGAGAGATAGATGGCTGGGATCATAACCAAAATACAGAAGAGAACACTAAGAAAGATAATGGAGCTGGGCAGCACCTTGGTCATAAGAAGTGGTTACATATATCCTGATGATGCTCTTGCCTTTATTAGTTATAACGCACAGCCTTACTGGGCTTTGTTCTCATGGTACAATGTAAGACTGGGAGAAAATGAATGCTCACTCCAAACAACAGAACTTCCCTGTTTCCAGAAAAGACTTTTCAGATAACACTCGGGGACCTCTAATCCCCAAGTCCTCTTTGTGGTGACTTGTGGCTCCCATAGAATTGATGGGGCCTTTTCCAGCTCAAGGGACATTTGGCAATGTCTAGAGACATTTTAGGTTGTCACAACTAGAGGAGATGGACTCTATGGTATGGATGGAGTTGGTGCAACACATTCTACCAGGCACAGAGCAGTAAGCCACAACATAGGACTTTCTGGCCACCACTAGGCCATAGATAAGGGCTTAAGGCAGTGGTTCTCAACCTTTCTAATGCTGAAATCCTTTAATACAATTCCTCACATTGTAGTGACACCCCTTTTCAAAAAAATTATTTTTGCTGCTACTTCATAACTGTAACTGTGCTACTGTGAATTGTAATGTAAATATCTGTGTTTTCTGATCTGCCCCTGTGAAAGGATCATTTGACATCCAAAGGGACTGTGAAAACGGCAGGTTTATGAAATCATATTGTTTGCCATTGGGCTCAGACTGAAGGAGTGAGTTCTATCAATCATGCTAAGCATAACATTTCTTACAAAGACTGTGGAATCTGAGATATCAGAAAGCTTTATTTCTGACCCCCTTTGCAACTGCTGTCCTAAGAAACAATTTCTATGCCATCTGAAAGGGTTTATATAAGGAAGACATGTCTCTAACATGGCAAGCACTAAGGAGAGAGCGTAAGTGTTAAGAGTGAGGTGGAGTGTCGGGAGCATCTTGAAAACCATTCTGGATTCTGCTGTTTTGTATTTCATAGCTCTTTCTATAGGCTCAAATTTCCAGTGTTCTCATTGTACTCCAATAACATACAGTCTGAGTCTGCAATTTGAATTTTAGGTAAAATAATGAAGGGTGACAACAACTGAGCTATAAATACTACTTCATCAGTGTAATGGCTGAATCAAAACACGTTTCCTATCTGATAAGATCAAACCCATATACTACTATAATGTACATTAGTTGATTAAATTTTATGTTATGATTGTAACTGACAACACAATTTAAAGAAACATTGTACCTTTTCCATAGCTGCTTAGTTATCATTTTTGCCAAGCTCAATCTTCCTCACTGAGTTTGGTTCTGAAGTTCCTTTCTAACTTCCTCTCAAATATTAAGTTACAAGTTGTCTCAGGCCAGGCAGTGGGCAGTAAACATCCCAGAGGAGGACAGTAAGTTACTAGTCTTTGCAAACACTAGTCAGTTGATCCTGAACACTCAGGAGGCCGAGGCAGGCAGATCTCTGTAAGTTTGAAACCAGCCTGATCTACAGAGTGAGTTCCAGGACAGCCAGGGCTTTACACAGAGACCCTTTCTCAGGGAAAAAGTTTTAAAACTGGTCTCAGAAAGCGATCTTACTCAAAATTATTGAGAGGCAGAGTTAAAATGCATAGATAATCATTAAGAAAATGTTTTTATTTGTGACTACTTCATCCCAACCCACAGCCCATTTCCCTTCTTATCAGCAGAAACCACATTCTATGAGTTACAGATTCTTGTCCTGTATGGACTTCTGGGAGTGTTCAGCACCTCTACACCCTAACCCTAACATAATACTTCTTTATTAATTCATACACACATGCATGCACACACACATGCACACACTGTCTCCAAGTATAAATTAATTTTATGATTCTTAAAAAGTTATACACAATAGAATATCATTCGTGTTAATACACACACACACACACACACACAGTTAATCTAATTAAATTGTCTTGATCACAAAACCTACAGGAGCCTAATTTGGTTTACTCTCTGTTAAAATAATTATACTTTTGATATGAGATAAACTTGAAAGGACAGGTTGGGCTGGCTAAAGTCCCTTCAGAACTTAAATGAAAGGAATGTTTAAGTGGATTGAAGAAAATTTTAAAAACTGGTGTGCTAGCAGGTGGCTATAATCCTAGCACTAGGGAAGCAGAGGCAAAAATCATTTCAAGTTCAAAGTCATCCTGGTCTGAAACGGGAGTTGGCCACATCCAGCATGGCTTGGGTCCTAGACTAGTGGTTTCGAGGCAGTAAGAATGGGCAGACATAGACCAACACGTAGAGAGGGAGTGCCATGTATTGTGAACATTGAACCCTGAAACCCCAGAGTGTTTATTATGTACAGCTAAGGAGAGGGGTTAACTCATCTCAGAAGGAGGTCCCCAAAGGAAGGCAGTCCCTCCTCTTGGGCAATAAACATCCCAGAGGAGGACAGTAAGTTGCTCATCTTTGCAAACACTAGTCAGTTGATGCTGAACACCAGGGCTTACATCCAGGGAAGGCTTTGCCAATTTCCCATGGGTCTGAGGCATTTGTCCTTCACTGTGTCCCTGTCAATAGACTTCAGGTGCTCCTTACATGTTGGCTCGGGGCTTCCTCTGGTTGTCACAGGAGTTCCAACCAGCCAGGTCTACAAGGCAAGAAGGGGCTAGAGGGTATGGTGGTAGTGGTAATAATAGCAGTAGGGGTGCAATTTAAGGAAATTTTAAAGCAAGAAGGGAAATGGTTTTTATCATGCATCCAAATGAATTCCTACAGTCTGTAAAAGACTTAACACAGATATCAGCCATAAGACTTGCAGTCCCAAATCACAATCAGACCCCAGTAGGTGAAGAAAGAGAAATAGACATAGATCATACTTTTTTCTTGTTTTTTGACTGTTTGTTCATTTTTGTTTTGTTTTGTTTTTTCCCGGAAGGCAAAGGTGCACCAGTCTGTCAAATATTTCTAATCTCTGGCACACACTAGCAGGACAGTTATTACTGCCTTGTTGGTTTATCAGTGCCACTGGTAGCTTCAATGTGAAACTGTGTTGTTGCATACACCTTGCAAGTTAAGAAGCAAAATAGCTTGCTTTTAATGCTGGTACAATAGGGGTCAAATAAATACACTGGAGTATGCTAATGCCCAGCAGGGTTTGATAATTTAGATACGCAATAATAATTTTTAAATCCTGCACTTACTAGGGAAGTCAAAAAATATGGGGTACTGGCCTTCAAAATAGCTCCCACCAAAAAGCAGTTCAATCTGTCTAGAAAGAAATTTGCCTGAATGTCTCTATGTGTTACGTTTCAGCTTGCCACCAAGATATATATGAAGGACTTGATATGAGAGGCTCCAACTTCAATATATCTAAGACCAACAGTATTGAAGAGTGCCAGAAACTGTGCACCAACAATATTCACTGCCAATTTTTCACGTATGCTACAAATGCATTTCACAGCCCTAAGTACCGGTGAGTGAGGCTGAATGGTTCCCTGAGAGAATATTCCAGGATTCAACAGCATCCTCCATGAAAAATAAAAATCTGCTTTTCCTCCAATTAAAGTACAAAGGGAGTGTAGTCCTGAGCATTTCCCATATTTACAGACTTAATTTCAATGGCACTTCCCCCAAAAGATAGTAAACTTCAAAGGTACCCATAGGCTGTGCATGGAAGGAAGGTGTAGTGTCAGACAATGATGTCTGCCATCCCTTTCACACCCTAAACTGCCTTTTGCTGTAGGGAAGAGTATCTATTGATTAATAATGGCCCAACCAGGCACTATTGTAGTTATCATTTCAATTATTACCCACACAATTTTATGCACCTTAAGAAACATAATAACTTCTTTTGTTGACATTCAGGAACAATTGCCTGCTGAAACATAGTTCAAGTGGAACACCCACCAGTATAAAGACACTGGATAACCTGGTATCTGGATTCTCGCTGAAGCCCTGTGCCCTTTCAGTGATTGGTAATTCCCCCATGATTGTGATGTGTTAAATGAGAGTGCCCAGAAACATCCAGGGACCTGGGGATGTGCTGTGTTTGTAAGGGTTTATGCAGAAGCAATTATATGGTAAATATATCTTTGAAATAAGAATTATTCTAGATTACCAGGATGCGCTCTATCCAGTCTCAAGGGTCTAAATTTGACAAAGAGGGAAACAGAGGGGTCCAAGTCTGAGGTAAAAAGACTTGAAAGGGTTACATTGCTGCCTATAAAGGTGGAACAATCCTAAAGCAAATGGATGCCATGGCCTGTGGAAGTTCTCCCTACATGCTCTTTCAGAAGAGCAGGGCCAAGTAAGACTTGCTTTGTCCTTCTGATCTCTAGGACTAAAGATAATAAATGTATATTGCATAAACCTCTAGTTTTATTGTAACATTCCTACAACAACAACATTAGGAAAGTACTGTGACATCATAGAGAAAGCTGTGAGGTCACTCATCGGTGTCCATATCTAATGAGAAAAGCATATTACCATGAATCAACAAAGGCTTATAATTCCAGACACAGATGTAGTTCCAGTTGAATTATCCAGACTAGTGCCATAATATATAGCAAATCAAGGTGCCTGTGGTATGATTTACTGAAACCTTATCACTTATAGTAAATAGTGCCAACACTGAATGTTAGCTCTACACCACACCCTGTATTGGTGTCAAATTCTGGGATAAGATCTCTCTATGATAGAGAAGCCAAAACAACCTCTTTTCCTAGTTGCCTTTTTCCCCTTCAATACATCCTCTCTATGGTGCAACATTCTGTTGGCTCAAATGTATTAACTATTTAGTTTAATATCCATTTTTCCTAGGTTTTGCAAGGTTGACTACAGGAGATAGGGCTCTTTATTCAAATGTATTCTTTTGTATATATCATGCTTTTCTTAGACTGCTTGTCTGTATCCAAATGCCAGATGACTGGGGAATATCTAACAACAATAACAACAAGAACAAAACAAAGCCTTGTCTAGCTCATGATTCTGCAGGTCAAGAAACTAAAGATGGGGTGGCTATATCTGGCAAGGACTGTTGTGAGTCTGGGGTCATTCAGAAATTCACTACCAGTCTCACTCAAGTTTGGTTTTAGTAAAATAGAGGCTTTCTATTAAAAAGAGTGGCCAGGATCAAACTAGAGAGAGTTCTCTAGATAAGGTCCAGCTATTGATTGGCAAAGGATGACAAAGGCAAAACCCACAGAGTTATAATTCAAGGAAGCCAAATTAACTAATACTCTGGGTGAGGGCAAGGCTCGATTTTGTAACAGATGTCCAGCAGGTGCCTCAGCCATCCAAGCAAGCATTTCATACAAAAGCAGAACATAGCAGTTAGCTTGTTTAATCTTATGACCTATTACCTTGTAGGACTAGCCAAGACAGTAAAATATTTTGTAACAATTAGCATTTTTTTTTTAGAATACTCCAACCTCTCCAGGAAGTGGTCCGTCTCAAGCCAGCAGACAGGGTACATTCAAGACAGGAGTAACTTCCACATGGCTTGTACAAATTAAAAATAATTTTGGTTTTACAAGGCTATCATGGTAAATTTATCCTCTGAACACAATGGTTGCCACCACAGGACTTCATACTGCATTACATCATGGTAGCAAAAGACAGGTCAAGTGAGTATGTGTGGAAGATACAGAACACAAGAGGAAGCCTTGGTTTGGAACAACCTGTCCTTAGGATAACTGATCTATTTCAAGGAGAGCAGGAACTCACTCATGCAAGAAAGGTGTTAGTCAATTCATGTGGGCTATGCCTTCATGACTTCCCACCAAGCCATACCTCCTAACATTGCCACCAGACAACAAGCTACACCAGTTTTTGCTGGGAGCAAATCACACACTTAACAGCATGTTGTTGCAAGTACTTTTTATGTTCAGGGAAGATCTGACTTGATTCTTTTGTACTGCCTCTGGGTCCTGTCCACAGCCTCAAAGAGTACCTGGCATGCCCAGTCTCAGACTACCCTGGACTTGCTTTCTTGAGTGCTGTGAATTCTCACATTGCTTCGGTCTGATTAAGTGTCCTTCACAGAGTGATAAAAATCCTGAATGCTTTAGGAAATGGCCATGTTTTTAAGAAGCAGGGCTTTTTACATCCCTCGCATTCCAACCAAAGCCACAGGAAGGTTGTCTCTGGGCCTAAAGGCCTAAATTAAATTCATAATTCATGGCTGATTTTAAGTCATTACCACACCCTTTTCCTCAATTTTATCAACAATGCCTTTAGCTTTAGGGAGGAAAAAACTAGTTCTGGGGTAAAACCATATGCTAAGGTGAAACCACAGACCTACCACTTAGAGTCACACAAATATCCTATGTCCTCTCTTCTTTGAAAAGTCTAGCCTTTTACTTCACAACTCAAAATGAATTGTATTTGAAAACTAGTATTCAGCAGTTTCCTGAATGGATTTTGAAAGATTTGATGATAACCACACCTCCAACATTAATGAGTCAATACTATTTGCAATTCTAATTGAGAGAATCTTTCCATACTAATGGCTTGATGCCTTCCCTGTCAGTCATTTCCACTACACAGGCAAATGTCTTCTTGTTATCTAATCACCAGGACTCTTTGCTTTTTCCTCCTCCCCCCTCTCCTAATCATCCTCCTCCTACTTTCCCTTTCCCTCCTTCTTCCTCCTTCTTTCCTCTGTCCTCCTCCTTTCCTCCCTCTCTCCCTTTCTGCTTTTCTCTAAGGGGAAGGCTCCTAACACTAGGCAAAACATGGGCCAGGTAAAATAAACTCAAGCCCCATGAGGGGGATTTTCCAGGGAGCTTCCAGACAAATCAAGTAATGGCCTTTGTTTGGTAATGGGGGACTGTGGCTTTTTAGGGTCTCCAACCATTCTGACAGTTAGTTTTCTAGGTCTCTATGGAGCTGGGGAGGGGGCAAGAATATAGGTTGAGTTGCACCCCACACAGTACTTGCTGAGGGTTGGCTATTTTTCTGCCCCTAGATTGTGTGTCCTTTATCTAATTTCCGGAGATCCAAAAATGGTGTTTTGGTTCATTTTGCCAGTGTTCATCATAGTTACAGAAAAGATGGGTTCTGTCCATTTTTAAGCTCCCAACCTCACTGACATTCTATAACACTTTTAATAAATATAGTGTCCTAGTTAGGGTTGTTGTTGCTATGATAAACACCATGACCATAGCAACTTGTGGGGAAGAAAGGGTTTATTTCAGCTCACACTTCCAGGTAATGGTGCATTGCTTAGGGAAGTAAGAGCAGAAACTCAAACAGGAGAGGAACCCATAGAGAGGAGCTGATTCAGAGGCCATGGAAGGGTGCTGCTTACTGGCTTGCTTCTCATGGTTTGCTCAGCCTGCTTTCTTATAGAACCCAGGACTACCAGCCCAGGGATGGCACCACCCACAGTGGCCTGGGCCTTCCCCATCAATCACTAATGAAGAAAATACCCTACAGGCTTGCCAACAGCTTGATCTTCTGGAGGTGTTTTCTCAAGTGAGGCTCCTTCCTCTCTGATGACTCTAACTTGTTTCAAATTGACAGAAAACTATCTAGCACATATAATTAACAACCTACCTTTAGAATGAAAATATTCTTTGGAATATGAGACACCCATCTTGCCTGGTTCTGATCCCAAATTTTGTGTGGAGCAATAGAAAGCTGGAGTACAGCCAAAGAGGGCCACCAGGATGATGGAACACCTAGGAAAAAATGTAAAATTTAGAAATGAGTAAAGAAAGATGGTAAATATATTCAACATGAAGGAGTTGACTACCTTAGCTTTTGGTAAAGTCTGTTCTTCATTCTTGAAAGGCAGTCTTAAAGGAATACATTAGTACATGATTCCACAGGGTTGGTTTAGATAAACAGGACTTTGTAGAAAATAAGTTTTAAAAGTCGCTATCATCTCCAATAGTCCAGAAAATAAACTGACTTTGTCATGAGGTGACAAATTCCTTTTCAACTACAAATGTCTCAGAAAAGTCGAGGAATGATCTGCCAGGGATATCTTGGGGGAATGCAGTTGTAGGTTGGCATGGATACCTACATTCTCTTCCAGTAGCCGGGCCTTCATATATTTGGTTATTATTATTATTATTGTTATTATTATTATTAATTCAAGTAGTTGAATCTAGCATCCTAGACTGCTCAAATGGAAGTGCACTTCCTTGATCCAACTATATTGTTTGACTGTCTCCTCATTTTTAATCTTCATACTACTAGTATGGAATCAAATTGATTCTTACATGCTATGAAATTGAGTAAGTCATGTAAACTGCACTAATAAAAATAGATGTGAGGAAATCTGTAAAGGGAATGAAATGAAGTTCTCCTGTTTTACTATCAAATGGCATTGTCATTAGCTTCTCAGAATTTGTGTTAATCTTATTAAAATACTTCTTCTCATAATACTCAGCAGAGATGAAACATAAAAGAGCATGCTCTGAAGGTTTAGTATAAGGAATGCATTAAATCACCTAAATGTCTTATTAGAAATGATGGAAGTGCTGCCAGCATCTTTAGCTTATCCTACTACTCCAGTGTAGGGATGTCTCTCTACCACAGTGATGCCAGCATCAGTGGCTTATCCTACTACTCCAGTGTAGGAATGTGTCTCTAGAGTGAGAACTAGTTTTGTTTGTCTCCAAAGGACAAACTCCAAGTTTTCAGATAATTGAATAGGCAATTTATTTTGAAAATTGATTTTTTTTTCTTCTCTCACATCATATATCATGATTACGGTTTCCCCTTCCTTTACTCCTCCAAGTTGCTTTTCATCTTCCCTCCCATTCATCTCCCTTTCTGTCATTAGGAAACAAACAGACTTCTAAGGGATAATGACAATCAAATAAAATAAGGAAACAAAAACTAACACTTCAGAATTGAACAAATCAAATAAACAAAAGGAAAAGAGCCCAAGAGAAGACACAAAGCCACAGTTCACACTCAGGAATGCCATATAAAACAGTAAACTGAAAGCTTGCAGCCTGGACCCCTGCAGGCCCTGCAAATACCCAACTGTCATTCCCTTAGTTACTATGCTAAAACACAAGCAGATTTGGCATTGTGTCACTGAGGAATGCTTTTCATTGATGAAATCATAGGTTGCCCCATGGATATGTTCCAGAACTTTGCCTTTGCAGACCTAGATGTGGGCCAGGCCATCACCCCTGATGTTTTTGTGTGTCGCACCATCTGCACCTTCCACCCCACCTGCCTTTTCTTCACATTCTATACGAGCAAATGGAAGATAGAATCCCAGAGGTGAGTGTGAGCAGGCTCTGAGATGCCTTGCTGGTTTCTCTAATAGCACTGGAGCCTGTAGTTTACGTGGTTGCTTTCCTGCCAGGTGCAGGTTACTTCAGAGATTAGCAGATTCAGCTGCATACCTTCTCTCCCGTAAAACAAACAACAGCAGCAGGGAAAAGGGATCAAACAGCTTTTTTAACTGGCATTAAGGTTTTGGATGGCTCATTCAGTCTACCCTTTAATATTATGAGAAATCAGAGCCCTGCTTATCTTGATCTAGGGTCTAGTCTACCCTTTTCACTCATAGACAAACTTCCCATTTCTTTTATGTACAACATGGGGCCTGCAGAAGGTTGTGTGTGGATATAATACCTCAGGCAGATTAAATCCAAACAATCTGTTCTCTGGTGCCTTTTCTTTTTTCTCTTTTTCTAATTAGAAGGTGAAATTTTACCCTTGCTCTTCTTTTCAGGTTGTCTGTACCTACTAGTTTTTGCCAGAGGGAGAAGTGACTCCATTTACATTTAATCCCTGTGGTATTTTGGAGTCTTGCCATCTGACTGCCCGAAAGGTTCTCAGAATACAATTTTTGGAGTTACATTTTAATGAAAAGAAATGGGAGCTGCTTTTGTATCTGTCAAATGCCTATAAGGCTGTCATCCTTCTCTTTCTCCCTTATTCTTTAATAGGAATGTTTGCTTTCTTAAGACATCTAAAAGTGGTACTCCAAGTCCCTCTGTTCCTCAAGAAAATGCTATGTCTGGTTATAGTCTCTTCACCTGCAGAAGATCTCGACCTGGTAATGTTACTGGACAGTGATGGTACATGACTCTTGGTTGCTCTGATAAATAGCATGACCAAAAGCAAGTTGGAGAAGAAGGGAGTTTGTGTTGCAGAAACACAGACAGGAATTGAAGCAGAGGCCATGAAGAGTTGCTGCTTTTGGGCTTGCACCTGTGATGTGCTCAGCTACCTTTTTTTTTTTTTTTTTTAAATATAATCCAGGACCATCTTCCCAGAGGTAACATTGCCTCTAGTGGGCTGGGTCCTTATCCATCAATCCTTAATCCAGAGAATGTCCCACACACATGCCCACAAGCCAGTCTGAGGGAGACAATCCCTCAATTGATGTTCCCACTTCTCAGGTGACTTCTTTGTGTCAAGCTGACAAATACTAATCCCAAGAGATCTTGGGATCTTGTAGGAGTTGATGAAACTATTCTCAAGACACTAGAAACTTTGTTACAATGACTTATTTCTTGTCTTGTTATATATCCTTTGATGTTTGTACATGGTGCAGAACCCTGCCATTTCAAAATTTACCCTGGACTTGACTTTGGAGGGGAAGAACTGAATGTGACCTTCGTGCAGGGAGCAGAAGTGTGCCAAGAGACTTGTACAAAGACAGTTCGCTGTCAGTTCTTCACTTACTCATTACTCCCACAAGACTGCAAGGTGGAGGGGTAAGGAGCCATTTCTTTGATAATCAACAAGGTAGTTATTTTATAGTTCTATCTGCAGGTCTGACTTTATTCTGTTTACTCTGTCCAGGTGCAAATGTTCCTTAAGGTTATCCATGGATGGCTCTCCAACTAGGATCACCTACGGTGCCCACAGGAGCTCTGGTTATTCTTTGAGATTGTGCAAAGCTGTGGACAGCTCTGGTGGGTGTAGCTCATTTGTTAAGGAACTCTATAGAAGTCTGGGTGCTGGTGATTTATGGCTTGGTCTTATGTGATGGGACCATTTATATCATTTCCTTAGATAGAGGGGAATGAGGATTTGTGTTTAATTATGACCACACATCTCAATACTTTTCAGTCTGCTCAACAAAAACAAATACAAGAATTGTGGGAGGAACAAACTCTTCTTTAGGGGAGTGGCCATGGCAGGTCAGCCTGCAAGTGAAGCTGGTATCTCAAAATCATCTGTGTGGAGGAACCATCATTGGACACCAGTGGGTTGTGACAGCTGCCCATTGCTTTGATGGGTAAGTTTTAGACCCATCATGTGTGTGTGTGTGTGTGTGTGTGTGTGTGTGTGTGTGTGTGTGTGTGTGTACACCTTTACCTGTGCATACACATGTGGACATCAACATCAGGTATCTTTCCTATATTGCTGTCTGTTGTGGAATATTATTTTAACTAGGCAAAGATGTGCTACATTTGTTTATTCTGTGTAATGGTGTGTTGCTTTTGTTTATGCTGCATTTCTTTAATTATGCAAAGATGTGTTTCATTGTTTCACCTTGTCTGACTAAGGCACCTGATTGGTCTGTTAAAAAGCTCAACAGCATAGCTAGACAGGAGAAAGATAGGCAGAGAGCTAGGGTGCATAGAGAATAAATAGGAGGAGAAATCTAGGTTTGGGAGAAGAATGTCCTGTAAACTGTAACCCAAATGGACTCAGTGCAACTGAATGTGGGCGTCTCAAAAATTAATTCAAATCAAAAGCATGATAAACCCAAGACCTTCTGGCAGTCTTATCCCATGCTGTGTCACACAACTACACTGCAGCCTTCTTCCCAAACCATAACATGCTTATTTTGCACTGTGGCATATTGTCATGCCATGCAGTACCAACAGATGGTACCTTAGACACAACTCCAACTGAAGATTACTTAACATTGTAAATCATAGTGTGGGTACTGTGTGCACAGGGTTTTCTGCTCTCACAGAAACATAACAGTTTAATTTCAAAGAATGAAAACTTAAAAATATTTCTTGTCATTGAGTGCTTTGGATTGTGTAGTGAGTTAAAGATTGTTTGAACAGATTACTTGGGTTTTATACAAGACTCATTGAATGAACTTTGGCTTAGGCATTGGATAAAAATTCCAAAAATTTCTTAATGGTCTTACACCTACATCTGCCACTTGGTACTACATTTTTGTGTGTGTGTGAGGTGACATTTTTAGCATTTTCAATTACAAAATTTATAAAATATTAAGGAACTCAAAATCATCGAGAATGTTGTCTTTTAGTATTAATAATACTAATTATTAATACTAATGGTATTAATAATACTAATAAATGTTAATATGATACATATACCAAAGAATTGTTTTGAAGTAAATTTCTTTATGATATACTATCAGTAAATGTTTAATGTGTGTATCTGCCTCATCTAGTCACACACACACACACATTTTCAGTCAAAAGGGAGTCTTAAATAAAAGTTAAATAAGTTTTATTACAAACTACATCTTCAGATATCCAATACTAGATGATGCTAAATTGCCAGAAGGAAGAATAGGTCATGTGAAATATTTTCTTTCTTCTTTTTTACCTCCACAAGAAGAAGTGCTAAGAAAAATGAACAAGGAACAATGCCAATGTTACTTTGGTTTTCCTGTCTCTCTCCTAGGATCCCCTACCCAGATGTGTGGCGTATCTATGGTGGGATTCTTAATCTCTCAGAGATTACAAAAGAAACGCCTGCGTCAAGAATAAAAGAACTTATTATTCATCAGAAATACAAAGTCTCAGAAAGCAACTACGATATTGCTCTAATAAAGCTTCAAACACCCTTGAATTATACTGGTAGGCAGCACACTTAAGGAAGAACTGCACAACCAAATTATATTGGTGTCAATTTCCACTTGTGTTTGAGTAAGAGAACACATCTGCAGCAATTGTCTCTGTGTTCTGGTTGGTGGGGATGAGGGAGAGAGGAGGCTGCCTGGGAGGTGAAGACATGTGACCTGCCATGCAATCACTGCTCCTTAAGGGACAAGAGATCTTAATGACTTTCTCAGAGTGGTACAGAACTTCGTGTATGGCAATGAACAGTAGGTATAGGAGAGGTTTTTGCCATCTGGGGATATTGGGCATCTTTAGAAAGGATTGGCAGAATTACCATTGCTTGGGCTTAGGAATATAGAACTATACAAAATCAAGGGGGGCTAGATGTTGATTGCTAAAAATATGCTGAGTAGACAATGGGGGTGGATGGAGCATGTAACAGACTCTGAAGGCACATCACTCCAACAAAACTGAATGCATATCAACACCTGCGAGTGTCTGTTAACAACTCCATAATCTTAACCTCACACTGCTCACCTTCCTCCTTCCCCCTCTAACATCCACTGTAGTTGTGCTGGTCCCCTCATTGCTTTGTTGTAATAATTAGTAAGGTATTCAGTTAAGTAGCTGGAACAGTTTGGCTATTTTTAGTCTGACTCTGAGTTACACTACAGTATATAATCAAACAAAACGAAAGAAAGTAGATATATGTTTGTCAATAAATTTTGGTGGAGGAGTTCCCCTCCTCTGGGAAGTTTCATGCCAGAAAAACTACACAAAATGTGAAAATTTCCTTGGATCATAAGCTTTAGAAGTTTATCAGAAAGCTGGAAGGCCATTCTTTTTACCCTGTAGTTTCATTAATTTCATACAGGGACATTTTAATTGCATTCACTTCCCATCACCCTGTCTTGCCCTCTCCCATTCTCCATCCCAGTTGGTCCCAGAAGGCTCATCCTTACTGTGTTGCTTTGCAGAAAAAGAATAAGGGATAAGATAAAGATGAACTTTTAAAGCCGATATCTAAGGTTTTAATTAATCCAATTCTATTCATAAAATTTCCTTTCAGAATTCCAAAAACCAATATGCCTGCCTTCCAAAGATGACACAAATACAATTTATACCAACTGTTGGGTGACTGGATGGGGCTACGCCAAGGAAAAAGGTACATTGTGGAATGTTCCCATCATAAATGTTAGAGTACACAGAGTGGATCAGCTCTTCAACCATCCTTGCTCACAATCTTTACGTTTATTCCAAAATATTGGTCCTCTAATTTCCAAGAACATGATTTTTTTATTTAAACCTGATGAGCTCATGCTTTAAGCATCTTACTCATAATACAGATTAGTTAATGGCTCTTCATAGTCAACTGTAGCCCTATGGTGCTATCAAGACCAGTGTACCCCATCTGGTCCTCTGTACTCATAGGGTTCCTATTTACGGATGCTCTCCTTTGGAATCAATAGCCAAAGTGCCAGCATCACTCTTTAAGGACAGTTCTTAGTATTGTTTTAATGCATTCTTGCAATATGGTAAATCTAACTTTTTCTCTAATTGTACTGCTAACTGCTTATATAAAATATATAGATTTGTTATGAAGGATAACTAGATTGCAGTACAATTACTGGTATTTCTTAACAGAATTTGACATAATGATAAGCATATATCTTTATTAATGTACCCACATCCCAATTTGTTTTAATATTTACCATAACGTTGAAATAGTGACTGGCACAAATGATATTTTCATTTATGTCATAACTACAATATAAATCAAAGTTTCTATGACCCTTGCGCAACAATGCTGGTAATATTCCCATATTCCTGCACTTATTGTCAGCATTTAAGACTGAAGGGGATGTTCAGCTTTATTTGGAAGGTGGCCAAAATGGAGGTGGGTTTTTCTGTCTCCTTTTCTGAGTTCATGGATGGATGAATTGTTTGTGTGGATTTGAAGTCAAGAGCTCCTGCGTATTGAGACTTGAACCATTTTTCTAGAAATAAGCATACTTCCTTTCTAGAGCAACTGTCAGATAAACACTCTCAGATGTGTTTTTGTCATGTTTACAAAAAGAACTGATTGGCTCTGTCTTCTCCATGTTTCCTGAACTAGTCAGTCTTGTATTCAATTAATCCACATTTTTTTCACTATGCTGACCTGGCTACATGTATATGGATACCATACACCCATACATAGATATGTATAGACATTGAAAGAAATTATCTGTGAGTGCATCATTTGTTATGGAACTTTGTTTATGTAAAGAACACAATACTTTCTGCTGTCAAATGTTTGTGCTTGTTTTTATAAATTTTATATATTTCTTGTACTTTAAATCTGTAAAATAATGAAAGTCAAAAACACCCAGGCATTTGTATAAAAGTATGAATGAATGAAGTTTTTTTCTGAGGAGCATCTGTTGAGATTAGCCAGATAAAAACAAGTTTCACCATTTTGAGCTGAATTTAAATATTAAATACTGACCAGGGTGGACTTTGGTTAGGACCACTCCTGGAATTTTCCAGATGAGTGGCTTCAAGATGTGTGTTGTTGGGCTTATAAAAACAAACCCATTTGGCCACCATACTTTCCCATGAGGCTTTGTTGTTATTTTTCAAGAACTACAACTCCCAGCATCCCAGGAAAGTTACCTGATGCTTGGGCATGTGGGACTTACAGATTAATTTAGGGTATTACATGCAACAGGAGGATGGGAGAAATTGTAGACTAAGTCTGTGGTAGCTTGGGGGATAGGGATGCTGAAATGCCTCGTTAAAAGGAAGCCAACACAGATCACCCCCTCTCTCTCTGTCCCTCTCTGTCTCCTCCTCTGCTCTTTCCTTCCATCCCTTTCTTTCCCTTTCTCCCTTTCCTTCTTATTATTTCCATGTGTATAATTCTACCTCTTTGACATTCACTAACAGTTTTTGAACAAAATATGACCCCAGTGGAAAGTGGACTATTTTGACTTCCTTTGAAATTCTAGTTTTATTTCCCCATTTATTGTATTTTCTCCTTTTAAATGTCTATTTACTTCATAGGTGAGATCCAAAAAATTCTACAAAAGGCAAGTATTCCTTTGGTTCCAAATGAAGAATGCCAAAAAAAATACAGAGACTACGTTATAACCAAGCAGATGATCTGTGCTGGTTACAAAGAAGGCGGGACAGATGCTTGTAAGGTAATGTATTAAACTGTAGAAACACAACACACACACACACACACACACACACACACACACACACACACGAGTTCACGGAAGACAGTTTATTCAAAAGCAAACTTCCAACATTACCTTTTGCTGGTTTTAGTTAAATAACTTAAAATAACTTTTAAGAAATTAAACAGAATAATGCATATCATACAATACTCTGTGTTGACTATGACAGGCATGTCATAATCAGTACAGCTACATGCCTTATTTAAGGACAATTTCATGTGCTATCGTTATGCTAAAATACAAGAAAAGTAGATTTATTTGAAATCTGGGTAACCGTGCTAAAATTGTTGGGTTCATCTGAGAATGGAAAGAGGAATAAATTGGCCTTGTGACAATACGCTTATTTTGTTCATGGCTAATAGGATGCGAGGAAATTGAGAGGCCACATGTGTGGTGTGCAAAGTGTGACTGAAAATATTAGTGGCAGCATCTGTCTTTGAACAAGGGCCCCCTTATTTGAACTGTCACTGTTATAACTCTCCACCATTGTATTTTTTTTTTCACCCACTCTGACCCAGGGAGATTCCGGTGGCCCCTTAGTTTGTAAACACAATGGAATATGGCAGTTGGTGGGCATCACCAGTTGGGGTGAAGGCTGTGCCCGCAGGGATCAACCTGGAGTTTACACCAAAGTTTCTGAGTACATGGACTGGATATTGGAGAAGATACAGAGCAGTGGTGGAAACACTCAGGAGATGTCTCCAGCATGAGAAGTCTGGGCGGTAAGGAAGAACCCAGCTGGAACCAGTTTTACCTCCTGCTCTCAAATCAAACAAGGAGCCCCAGAAGTCTCTTCTGCAAAATGTAGATAATGGTGTCTACCTCACAGCCTTGTCATAGGATTAAAAACAGTGTAGATGCAGTGCTAAAGACAGCGTCTTGCCAAAGTGTGTGTGTTTCTTGCCTTCAGTAACCGGATCCCCAATGGGAACTATCCAAAGAGCATTGTGCTTGTTTGGAAATAAAATGGCCAAAGGGTTTTATTAGATAGTGAAATGGCTGATCTGAAGCAGATAAAAACAAGATCCTAGCACAGTGACTGGGACCATTCTCATCTAACTTCTTCTGACTCTGGAGCCCAGAGTTACCTTCTGTCCACCTCATTAGTTTGTTCATTAGAACCTGATGTTGTTGTTCAATTTGGCTCAAAGAACTGAGAAACCTGGCTCTGTCTAATGAAAGGAGACCTTTGTGACATTTTCTTTACAATAAAAGGATGGCCTCCTTGAATCTGAGCAGACAAGGCTCCTTTTCATATAAACCACCTTCTTGGACATCGCCAATGACCTTGGCTATGTGGTGATATTTTGTTTATGATATAACAAATTAAGCTGGCCTGAAGATCAGAGTGCAAAGCAAGCCACACTAGCTAGCCGTAGAGTGATGGCACACACAAAATTGATAGAGGCTAAAAGAGAAACAGAGCTCATACAAAAGTGATCTCAGCACTTGGGATCCCAGGCCTTTAATCAGCACTAAAGAGGAATATATACGGTGGGAGGATACAGAGCTCAGGGCATTTTGAGGATTGGTGGAGAGTAGTGCAGTCTGAGGTTCAGCGGATCACCCCTAAGGCCTGAGCATCGGTAGAGGTGAGCGCTCTAGTGGCTGGTCACTGCTACTCTCCTCTTCAGCTTTAACGCCAATATCTGTCTCTGGGTTTTTATTATTTGTGCTACAGGCTACATATGCATATAAGACCTGTAAGGCTGTGTTTTTCTTGTGTGTAGCTCCTGCAATAGGCTGATCACACAGTACTTGTACAGGGCAGGGGATCTAACGGGTATGTCTCAGGGAACCCTGGGAGTTTAGCTGATACCGCTCTCTGCAATACTAATTCGTGAAGTATCATTGGATACACAGTATTATATAAAATCCAGACTTACAACTGAGTTGTAAGTGGATGGCATTAATCCTCATGCAACACAAATTCCCAACTTGCCAGTAGTTCATAGCATGGACTGTATGTGCCTAACTCTATTTAGTTACATTGACTGATATTTACAAATGATTGTACAAGTTAAATAGACAAAGGAAAAGTGAAATTTTTTGTGGAAGATTAAAATTTTCCTTGCAAATTCAAAGGCATGTTGAGTAATTCAGAGGATGAGATATGGAAGAGCTAATGGGCTACCCACAGGATTTGCGACAGGAAGTGAAGAGGTAGGAATTACCCCAGGAGCAAATGGCTTTTGTAAAATCTGTCTGGATTCTTGTGAAATAATTTCCTTTTAAAGCACATGGCTTCAACTTTCACTGTTGTATACAATAAAAAAGTTTTGTCTTACTCCATGTAGAAGTTGTTTTATATTTAAAAGGAAAGAAGTAGTTCACAATGAAAATCTTGTATCTGGGGTTTTGGTATTGATAAGTCGAACGGGTGTTTGGGAAGGGCTTTGGAGTGCTGTAGCCTTTAATTTCTCAAGGAACGGTCTCATTTGGGCAAAGCAGAGTTTTGAAATGTGTTTTCCTATGGCATAAAGTATCATTATAAAGCTGCCAGTTGGACTGGAATGTTCTGTTTATTTTTCATCATATGTTCACACACAAAATAAACAAAGGAACTCATCTTACACCCCGGGGCCTCATGGGCATCACAGGTGCTTAAGAGGCTAAGAGAATGAGAGGACGGAATAATGTCACTTTCACAGAGCAGAGTGAGGGCATGAGACCCTAGATCTTTGGCATATCCACTCTCTGGAAAGGAGCCTTCCTCTTCCTATGTCACATACGGATGAGCACTGATAGAGGTGAGAACTTTCTAGTGGCTGTTTTGCTTCTCTGATCTTCCACTTTAACCTTACTATCTGTCTCCATGTTTTTATTATTTATGCTACAGGTTCCATATGCATGTAAGACCTGTAAGGCTGTGTTTTTCTTGTGTGCAGCTCCTGCAATAGACTGATCATGCAGTACTCCCATGGGGCAAGGACTCTAATGGGAATCTGATTCATCTCTCCATATAGCACTTACTCTTTTCTAGAACTCAGCCCAGAGATCTGAGGGCTGCCTCTAATATTTATCTTTTTCCTTGTAGTTCTTCTTTATGCCTATCTGCCCTTCTAAACTGCTGACAACTGGAGAAGGCTCTCTCTGTCTCTGTTACTCTCTCTCATTAACACAGCATATGGGTAGGAACGTAGCAGAAATCTCCTTTTAGATTTACTTGTGTTATTTTTGTTTATGTGTATGTGTGACTAGTGCCAGGCAACAACAGATCAAAACATAAACTCTGAGTAGCTGCAACTGCTTCTAACATAGGGAAACAAGTGGAGTAGCACTTCATGCCATGATCTCTTCTAAGTCACACACACACATATGCACACACTCAAGGACATACACTCATGCATACATAACACACACACACACACACACACACACACACACACACACACACCATACACTCTCATGAAGTTGTTCACCTTAACTTTCTTCCCCAGCAGAAATGTTTCCATATCTTTAAGGAGGATGTTTCAAATTTACTATCAGATTGCTGACTTATTTTCCCAGTAAGCTTTTCCTTTCTCTCTCTGTTTTGTTCTTTCTGTAGGAGTGATTAAAAACAACAACAACAAAAAGATTGATTGATTTTTATGTATATGAGTGCTCTATCAACTTTATGTCAGGAGAAGGCATCAGATCCCATTATAGATGGTTGTGAGCCAGCATGTGGGTACTGGGAATTGAACACATGACCTCTGGAAGATCAGCCAGTGCTCTTAACTGCTGAGCCTTCTATCTAGCCCCTGTAGGAGAGTATTAAAAGGCTGCCTAATATTTCTCTTCCTGATTCATTTCTCCACAAAGACATAAATATTTGACAAGTTCAAAATTTATTCAGAAAGTCACTAGTAACAGGGCTCTGATACACAGAAAATGGGACTATGGGACTGTGTCCCTAAATGTTGAAATTCTGAAAGTACGCTGATTCAGAAGCTGATGTTGGCATCCTGTCCCTGAGCTAAGGGCATGTTTCCTTTCATACACATGACTTCAGCAGATGACATTTCTGTTCTGGTCTTCAGAAAGCTTTTTTGTTTGTTTTTTTTTTATTATAGTTGCACTTGTAAATATGAGCGTGTACTGGATTTTATATAGAAGAAAAGAAGCATTTCCAGAACCTTCAGTTATCTCTCTCTCTGGAAGTTACTTAAACCAGACTTAACAAAATGTTTATTTATGAGTATCTGTCACAGAGTGCCCTCAGAACTCAAAGGACAACCTGCAGGGTTCAGTTCTCTCCTTCCACCATGTGGACCCCTGGGATCAAACCAAGGGCATTAGTCTGCTAGGCCATCCTGTCAGTCCTAAATCAGACTCTTAATCAGTTTATTTTTACCTTAATTGATCGTGTGTGTGTGTGTGTGTGTGTGTGTGTGTGTGTGTGTTGATAATATATCAAGAGAACATGAAGCGATCTTTACAAATCTTGTGTTTTTGTTTTGTTTTGTTTGAGGGACAGGGTCTCTCTATCTGTGTAGACCAGGCTGGCCTTGATGTCTCTGGGTGCTGTGCCACCACACCCAGGGCTTGTGCCACCACACCTGGCTAGTTAGTGTTTAATATTAAAAATGAGAGACATGGAAGGTAGGGAAACAAAGTAAATGGCCAAGTACCCATCGGCCACCACTTTAGACGATAGCTCTAATAACTTACTTACTTATAGTTACAGTTACTTACAGTAACATGACCTGTAACTGAATAAGTCTGTTAAGCATCATGTTTTCCAAGGAACCCTTGATTTCTCCTCTGGCTCAAGGGAATAGCTTGACAGAAATATAGCTGTGTATAAATGGCTTTCCTCTTTACAAACTGCAACAAGTCCTACCCCTGGGAGGCTCCTGTGTGTACAAGGCACCTCATCTTTCAGGGAACCTCTCTGCTTTGTTATTATTGGTGGGATAACAGCACATACCACTCAGTAGCTCTGCATTTGAGTATCACTGAGCCCTAAAAGAAACCCTGCAAGATTGGTCTATTACTATAGATTTCTTTTCCATTGTCAGTATCCACAAATAGGTAATACATGAGCTTTGATCCTCAGAGCTAATCATATCTCCATCACCATCTGAAAAGTTGACATTATGAAAAAAAGAAAACCAGGAATGTAAGAACAGGACACTCAGTGGTGAGCTGTGTGCTCAGCCTCTGGCCCTTAGCCTCCCTCAGTCCCCAGTGCCTCCAATCCCCAGCATCCAGCTTCTAGGCTCCAGCATCAAGACCCTAGCTTCCTATGTCTCCTCCCTTCACTCTACTGTAAGTGACCAATTCGATCAGATTTCTATATTTACTTTGTCCACTCAGACTGCAGTTGAGCTAGAATTAATGGTGCACTGCTGGCATTTGAAAGCATGATATGTATACCTTTGGCAGGCAGGCACGCTCAATCTGCCAAGGCAAGTTCAGATTCTCTGGCCATCTCGCTGTGTGTTGCTTATTTAAATACACAGCCAAAAGAAAACACACACATTTGGTGTGTTGAAAGAGTGTACAGCTCTCCTGAGGTAGGTTTCATTAGCAGGGACTGAAAGGACATTCTCAGAAACACCAGACCTGCTGAGCATGCTGTGCAAAGACAGGATGTCACACAACAAAGGAAACCAGCACAAGTAACCATTTGAGTAACAGTGTCCTACACGAGATCATTTAGAGAGAAACAAGACTATATCGAAGAAAGAAAACTCCCCACCCGAGGAGTGCAGGAAAGACAGAGGCAGAATCTGCAGGTATGGCTTCAAAACTGAACATTTCTCTTAACCATGTATGTCTAATAGTGTTCCCACATCTGCAATTAGGGCTTGAGTTTTTTCAGTACAGAAAGATTGATTTTTAGAAGGTACCAGATTTTACATTGTGCATATAATTAGCCACTCTCCACAGTCAACTTGAGAGTGGAGGCAAATGGAACACTAGTACTTTGCAGTCAATAAGAACTGTTTTTCAAGAAAAAGAGATTAAAGAGCAATACAGGTCCTGGATATGAGTGTGTGTGTGTGTGTGTGTGTGTGTGTGTGTGTGTGTATTAATAGCCTTTTCATTATTTAGTAGAGCACATACATTTACAAGACCAAGGCAATATTTTAATAAATTTGAAGTATATTTTTAGAACCAGAAATTGTAAGGAGGACAAATATATATATATATATATATGTGTGTGTGTGTGTGTGTGTGTGTGTGTGTGTGTGTGTATTTGTGTGTATTTGTGTGTATATATGTACATATATATGTACATATATATGTACATATATATATATATTCATGTATATAATCAGATAGATTCATAGATAAATAGATACATAGACACATAAGCAGGCAGATGGAGATGAGAACTCAAAACTTGGGGAAAAAAGGAATGAGTTGGAAGAGAAAATAAAGATGGAAAATTGGAGTAGGGAGGGTGTCAGATGGTGGTGACTGGAGGATTTCTTAGCTGTGTGACACCAAAGCTGAGAGAGAGAAGGCAGGTAGAACGAAGTGTCACTTGTGGCTTCTGCAGAACTCCGACAGTATTGAACAGTACACACCCTGCTCAGTGCTGCCTTAACATTAAGGACGAATCCGGTGAGCGGCTCCTCTCATTCTGTGTAAATTCTGGTGTCAGTAAACTATTAATATATTTACACTTTATGTTCTAAAAACATCGACACTCTTCTCTTTGTAGGATGGCTTTGTTACAACAGGTGGTATATTTTATCCTTTTTGCCTCAGTTTCTGGTGGTAAGTGTTGCTTTCTTTATTTTGTAGCAATGTTAAGACTTTTATTAATTATTTGGGGATTTCATACAGTGGACCCTGATCATACTCAGTTCTCCTTCTTCACAGGTCACTCTCCCACCCTTGCACTGCCCCCCCGAAAAGCTCCACCGAGTCCAATTTGTGTTGCCAGTATACTTACTGGAGCATGGTCAAACTCCCAGTGGCCAGCCCCTTAAAGAACACTGAGTCTTCCCCCATGCCTCCACCAGAATCCATCAACTGTGAAGAGCTACATGTCAGCACCTTTATCACAGTTTTTGAGGACTTTCTTCAATATTTACATATGACCTAGAAATAGTTCATTTCCTGGCCTGTAGCATGAGGAGACAGCCTATCTCCATGAAAAGAAATTACAGGGGAGTCCCCACATATTGTGAAATAAGACCCTGCTGCTAAGTCCAGGAAAGGAAGCAAAAAAAAAAAAAAAATCATTATTTTTCAGTCAAGGCTCCCACTTAAGGGGTTCAAAGAAAGAAAGATATTTAAATACAGGATTACAAAGAGACTACACCAATATCATCTGTGTGATAGTTATATCTATCTATAGACTATCTATATCTACCTACATAACACATTGCAATGGTCCCTAAGAGCAATCTCAGAAAGCTGAAGACAAGGCATCTCACTGATATGTTTCCCATAACATTTTCAATCCGTTATGGGAAACACACACACACAAACACACACACCAATTCTGGGCTGAAAATGTTACCAAAATATTAGTGAACAGCTTACACATTTGGTTAATTTAACTATTGAATTTTTTATTAATTACTTAATGTTTAGTAGAATTAACTAGTACAATTGTAAGTGACCCAGTTAATATTGATCATAACAACTTAGTATAAGTACTCTATGCTTATTCTTTATTTAAAATGAAGTTTTAAAAAACTCTTTTACAATTATTTACGTTACATTGAATCTCTGAGACTGTCACTGGCCTTTAACCATAGTAAATTCTTTTCGGTATTGCACTTGTGAAAAGTGGCAAATATAGGTAGGAATTTAAAATAAACTATGCAATATATTAAACTATACAGCTTATAATTTTATTTTCTTTGTGATAAGATTTCTATTTAGGATATTCCTTCATTTTCATTGTTTGAAATTACACTGTTATTTCCTTGGTAAATTGTCAGTAATATCTTGAAATATTTGGGTTTTTGTTGTTGTTTTGTTTTGTCTTTCCAGACATGGTTTCTCTGGGTAGCCCTTGTTGTCCTGGAACTCACTCTGTAGACCAGGCTGGCCTTGAATTCAGAGAGCTACCTGCTCTGCCTCCCAAGTGCTTGGATTAAAGGCATGTGCTTCCACAACCCCACCTTTCTTGACATCTTAAACACTAAATTAAACAACTATGTTGATATATACATGTCATTTATGCATGTAGAAAACACTAATAAATACTGACCCCTGTAAACACTACTTTGTCTGGTCCTGCATGGCTTGGTCCTGAAAACCTGACTGGGGTGACTAGGGCATGAAAGACAGACACACAGACACACAACCAATCTGGGATCAGGTGGGTGTGTTCACTCTGATGGTACAACCTCAACTACAACACAACCACTTGGAACCTCAGTACTTTCATTACATACTGCACAAGGGAAGTGTTAGCTAGTCTGGGTAGGAGGTAATCAAGAAGTCTCAGACTACAGTCACACATGAGGAGGAAGCTGGGCTTATTTTTGTTACAATACCACCAACTTTGGCACTCTCACCAGAAGAAGGTTTTGTCATCCACCTGAGCCTCACCCTGGGGAAAGGCTTTGGTACTACCATGAGTATGAAGCATTGGAGTCCTTGGCATGACTGTATGATGGTAGCCAAGTCAAACAATACACATTCACTAAGGATTTCACCTGCACTTTACACATTCATTCAAGAATTTCTCAGCTTCCCACAAGTCTTCATAAAATTTTAAGGATAAAAATTATACAGAGCATGTTATTCAGTTATAAAAGTACTATGCTAAAAAATAACAAAATTGTAAATAAAAAAATCTCACATGTTGAGCTAAGTATGCATATTCTGAAATTTTATTCATAAAAGAGATTACAATAACATTTTTAATTAAATCTGACATAATTAATATATGGTACATGAAACTTTGGGATGTGATCAAATTGGGGCTGAGATGACCTATAAAAATATATGCATATATATTAGACTAGAGAAAGGGTAAAAACAATGACAATACAACTCAAGAAGGTAGAAGAAAACCAATTCACCAGAGCTAGAAGAAATGAAAAGAAACTAGCAGAAATGAATTAAACAGATGGAAACATAGGTTATAGAAAGTGTGTAAATGCTCTGCATCCTATTACAAAGTGTCAGCGATACCAAGTTCACAGGGACATTCTGAGATTTACAAGAATTTTTGTTTATGAATATATACAAATTGACAAAATGCTATCCATTGTAAGCACAACATGCTTGAAATCAAAGAACTGAAAACTCGAGGGTTGTGAGTCCCCTAGGTGGGGCTATATAGCAAGACTCTATCTCAAAAATCATTTCAAAATTTGCTGTACCAAACAATCCAACTCATACATTAGAGAAAAATAAACAGGAGGCTGGAGAAACTGCTCAGCAGATAAGAGCATCTACTGATCTCACATAGGACCCCTGTTCAATCCATAGCACCCATGCTAGGTGGTTTGCAACCTCCTATGACTCTAGCTTCCAAGAATCTAACACCCTCTCCTGGTGTCTGTGGGCACACACACACACCTGTGACACACATACAACCACAATAAAAAGTTTTTAAAATCTTTATTTGTAAAGAAAGAAAACTGAAGGACATTACATAATGTGGCAAAGTTTGGTTAATTCAAAGAATGAGAAGTTACATTAATAAAAAAAATATCAATAGATAAACTACATTTGTGGGTAGACACCAAAGACGTGGAAGCAGGGACTCCAACAGAGATTTGTTTTCATGTGTGTATAACACTCTTAGGAATGGCAGGTGCAGGGTAAAAAGCATGTGGGCATTTGAAGCACACTCATCTATTCCATACCACAACCTGAGTATTCATCAATAATTGATTAAGCAAAATATAGTATTACAGTATGCACATACAATGGAATATTATTCAGCATTAAAGGAAGGAAATTCTAGCACATACTATGATGTGGCTGAATATTCACTGCGTTATACTAAATGAAATAAGTTATTTACAAGTGAGCATATGTGTGATTCTGCTTATATAAGGTCCCCAGGGAAGCCAGTTTCAGAGAAACAGGAGACAGAAGAGATGTGACCAGCAGTTAGTGCTAATGGTCATTTAATGAATACAGCATTTCAGCTGGAAAAGCTGAAGGACTTCTAGAATGGTAGTAATTGTACATAATGTAAATATACTTAACTCCACGGCACTATATACTTGAAAAATGCTAAGGTAGCAAATTTTGTCATATATATTTTTCTACAGGAAAACAAAACTAAAATACTTTAAGACATCAATACATACAGCAAAATTTTATTTCATAAATATTTATCTAATATTTGATATTTTTATTTTTAATTAAACTTTACTCATAACAAAATAGTTTAGCAAACTTGGAAGAGAACTTTTCCAATGACTACATGGTAGCTTAAAACAAACAAACAAAAAAAAATAGAAACGTTCAAACCAAAATTTTCGAGAAATCTCATACATAATGGTGACTAAAATATTAAGATCTAAGGAATTGAGGGTAAGGCAAGACATCCTTACAACAACAAACAACAAAAAGAGATAATGCAATTATCTTTAGTATGTTGACTTAGAGTCCTTCATGTATAATCGACTTTTAGTTTTCTGTGAAGTCTCATTATATATTTCTATTTTTCTCACAGCCTCATCACCAACGGTATTATTCACAACAACCACATTAGGGAGTACTGATATGGGATGTCCTTGTGTATGCTGCAAATATGTGTTGCTTTTATTGGTTGATGAATAAAGCTGTTTTGGCCTATCCCATGGCAGAATATAGCTAGGCAGGAGAGAGAAGATGGAATCAGGAGATGCTGTGTATCTGCCAAAGAAGTAACATCCTGGATCATTACTAGTAAACAGCCTTGTGGCAATTCACAGATCAATAGAAAATTGGTTAATTTATAAGAGAGAACTAGCCAGTAATATGTCTGAGCCATTGACCAAACAATAATAATTTAGTATTAGCCTCTGAGTGAGTATCTCATAAGTGGCTTCAGTCCAGTGGAACTGGCCAGGGCAGAGAAAAACTTCCAACTACAAAGTATGCCTAGGTGTCCCTCAGTAGATGAATGTGTATGGAAAATGCTGAACATCCAAACACTGGCAGAGGGATGTTCTGCTTTTAGCTCAGAAAGTTTATTTCGTTTTTATTAATTCTTTGAGGATTCCATATAGTATGTTTTGCTCACATTCACCCCAAACTCCTCACATATCCATCCCCCATTCCATACTCACCCAACTTTGTGTTCTATTTTTTTTTTTTAAATTTGGCCACAATGAATAATGAAATCATACCATTTGTAAGAAAGTGTGTACAACTGAGATCATCATATTAAGTGAAATATGTCAGACTGGATGTCACATTTTTTTCAAACTTGAGGATTTTAGACTTTATATAAATACATAAAATTATGTGTTTATGCCATAAAAGTTGAAGTGAGACTCTCTGGGTCTTGGAGTCTAGGGAAACGAAAGAGAATAGAAGGAAGGATAAAAATGGGAACAAATGGACAATGAACATAGTCAAAATACATTATACATATGTATGAAATGTCCTGTGAAATCTACCACTAAGTGCAAGGAATTTATGCCAATAAATGTTTTGAGAGAATGTCTATTACCACTTCTCTTCAACATTATATGAGTGATTCTACTTGCCACAGAAATGAATGTAAAAGGAGCTAAAAGTCAGAGAAAGATGGAGATTAACTCATTGTTCCCATAAAATATTATTATGCACATAGAAAGATTCAAAGTAATGAAGACACTGATTAATTTAGGCAGATCAGCAAGGAGTCTAAGTATTGATTCAATGTACCTTTAGAAATGGTGGCACATGCTTATAATCTTAGGATTCGGGAGGTAGGGACCACATTTGAGGCCTTATCCCAAGCTCTTTCATTCAAATCCTTCAATGTACAAATAGCAGCCAATGTTCACCAGTACTAATATAGGAATATACTGAGATTATGGAAATCAATATTATAAAGTAATTGATTAAAATAGTGGCTATTTCTTCCCTTCATGGATTCCTTCAGCAGCTATATAAGTGCTGTGGAGTTTATGCTATGAATGCTGTTTCTAGATGCATGAACTTAAAATACATACGATTGTGGAGGAAATTAATTACATTGAAGTATGATCAGAATGGAAAATATTCAATAAGATTTACTTGTGGTTTTGAGTAACATGCTATGTGAAAAGATTTAGTGGTGAGCCTAAAACTGAACAGAAATTACCAACAAACTGATGATGAGTCATAATGATATGACTGGCTGTCATGGTGATAGATACATCATACTACAATTATCAATCTAGTTAGGTGCTTGCATTAATAATATAGGTAATTACCACATCTACATAGGGGTCAGTGAAAAACCAGGTGAGGTTTTGTGAGCTGGTTGACTACCTAAGCCTTATGAGGCTCACATGGCAGCTTTGACATGTCCTCTCAAGACATTTACTGATGGTTGTTACAACAGTACATATTTGAGTTAGAATTTATTCTTTCTGAAATATTTCCACAAGAGTTTGATAATTATTTTTAATGTTATAAAGAAAAATGTATTAGAAGTATATCTCCATGAGGACATATGACTTCATGAAGAACTATAACCTTCTATTCAGTCACTAGGGAATAGTTCAATAGGTCACATACCATATGGATTATTATTTTTTCCAGCAACAAAGAACTTTTATATTTCATGCACTTTGGCTTTTTATAAGTAAAACTTTTCTGAGGTTTTAACTAAATATTATTCAAGATTTTTTCCTGGACTCTATACTTCTTGCTGGTAAATGAGTCCATTTTTAATGTTAGTTAACATGACATTATATGAGAGGCCATCATCAGTCTTGGCTTTTACTATGCTTCAGTGTTGAAGCAATGAATTAAGGAAAACATGGCAAGCCCTTGCTAACATGGAGTGGTTTCCTGAAGATCATGTTTTGCCAGCCAACAGCTGAAAAAAAACAGAATTTCTTCCATAGCCTTCCTAAGACTATCACTCACAGATGTGATGTAACTGAGGCCAATATGTGGTTTGTGGCTTTATTTCCATCTGGGGCTGTTCACTAAAGAGGCTAACCTAAGAGCATGTATTGATCTGATACCCAAGTTCGGGCACATTTTACAGGAAGTAGGTGTGCTAGCGTTGACTTTATCAGATCATCTAATGGGGTAGGTGCCTACCAAAATCCACACTAATGTGTACCCACTGGCTTCATCACAGAGTGCATCACTAAGCTCTTCAGAGACACCTGCTTTCAAGGAGGTGACATAAGTACAGTTTTCACGCCCAGTGCGGAGTACTGCCAACTGGTCTGTACCCACCACCCACGGTGCTTGCTGTTCACATTCATGGCTGAGTCATCTTCAGATGATCCTACCAAATGGTAACTGTTTATGTTTCTCTGAAGAGGAATTAATATCAGAGGGAGTTACTTACAAATGCCAATTACCTCCTCACAAATCCCCTTTGTCATTTTATGAAATGTGATGTTACTAGCTGGAAAAATGAATTTTCTTTCCATTGAAATACTAAATATCACATAAAGGATGCCTAGGTACATTAGAAAGACAAAACAAAAACAAACAAACAAACAAAAAACCAACTGTAATGCCTCTACCTCTTGAGATCTCAATGTTAAGGTCACATTCTCTCTCTTTTACATTTTGTCTTATATTTGTTTTTTTGCTGCTATTTGTTAATGATATCATCTAGAACCTCTAACCATTCAATTAGAAAAAATGTTTATAAAAATACAGTGAAAATATTACAACAATCTCCTGCTCTCTCTAATACCCTATCATATTTGCTTTGCCTATCTATATGTATTCACAGCTAAATACTGAAAATGTCTTTAAAATATAGCCGTGTACCTCTAAATACATCAACATGCATTGCACAACAAAGTGTAAGAAGCTTAACAAAGTTACCCCCCACTATTACATACTTCAAATATTATTTATAGCACCTAATTAAGTTTTCATTGAATTTCACAGGTTTCCTATGGCTTTGTCTCTCTACTCATTTGTTTTTTAAATATTAGGCATTCCATCCATTTCTGTCTTTAAGCTTAACTTGAAATTTAATATATAAAGTTTTATGAACAAATTAAATTTTGCCACTATCTATTTGTTGTTGCAGGATTCACAGATATTTACATAGTGCTATAAACACAAATCATTCTTCTGAATTCTAGAGCAGATTGGCAAGCCTATTATTATGAACAAAGCCAGGAATAAAGCTTTAGCTTTTTGTTGGACCAAATGTAAATAGAAGAACAATCTGGTTTGAACAACATTTAAAAAAATGAATCTTATATTTTTGGTTGTGAGCCTAGCCTTTAATGGCTGATCCATCTCTCCAGCCCCCAGCACTTGGGAGGCAGAGGCAGGTGGATCTCTGTGAGTTCAAGGCCAGCCTGGTCTATAGAGCTACACAGATAAATTCTGTCTCTAAAAACCAAATAGCACATTGACAACACAGAACTGGTAGATTTTTAACAAATTTTTGAAACAGTTCAGAGTCCACCCATTCCTGTTCCTGTCCTGTTGGAGAGGAGGGTCATATGTGTTCTTTTAAATGTAGGGATGTTGAAATAAAAATCAAGGTCAGAATCTTGTTAAGTAAACATTTGCTTTGGCATGAGACCCAGGGGTTTGCTTCCTTCTCTTTGACCTTAGGATCATGAAAACATGAATTCCCACTGAGTAATGTTATTTTATTTTTCAAAACAACAGGTTTGCTTGCATACTGAAGGACAGTGTCACAGAATCGCTGCCAATGGTGAATATGACAGGTGCAGTTTCTGGATATTCCTTCAAGCAATGCCCTCAACAATTAAGTGGTAAGATTTCTTATCGAATGTAATAAACACTAGCCATTATAATTGATACATGCAATTGTTTCAGATACAGTTTTGTGCCATAAAATAAAACACTGCTGTCTAGAATTAAGCTTCCTGACTAAGGAACGATCTTCTCACATGGAGTAGAGCATGAGGCTGTCTCTTTCTCCTCCCCATAAGCTCTCTGCCATCCATTAAATCTCATGGAGGCATGTCAGCCACTCAGTTCTCGTTTACTTCTCCCTCCCCAGTCTAAAATTGTAAATAAAAGCCCTTATTATAGATACTAATTCAAACCAAAGGTAAATAACTCAAGACTGAAATGGCACGTGGCTTAATAGTGAATGAGTGTTTTTCAATAAATTAATTAGTGAATCAATTAGTCAATGCAGTTTAGGCACTAGGTCAGAAAGACAAAATACAAATTTACAAGTTTAATGTTGTTCTGGTATAAGAAGGACATTGGCCTCGCCAAAATACCTTTCAATGGAAGTGGGAATTATGTAGAGTGAAACAAAACTTACCTGCAGTGAGACAGAACTTCATGGGAAAGCAGGAGAGAAATGAAAAGCCTAAGTCAAGAGGACCAGTTGCTGAGGCAACACTGCAGTAGCTGCCCCTGGATTCTGGCGGTGCTTGAATTTTCTGCTTTTATTTCCAGCGTGCAGCAAAGGTGTGTATGTGGACCTAGACATGAAGGGCATGAATTATAACAGTTCTGTTGTGAAGAATGCTCGGGAATGCCAAGGGAGATGCACGAATGATGCTCATTGCCAATTTTTCACATATGCAACAGGGCGTTTTCACAGTGTGGAGCATCGGTGAGTGAGCTGGGGCAGGAGCTCCAGGGTACAAGAGGGCAGGGGGAGGGGGGGATGGATGCGGGGGAAGAGAGGAGACAGGATGCGGGGAAGAGAGGAGACACACAGTTCCCTTAGTTATTTTCATCAACTTGAAGCTTGAAGCCTACATTTTCTTAACCCCACCAAAGACATTTGCATAACAGCAATCACTGCTTTGTCATAAAAAGTTCATCAAGTGTCTAATTGGCAATCGTTTTAAGATTTTATTCAGGGCTGGAAGGGGGTTCAATGTGTAAACGCACTGGCTTTGCAAGCATGAGAACCTGAGTTTGGATCCCAGTGCCCATATAAAAGTCACATGTGCTTGGGGCCTAGGGACAGGGTAAGGGGACAGAGATAAGAGGATTTGGGGGGGGGGCTCACTGGTCAGCTCAAGGTTTAATAAAAGATTCTGTCTCTCATTAAAGTCCTCCTTGGACTTCCTGTTTACATTTGCATACTCACATACCACACACACACACACCACGTACAACACATATAGTGCAGCCTCACAGATTCTGTATTTCAATGACACTGCTAAAAAGCACCCATATTCTTCTGCTATATCTGAACTCACTTCAAAAGCACTATAGATTTACACTGTAATTTTAAGAGAGCTGCAACTGGTTTGGCTGTCAGTGTTCTTCCCAGTCTAACAAATATCGTAGTAGTCCTGACCTAAAGAATCGAAAACAAAATCCACATATGTATCTAGCTAACTTTACAGTTCTATTCCTTTCCTAGGATGCAGTAATTGAAGCCCATGCACAAAATTTTATAGTTTCTTATGGGATTTTGAAACCTTCTAGGAAGAAATCTATTGCATAATAATATAAAAGTGAACTGTTTACTAATGACTAGATCTGCATTTGAGCTTTAAATTTTTATTAGAAAATTGTATGATTTGTTCTTTTTAAATTATTGTGTGTGGGGGTCTGGGGGGAGTGCTGTGTGCATAGATGCACATATGTTTCAGGCAACTGGAGAGGCCAGAAGAGCTATCTCTCCAGCTCCCAAGATTCATTTTTAGATTTAGGAATCTTTGATACAATCCAGATTTGCACAATAAACTACATTTTTATAGTTGGATTTTAACATTACTATTCATATTCTGTTCTCCACAATTTTGAAAAAGAAATGGATAGGAAGCAAGGCATTAAAGGTGTATTTAAAAACCAGTAATAAAAAATGGAAAATAGCCTTCTATGGTTCTCTTTACTTCCCCTCAGAGGACAATTTTTATGTCTTAGAAATCTAAGAATCTTAGAATGTGAACCACCAGCCAGGAAAATGTTCCTCGGATTTATAAAAAGGCATACTTAGAGGGCTAAAGTTACAAAGAACTGGAGAAATGACCCATTTACACACTTCACCCTCACACCACATCAGGTCTCTCTGGTTGTCTATTCACTGACGAGATAACATTGTTCCTGAGTCAGGGCCACCATGTGGGTAGAGCAGCTGCTGCCAGCACTCAACCTGCCAACTAGCCCTGCAGGTGAACACTCCTCAGAGTAATTCCTTTATTATTACAGCTATTTCCTCCCTGCAGATGGTAATTTCTTATCCTTTTGTGCTTTTGTATACTCGGAAAGAATAATATTTTCCATTTTTGTTTTATTCAGTAACACTTGTCTTTTGAAGTATACCCAAATGGGGACACCAAGCAGAATAACAAAGGTCGGTAATGTGGTATCTGGATTTTCACTGAAGTCCTGTGGACTCTCTAACTTGGGTAACTATTGTTTTCTCAATGAGGTATTTGCACCATTAAGTCTTTAGAAAGCTGAGGATGTGAGCAACAGGTCAAACTTTGAAAACAGTTGATGCCCACTAATGAAGCAGAACTTGTGACCTTCCATTGTCTTCATGTGAAATGGGTCATTATGTTCTGGAAAGAACTTCTTAAATTTCAAATAATAATCAGTTAAATTGTTTTATAAATAAAAAATAAAGATCTTTGGATGAACTTTCTATTTTAATATAATGAACAAACATTGTCTGGGATGTCTATGATGTTGCTGGTGCCCTGACTTCCTAACAGTTTCTTCTGTTGTGCAGCTTGCATTAGGGACATTTTCCCTAATACGGTGCTTGCAGACACTAACATTGACAGCATGTTGGCTCCAGATGCCTTTGTCTGTCGCCGCATTTGTACTCATCACCCCAATTGTTTGTTTTTCACATTCTTTTCCCAAGACTGGCCAAAAGAATCTCAAAGGTAAGAAGTTGCCATTAAGAGTGATTTGTTCTCCAAAACAAAAAACAAAAAACAAAAAACAAAAAACAAAAAAAAAAAAAAAAAAAAAAAAAAAACAGCCGATAAAAATGTGCTGCATAATTAAGATAGGAGATACCTAAGTAGCAAGCAAATTCCAGACTCTTTGAGACAGGCAAGGCCTGTTGAAAGAAACAACATCAAGGGGATGCTCTGGAAATGCTGACAATAGGGCAAGTTCCAAGATGCTTTGAAAAGAGACATACAGTTTATGGGATGTGACTTGATGTTTCAAGAGAGGTAGTAGGGACAGGGTTGCTATTAACTGCCAATGTGAGCTAACTTTCTATGTACATGGTAGCAGTGTTCTTTCTGTCTTAATACATGATTTATTTGTACATCCCCCATTTGTCCCGTAGACATCTTTGCCTCCTAAAAACCTCTAAAAGTGGATTCCCAAGCTCACGAATTACAAAGAGCAACGCCGTTTCTGGCTTCAGTCTCCAGCACTGCAGGCATAGCACCCCAGGTAAACAGTGAAGGACAATCCTGACAATCCTGAGGAGATGGGTGAGTGTGAAGGCTACACGTTTCAAACCTGCCATGTACTTGGTTGTCTAGTATTCTGCCATCCCTCCTTTCACAATGACACTGATTTCTTGGGAGAAGAACTGGACATTGTTGAAGTAAAAGACCACGAAACCTGCCAAAAAATGTGCACCAATGCTGTCCGCTGCCAATTTTTTACTTATTCCCCATCGCCAGGCTCTTGCAATAAAGGGAAGTAAGACAAGAGTCAGGTGGAAGTGTTTGGAGCACCTCTCTGTAGATTGCATTATGCTTAAACTGTTTTGTTTTCAACCATAGGGGCAGATGTTACTTAAAACTTTCTTCAAATGGATCTCCAACTAGGATACTTCATGGAAGAGGAGGCATCTCTGGATATACATTGAGGCTGTGCAAAATGGATAATGGTGAGTATTTGAAAAGATGCAACCTACGGAAAATATTCAACTGAATGTATTGACAAAAAGCAAGCAAACAACAACCACTAACGGGTGGAAACAGTGGCACAAGCCTATAATCCCTGAACTCTGGAGGCTGAGGCAGAAGAATCAGAAGTTTGAGGGCAAGTTAGATTAAATAGCAAGATCCTGTATCAAAACCAACAACTAAAATAGACACAAAAGAGAGATAATTTGAAAGTTAACAAGTTCGGAAGTTTTCCTTTATTTGTTTGCCCAAGTTTCCTAGAGTTTAAGCATATGAACCAATTCTTCATTAAATTCTACATAAATTGAATATGTCTTAATCTATACTTATTATCCATTGATCTATCTACCTTTTTATAGATAAACAGATATATAGAATATTTATTTAGCCATTTCAGGAAGCATTTCCTGGAGAGATAGACCTAGATGGCTGATTTTTGTTTTCAAGATCCCCATCCCCACCAAATTGCTTTTGTTTTGTTTTCTCAGTGATTAAACTATCAACCAGTGCACTAATTAAATAATTCATTTTTCTTACCACTAGTTTTTTTCAGTGAAACATAAACAATGATTCTATATATTGTGTCATTCCCATGTTATGATGCCCTGTAAAATGTGATCTGAGATTTAATTAATCACTAATTGTGACTAATTAATCACTTCTTGTGACAGTTTTAGAAATACAAATTCTTTTGTGTCAGATCATTTGCTATGCTAGAAGGTAACTTAGTCCTCAACTTCTGAAAAGCTGATTTATATAGCACATTCAGATGTTCTGTCTCAGCATTTCTGATGCCCTAAACAGAAAACAAGTCTTCCTAGAATTCAGAGGCTTGATGACAATCTCTGGGTGGCACACACCTCTTTAGAAAGTGAATTAAGTTGTAGCTCATACATTCTCCGTTTTCCTTGTTATAAATTTACCTAATAAAAAGGAACATCCAAAGCAAATATAGTCTTCATTCTATTTCTTAGTGGTAGAGAGGACAATCAGAAAATACTTTTAAGTGGTATGGGCATGCTTTAAAAAACTGAGATTGAGAATTGACACCTTGAGAAATTGAAGATTCCTTTTCCCATCCTTTCTGCCCTCATTGTGTTCTTCTCTTTTGAATTTATGGACTCTGGCCTGTGGTGGTGAGAGAATATATCAGGTTGATAGCTAGAGGAGAAAATATGGAGGACAATAAAACTGTATGTCCTTTCAGTCTGCCTTCTGATGTGTAAATTAGAGAAACGGTTTGCACTGTACGGTATTAGACTACATGGAGAGGGCACATCCAATGGAGGTGTTTGTCATAGATATACTGCCGTTGGTCTCCAATGTAATTTGACTTTCTAAAGACACCTAGCAATGCCACTAAAAGAAGTATTTCCTTATCCCAAATGCAGTGTAGAGCACTGTGTGTTTTCTGAATTCTGCATAAACTAATGGACCAGACATCAAGATGCAACTTCTACTCAAGGTCTTCATTAAGTTGCTGATGGTGTGTCCTAGTTGTTGCCCATTCACTAACCTTGTAAAGATTACTTTCCTGCTTATAGGATGAAAGGTTGCCTAGAGAGTTCTCAAGTAACAGAAGAATCCATGGCCATTGATCCCTAGGCAACCACTCACCACACCCCTTCTGTTGTAGTGTGTACAACCAAAATCAAGCCTAGGGTTGTTGGAGGAACTGCATCTGTTCATGGTGAGTGGCCGTGGCAGGTGAGCCTGCATATTACCTCACCTGCCCAGGGACACCTGTGTGGAGGCTCCATCATTGGAAACCAGTGGATATTGACAGCTGCCCATTGCTTCTCTGGGTTAGTACTATCGCTATTCTCCTTGGGTCATCATCATCACATGGAGATAAAATCTGGGACTCTCATCGTAGCAGACACACACTTTGGAAATATAGATGATCCTGTTTACGAAATGAATTCTCTCTCTGTGAAGAGAGCCAACTACACGGAAGAGTCAGTCACTCGTCATCAGGCAGCATTAGAACAGGTGCTGGCACAGACCATTTTCATTCCATGCAAATGATTTCCAAAGGCTTTCTTTCCTTTCCTTTCCTGTGAAGAGGGCCAGAATGAAGCTCACAATTTCCTGCTCTTTGAGTCATGTTCTCTCTTTCTCTGCCTCCAAACACAAAGAGTTCAGCACACACAAAACTGGATCCCTTACTTTCATTATTTTCAGTATCACCAAACGTAGATGTTTTAACAGGGCAAGTGTGTTTCCCAAGGAAATGTGGCTGAGAAAATCCCTCTTTGCTACTTTCAATCTCTTCTCAGTTGTTTTCAGACAGAGTTTACAAGTTTATTTGGTTTTCTTCCCTTTTTCTTTTCTCTTTATTTATTTATTTGTTTGTTTGTTTGTTTGTTTTTGCACCATGCATGCATGTACTCATAACCTAATGCTACACTTCAGGTCAGTAGTCTGCTTTAGATCTCACATGAGGAAATGCAGAAAGTGCATGTGATTTTTTTTTTCCTGTCAGTGACAAAGTTGAGAATAAAATCCAGCTCTTCCTGGCCTTGTGGGTGTGCAAGAGAATAGAGAGACCATTAATGTGTTCAATATAAATATTATCCAGTGCTTTCTTTGTAGGGGAAATATTCTAAAAATAAAATTTTTAGAATAAAATCACTTTTTTTTCACTTAAAGGGGTATTGATTACAGAGTACAAATAATCACAAAACACAAATATCTGGGAATTTCCTAGTGACCGATTTTGTTTTTCACTCTGTTGTTTATTTCTTAGGGTAGAGATGTATAAAAACCTGCGTGTCTATGGTGACATTGTAAACCAATCAGAAGTAAACGAAGATACTGCTTTCTTTAGAGTTCAAGAAATAATAATTCATGATCAATATAAGATGGCAGAAAATGGGTATGATATTGCCCTGTTGAAACTGGAATCAGCCATGAATTACACAGGTATATAGAATTTTAGATGGAAAGTGACCTAGATAAAACTTTCAACCTTAGAGGAACCACAGTGTCATCTGCCAGGCCCATGCTACACCAAGACAAGGAAAGGTCTGAAAAGATTGCCTCACTCTGTTGAAGCTTGTGGTCTTGCCTTAGAATACTGGATCATACTCTGAAAGCGCAGGTGAAGATACTTGTCTTCGTGCTTCAGGCATATAGAAAGACATCATTTTATAAAATACAGAAATAATAAAAATAATGTAGATTGGCATTCTGCTTCAGGGACAAAAGTCTTGACAGTAGGATTAAGCAAATACAGAATATTAGACTTCTTTAAAATGAAAGTTTGTGTGAAGTATGTCTTATCCTTCTCTTGTCCCTTCCACTTTGGAAGCATTTATTTATTTATTTATTTATTTATTTATTTATTTATTTATATGTGCATTGGTGTTTTCGTTGCATGTGTCTAGGTGAGGGTGTCAGGTCCTCTGGAACTTGAGTTACAGACAGGTATGTGGGTGCTGGCCATTGAACCCAAGTCCTCTGGAATGGCAATCAGTGCTCTTAACCATCATGCCATCTCTCTAGCCCCCACTTGGGATGTTTTATATACAACACTGAGCACAAGACATGAAAATATATGAGAAAAGGATAACATGAATATCATAGACAGAGAAAGCACAAATAAAGTCAAGTGAAATAATAATCCTTTCTGGGGAAGTGATTGGTTTGGCTTCTTTCTGTGTTAACCAGCTTTTCATCAGTAACAAATTACCTGATGTAACTACCTTGTCAGGAAGAAAGTTAATCTGGGCTCCCACCTGGGGTTGGGGGCCTCTGCTGGAGTCCTTGGTGAGGAATGTGCAGAGGAGTCAACTATTTACATCATGGATGCTGGAAAGAAGATAGAGAGAAAAGAAGGGCTGGAGTCCTAATATGAAGGGCACACCCTCTGTGACCTAATGTCCTTCCAGAGGACCCACCTTCTACCATCTCCAAGTAGTGTCACAGACTGGAGTGAAGTCTGCCAAATATGGGCCTTTGGGGAACACTTCAGATTCAAACTGATGACTAAAGTATGATTTCACAATTAGATTCTCAGCGGCCGATATGCCTACCATCTAAAGGAGATAGGAACGTAGTGTACACAGAGTGCTGGGTGACTGGATGGGGATACACCAGGTCACGAGGTAACAAAGGAGTCAGTATCTCTGCTCTATCCTAAAATTGAAAAGCAATATAACTTAACCAATATATCTGACTAAAAATATTAAATATGATTAACCCTCTCCAAAAACTATTTTAACTGAAGACTTTTAGTATGAGACCTAACACTCTATGTAAAAGTTCGAGCTGAGTTTCTAATTATTTTGCCTGAAAAGAAATTCTACTTAGTGTCATAATTAATTTTAAACTTTATAACATTAATAAAAATATATACACACTAGTGGAAATGATGTCTTCTTCATACTCTGAAATTATACAAGTTAATTAAGCTTAGTAACTTTTCCTTCTATATTTTCATGTAAAATTTTGACTTTTAAATATAATTGTACACGCTAAACCACTAAAATGACCTTTTTCAGGCGAAATACAAAGTACTCTCCAGAAAGCCAAGATACCATTGGTGTCAAATACAGAATGCCAGACAGGATACAGAGATCATAAAATAACCAACAAGATGATCTGTGCAGGATATAAAGAGGGGGGCAAGGATGCATGCAAGGTAAGAGTGTCACAGCCCATCAGCTCTGTCAGATTGGAGTGAGTGCTTCAAGAATATTTAAAAACAGTTCCATCATCGAGCACTGTCCTAGTTTGCTTCCTGTCGCTGTGGTGAAACACCAGCCAAACATAGCCCAGGGAAGGAAAGGGTTAATTGTGCTATCAGGCTACAGCCCACCACAGAGGGAAGTCAAGGAATCTGAGACTGGAACCTTGAGTTGGGAGCTATAGCAGAGGCAGTAGAGGAATAATGCTTACTGGTTTATCCTAGGCTCATGATCAGGGACTTTTCATTTGTAAAAATTTGTTTATCAATTAGCAATCAGGAAAATGTCCCAGGGGCATGCCCACATATCAATCTGATGATGGCAGTCCCTCAGCTGGAGGCCCCTCTTCTCAGGTTGTGTGAGCCTGATGACTCAGATTAGCCAGTATCACAAGCAGGACACATATGTGGTGGGTTTTATGTAAACTAAAACCTAAGATAGAAAAGCTGGAGGAAGGTAAGCAATTGGATGTTTAGATGCTTGTGAAAGGGCCAGAATTTTAGGTAAAGTAGCTGTGAATAATACTTATTTAATACAAGGAAGTATCTGAATGATCCATGCATGTCTCCTTTCCTCCCCCTTTCTCAGGGTGACTCTGGTGGGCCACTGTCCTGTAAACACAATGGTGTCTGGCACTTGGTGGGCATCACGAGCTGGGGTGAAGGCTGTGGTCAAAAGGAAAGGCCAGGTGTCTATACCAATGTGGCCAAGTTTGTGGACTGGATTTTGGAGAAAACTCAAACAGTATGAAAGAATTCAATAGGTATCATTTGGTGGCCCTGGAAGATTAGTCCACAAGAGGGGGCTTGGTGCCACCGGTGAAGACAATGGGATGCTACATCCTCCTCTAACAAACTGAAGGGGCTTGAAGGATGTAAGAGGATACAGAAAGAAAACATATTTTCCTAACTCCTGATCTGTGAGAATCATAGATCGCTTTCAACATCCAGCTTCTACTCAATGAAGCAAGAGGATTTTTTTTTAAAGGATAAAAATATAACAGATATACCAAGAAAGTATCAAGTAGTGGTGCTGTTTGCCTTTCGGTCTCTGGGACAAATAACTGAAGCAGTTCATGGGAGGAAAGACTTTCCTTACCCACTCTTCCAGAGGTTTCAGCTTATGACCTAGTTGACTTGCACCATTGTGTTAGCTTAGCTGAGGCAGAACAATATGGCATATGTGGTGGGGAGGAGTTGCTTGCCTCATGGCAGCCAGAAAGCAAATGCAAACAAAGCATTGGAGACAAGACTGGTCCTTCAAAGACATATAGCCAGTCACCTACTTCTTTCAGTGATACCCCACTCCCCAAAGTTCCCACTTCCTCCCAGATAGCACCACCAGCTAGAGGCAGTTCACAGTTGAATCCTAACAGGCACCAGCGGATCAGGCAGAAACTCCAAGGAAACCATATAAAGAGTTGTGAAATGGAACAGCAAAACCAGAAGAAATGCAGACAAGAATACACAGTGTCCATCTTTAGGGGCCTGTTCTTCTCTGCCTATAGGAATACAAGAAGACTGGCAGAGTTCAGTGATGGGTTTTGAAGGGAAAAATCAGAATCCTTGTCTGTCAGATGTGTGTGTATGTCTCTGTGTTCATGTGTATGCAGGCGTGTGGAGGGGGCAAGATAAACATCAGCGTTTGTGTTGTTCTTCATGAGCCATTCACCCTGTCTTAGAGCTTCCTAATTAGGCTAAGCTAGCTATCCAGTAAGTCCAGAGTCCTTTCTGTTTCCATCTCCCAAAGCTGAGAGTGGGAACTCATGCCATCAGGCCCAGTTTAAATTTTCCCCCACCCCCTCTTTGTGTGTGTGTGTGTGTGTGTGTGTGTGTGTGTGCGCACACACACACACACACACACACACACACGCGCGCGCGCTTGCATGTGTTTATGCACATGTGCATGCACACACACATTATAAAGTGTATGCAGAGGTTAATTGACAATCTTCAGAAGCCACTTCTCCCTTTCCACCACCTGAGATCCAGAGATGGGTGTTAGGTCTGTACCTACTAAGCCATGTGACAAGCCAGCCATCTAGGTTTCCCGTGGATGCTGGGCACCAAATTCAAGTGTTTTTACCGACTAAGCCCTCCAGTGGCCTTTTCAATTTTCTCTATGTATTTTCTCAAATTGGTTTGGACAAGCACAATTGAAGGTATGAATGCAGACTCCATAATTTCCACAGGGCTGTGTTTAGGAGGTGTTTTTTTTTTTTTAAACCAAGAAGTGGTACTTGGAAAATGCATCTTGATGGACTTACCTAGGAAAGTATCCTTGCATAGCCTTGCTCTCATCTGCAGTGTTTTAGGTAAAGAACAGATTGATGGAGATAAGGTAGGCAAGCCAAGCACCCCTAAGATTTGCCAATCAGTTTGCCTCTACAAAGAACTAAGTAATGAATGTACTCAATAGAAAAGAGTGTTGAAAAGATCCACAGTACAGAGAAAGGTAATTTAGGAGCAAACATGGTCTTCAGCATCCTCAAACAGTTCCCTGTTTCTAAATACCTGGTTTTTACTCTGACATGGAGGAATAATGTAGTATTTCAATCAGTGTGTTAATAACTATACAAGCTATCCAAAATGAAAAACATCCATTCAGCACAATTGTGTGATAGTGCCTTTGGGAGTGAGCTTTGGCAATTTAGGCATCAATCAATAAATTATCTCTCACTTCATGGAGTTCATACTCTATTTAGTATGACCCAATAGAAATAGTTGTGCAAAATCTATACTTTCAAACTGAAATAAGTAGGATACTAAGGGTCCTAAGAGATGATGAAGGCAGAATGGTTAGCATAAGCTAAGGGAGTGGGGTAAAGAGCATAAACGAAGAGAGTGGGATAAATAGGACATTGTTCTGAGAAAGACAAAGCAAAGGCAATAAGCCTGGCAGATCAAAGTAACAGACCCCAAAATGCCTGTAGAGTAAAGCAGATCTAACATTGTCCCAACTTCACAATCAACAAACAAATGCCAGTGTCCTTCATTAACTGTTTATTACATTTCACATAGAAAAATGTCAGGTGGCAATCACTAAAGAGGTACTTCAGTCTTCTCTGAGAAGTATTTAAGAAAAGTGTACATTTAAAATTTTTAGTATGTGCAATCCCTTAATGCTGAATATTTAGTACCCACCCATGATTCATACATAAAAATACTCAGGGCTATAAAATATACAATGAGGAGATTTCCTTCTCCACACCAAGATACTGCGGTACCCAGTACTTTCTCACTTCACCTTCTCTCCTGGAGCCATCCCTCATTGCCAGTGATGAGCTTCTTCCCTCTGTTACAGAACTTGGGTTGTAGTGCAGTATTTTTATGCCATGACCTGTAGAATGTTGTTGTTTGAAATTATGCATTGCTTCTTTTCTGGTCCCTGAGACATCTTGTTCAACATCAACAACTTCAGGAAAGGAAAATTTATTTTGGCCCAAGGCTTGAGTCCAATCTACGGTTACTTGGCCCCAACACTGAGGCCTGGTGGACCCGAACCAGATGACAGGGCAGGAAGATATAACCTACTTCCTCCAGGTGGTCCCCACCTCCTAAAATTCCCAGAATATCCCACCATGAAGCCACCATCCAAGGAACAGCCTTTCAATTAGAGAGCCTTTTTTGAAGGGTGGGGAAGAGGGGAGGGACACTTCATCTTCAAGGTGACATGGACTGCTCAGTTTGAAAATAGCTTAAGTTTGTTATTTGTCCACTAGATGGCACCTTTATACTTCTCTGTTGCCCTCAGAATCAGAGCAGGAGGACAGAAATCAAACTGCAATTCCAAGATAGCCAACTTTTCAAATATTAATTTTAAATCTCTAGTTCTTATCAAGCAGTTCCTCCTCCCCATAGGACTTCCCTGAATCTCCAGATCTGGCTTCCAGTTCCCCTTACTAAGTAGCCAGGACCAGTGCCCACAGCAGTCAGTGTGTACCAGGCTGCCCCTAGGACAGCAGAGGATGCTCCTCCATCACCCTGTCCACGTTGTCTTTGTCATCTTGCTTCTGTCGAGGTCCTGTAACAGTTTTCCAGCTGCCTTCTTAAATCTCTCTTCGCGTCAGCATCCTCCATATCCAATCTGCAGAATCTACTACCCCCCTAATCACTTAAAGTACTGCTCAAATTATGTCATACTTCTTGGAAACAGGCTAAGGATTTCAGAAGAAGGAGCTACATTCAGTGTGACTTTAGCTGAGTAGCCTGCAAAGGGCGACTGTTACAGGTTTGGCCTGCAGTGTGACTGATGAGGTGGCCCTGGGGTCTTTTGAGAAGCCAGGTACAGTGGGAAGTCTATAGATACTTGCCACTCACAACTATTATGGAATCCCAATCTCTAGTATCTCTCCACTTCGCTAGAGGGTTTGCTCTTAGCCCCCACCACACACTCCAACCATGATATGCCACCATCCATCATCCCCATCAAGTTGGCACTCGGCCTTTGAACATCCCAAACTGAGGGCTAAATAAAGCTCTTTTCTAATTAAGTGGTCTGTCTCTTGCAATTTGCACAATAACACAAATCTGACTAGCAAACCCCAAAACACATATACATGGAACAGACATACATACAAAGGTGCACATGCATACATACATCTACACACACTAATACACACATGCATAAATGCACACACAGCACAACACACACCACATACAATATATATACACAAATACACACAGACCCACAGAGCACATACACACAGAGCACATACACACGTACAGCAATACACAGATGCATTCACACATATACACAGAGAGCCATACACACAGCATAATCATATTCATTGGAAGTTTACAGATTCAGTCACTCCAACATTCCATGGGTCAGATCTCTCTCCCTCCCTCTCTCTCTCTCTCTCTTTCTCTCTCTCTGTAAAGGTTTCCTTCCAGCCATGTTTCCTTGGCTCCTCCTTGCCCAGCCTGATTTAGTCACAAACCAACCATGAAGCACACAAGAACCAGTTTCTGTGACATTGGAGAATTGGGTATTTTGTGACAATGGCACAGAAAAGCCACCTGCAGCTATGACTCCCCCGCCCCCCATTGAAATGAAGTTGTTCATCTCACATAAAAGAGAGAATGCCTGTGTGGTAATATTTTGTTTGTGATCTAACAAATAAAGCTTGCCTAAAGATCAGATTGTGGAGGTAGCCACACTAGTTAGTCATAGATGCCAGGGCAGAGATGATGCACACCTTTAATCCCAGCACCTGGGGGGGGGGGCAGAGGCAGACCGATCTCTGTGAGTTCAAGGTCCTGGGCTACACAAGATTGAGTCTAAAAGAGAAACAGCCAGGCAGTGGCTCACATCTTTAATCCTGGTACTTGGGAGTCACAAGCCTTTAATCTCAGCACTAGGGAGGTAGAGACAGGAATGATATGGCAGGGCAGAGAGAGGAATGTCAGACAGGAGGAGACAGGAGCAAATTGCATTCAGTCTGAGGATTCTTAGGGACAGAGTTGCCCCTTTGGTCTGAGAATTCAGTAGAGAGGTCTCTCTTATGGCTGGCCCCTTGACTTCTCTGTCCTTTCCAAATTCAGTCCCAAATATCTGACTCCAGGTTTTTATTATTAAGACCTATTAGAATTCGTGCTACATGCCCGAGGTAGTGAAAGCTCTGTCACGTGGGCAGTGTTTCTAAATGAATCACCTGGTTCAGGTGCTGTAAAGAGGGAACCTCCAAACAAGAATGTCTGGGGTCAGGGATTCCCAAGGAAGGGCAGAATGACTATTCAGAGCTTATGCCCACCAGAGGGCATAGTGGCTCTGTGAACGGAGAAACTCTCAGTCCAGACTCCAGCTGGTTAAAAGTCGAAAAACAGTTGGAGACTCACTCCCCGCTCAGTCTCATTTGCGCTGCTGTCTTCAGCAGGGAGCCCTCACTCAGGTTGCCAGCCTCAGCTGGGGCACCCTATAACAAAGCTATAACTCAGCATTTTCCTTAGATCTTGTTCTGAGTGTGGGAGAGCAAG